TTCATCAGTATTTGATTACAAAAGTAGAGTTATTATTAGATACTTGTGATTCAGATCAAGTGAATTCTGTTGTATATGAACAAATATTTATGCTAGGTTTAACTGTAACAATCAATGGTGTAAATGCCAGTTTTGTTAACTTTATGTTATCAGTTGCACGTTACTGTATATTTAGAAGAAGAAATCTTGTAAAAAATAATGTAAAGGGTATTGATATTCTAAGATTTTTCCAATACACATTGAAGCATTATGTGACTTATTTTCATGAATATTTGTGTCAAATGAAGAATATGAGTAACATATTTGAAAAGCACTTCCTTCTGCATAATTCTATACTGCAGAAAACAGACAGTGGTGTGATTATATTTGATCTCTGATGTACTAAATGAATTATAATCTTAGAAAACTTAAAGATGGAATTTGTATTATGTTATTAGAAATGTGCTGTATTGTGTAACTTAACTGTGATATTAGATACATTTTAATGATTTTATTTATGTAATGTGATGATAGATTTTAATAAAGATAAAAAAAAAAAAGGCGTTGGACTTAAGTTCCAATGGACGTATGTCCGCGTGGGTTCGAACCCCACCCGCACTAGTCTTATTTTTATTACACCAAATTGACATCTGGTCTGAAACTGAGTGAATTGTACCCGAGTGCAGGAACTAACAATATCGAATAAGCGATGTGATTAAAGTTCAGAAATAAAGATCTACAGTTGCAACTGGAAGAGTAAAGGTTTTAAATTGTAATTAACGGCAGTCTTTTTCTTATTGCAACTTCAATCAGAAGTTACGCTGAAAGTGACTATAAGCAGGTGTTATGACCACTACTCCTTTATTAAAGGAAACATATTGTATGTAACATTGCTTTCGTGTTGCGAATTGATTTTTTAGCTGAAATTGTCGTTTATGAGATAATACAATATTTTTTTCTTTTCTCTATATATATGATTATAAAAATTCCTATAGTAACGGTACTCGGGTTGACAAAAATCAAGTTTTACTCAATTGAATATTTCTGCACGAAATAAGTTGAATCGCACGGGATTTTCGATGAAAAGGCTGTCTATTTGTTAACGTTTCCTTTGCGGTCAGGGGCGAAGCTACCTTCTTAATGAAGTGGAATCACAGACTATAGGGCGAGGGGTCTGGGGGCCGCCCAAGGCCCCCAGTAGGTTCAGGGGAAAGCCCTGGTAGGGGGCCAGGGGGACAAAGCCCCCCCCCCCCCCCCGGAAGCTCCGCATATATAGCGTTTCAAAACAATCACAACTGAAATAAAATTTGGACATTTTTGTTGTGGTTTTATGGTCAACTTTTTGTTTAACTTCGAGTCGAAGACTTAACATTGTCGCATGCGTTTTTTGTACGTGAAAGCTTTTAAAATCACGAGATTTTTTTCCATATGCTAGTATTTGTATTGAGCAAAATAGATTTAAAAAAACACAATAAACATAAACACAATACTATATATGGAGTTTCTGTTAGCATAAACATCATGGATACCAAATATTTCAGTGGTGGACACTTTCTCATATATTTTGCTTAACATATGTATTTAGATGTTTAAAATTTTTGTGGGTAAACTCTACAAGAGAGAGATGAGAATTTCGAATTTTACGTAGTTAGGAATATTCGAGTTGAAATTAATGAACTTTTTCAGAGTAAATGGTACTTTGATCACGATCTTTTTCATGATCTGCGTTTTTAATTAGCCAGCTAATTAACAAATGCATATGCATTCGACCAGTTGTATGGCAATATCTAGATGATAACAGTGAAGATACGTGTAATAAAAGTTTGGTGTATCTTTCGAACAAGAATCAGCAGTTTAGTGTCCTACTCGCACAGACAGTTCTTTTTAAAATTGAATTACCTAATTGTCCAGTAAAACGAGTTAGAATTAACAATTTATTTAAATGGTTTTACAATCAACCATTCGTATAGCCGGCCCATATAGAAACGACTTCGAATTATCGAATCTATATATAAAAGATTTTTTTTTGTAAAATAAATAAAAACGTAAAACATGTACTGGAAAATGTGTACTTTTTTTTTATAATAACAGCACTTCCAACTTCTCATCTACTAGTATACGGAAACTATTGATTGATTGAATGGTTATTAATGTCCGGTAGCAAATATTACATGCAAACAGGACGAGATACGTTGACGTGATGTGAAAATGAACTATTCGTGTTGTCAAGACCTACATACTTAGTCAATATTGAACTAGTTCACAAGGTAACAGTCATTATTCCCGGATCGATACGAGTTGAAGAGTCTTCATTCTAGTAAGATGGGTGCTTTGGGGCGAAGCGGAAAATAATAATTTTCAAGTTTTTTTGTTAACCCTAAAGGGATTATGTTTTGTTTTGCACTCAAAGCGAGTATACGGTATGGTTGTGGTACCAACAACTATGTAGCTGGTATTTTCTAAACAATGCCCGTAATATAAAAAGTTCCTCTACGTATACACCAGTTGCATGTATTTATCGTATACATACATGTCTTACAGGATTAAAAATTCAACTGCATGTGTATTCCTCTTGCTTTTATTCTTTGTGTAGTTTTTAAAATGCAAACATAGAAAGACCAATTCCTATATGTTAACTTTGTCCCTCACTCTCTCTCTCTCTCTCTCTCTCTCTCTCTCTCTCTCTCTCTCTCTCTCTCTCTTCTTTTTTTTTTTTTTGTGAAAACGACGTGGATGCACGTGCTGCCGTGCCTCCGAGTAGCTACGCCCCTGGCGGTATCTCATTTAAACAATTGCGACTTACAAATGAAATGCGAACAGTGTGATAAGTAGCTATAAGTTCATCTAAACATTAAAGAATCCCATTCGTAACAGTGCGGTGGCCGAGTGGTTAAGGCGTTGGACTTAAGTTCCAATGGACGTATGTCCGCGAGGGTTCGAACCCCACCCGCACTAGTCTTATTTTTATTACACCAAATTGACATCTGGTCTGAAACTGAGTGAATTGTACCCGAGTGCAGGAACTAACAATATCGAATAAGCGATGTGATTAAAGTTCAGAAATAAAGATCTACAGTTGCAACTGGAAGAGTAAAGGTTTTAAATTGTAATTAACGGCAGTCTTTTTCTTATTGCAACTTCAATCAGAAGTTACGCTGAAAGTGACTATAAGCAGGTGTTATGACCACTACTCCTTTATGAAAGGAAACATATTGTATGTAACATTGCTTTCGTGTTGCGAATTGATTTTTTAGCTGAAATTGTCGTTTATGAGATAATACAATATTTTTTTCTTTTCTCTATATATATGATTATAAAAATTCCTATAGTAACGGTACTCGGGTTGACAAAAATAAAGTTTTACTTAATTGAATATTTCTGCACGAAATAAGTTGAATCGCACGGGATTTTCGATGAAAAGGCTGTCTATTTGTTTACGTTTCCTTTGCGGTATCTCATTTAAACAATTGCGACTTACAAATGAAATGCGAACAGTGTGATAAGTAGCTATAAGTCCATCTAAACATTTAAGAATCCCATTCGTAACAGTGTGGTGGCCGAGTGGTTAAGGCGTTGGACTTAAGTTCCAATGGACGTATGTCCGCGTGGGTTCGAACCCCACCCGCACTAGTCTTATTTTTATTACACCAAATTGACATCTGGTCTGAAACTGAGTGAATTGTACCCGAGTGCAGGAAATATGCAGGAACTAACAATATCGAATAAGCGATGTGATTAAAGTTCAGAAATAAAGATCTACAGTTGCAACTGGAAGAGTAAAGGTTTTAAATTGTAATTAACGGCAGTCTTTTTCTTATTGCAACTTCAATCAGAAGTTACACTGAAAGTGACTATAAGCAGGTGTTATGACCAGTACTCCTTTATGAAAAGAAGCATATTGTATGTAACATTGCTTTCGTGTTGCGAAATGATTGTTTAGCTGAAATTGTCGTTTATGAGATAATACAATATTTTTTTTCTTTTCTCTATATATATGATTATAAAAATTCCTATAGTAACGGTACTCGGGTTGACAAAAATCAATTTTTACTTAATTGAATATTTCTGCACGAAATAAGTTGAATGGCCCACCCACATCAGAAATGTTTTGGTTGAAGCACTTGAAATTCTTTCGATGTGTGTTTGTGCCTTATACCGGGTTGTCAATCAATGGCATATCCCGTCCGAATGTATCAGTCTAAATTATAGGGTGGTGACAGACACTATATTTACGCTTGATAAACTGCAACGTATAAACAAGGTAGATAGTAACATGTGTTTGTCATGCAAATCATGCCCTGAGGATATGTTTCACCTTTGGAGAAGTTGTCCGTTACAGATCGATTTCTAACGGTATTTAATTGACATAATACACAATGTACTTTTAAGAGATAAACAACATCCAATCATGGATTATGATCAGCTGATCTTACATGGATATTTGGTCGGTACACAAGCAGTTAACACATATTTTGTCAATTTTCTACTAAGTGTTGCAAGATTGTCAATATATAAAGCAATTAAAGACAAATAAAAAATTTACGAAGAAAAAGATATAGGTACAAAAAAGATCATTTATATTCACAATGCACAAATATGTTGAATATGAATACACATATTACAAAATGACCAACAAATTACATCTTTTTATTAAATATTTAAGGGAAAAGAATTCACTGCTGTTGTATATGTACGAATCGGGTAGCTACAAACTTTTTATTTAAAACGTCTATCAGTAGATATAAATGTACAGACTTTAAGAGTTATTCCTCTTTCATCAATACATATATTTAGTGTGCCTGTGTAACTTACTAGGTATTTTATAATTTAGAATTGATTACTATTTTGAGCTCTCAAGGACAATGACCATTATTTCGAGCTCTGTTTAGACAGTGAACATACAATCTAGATGGAATTCTGTTAAGATTTACTAACACATAACTTGGTAAATTAACAAAAATTGTTTTCAAATACTAATAAAAACATGGAAAGAAAGAAATTATATATATATATTTAAATGGTTATGGCATATGGTCTACACAACTGTTTTTATATTCCCCTACACATGACGCAAATGCTAAAACGTGTGGTATATAATTCTGCTCATGTGTAGTGTGAAACAAATGTGACATAGGTCCTTTTGCATAAATTACAACATCTTCTCCCGCATGTGTAGATGGGTTCAAAGGAATGGCTGATTCCGAAACATACTCCTTATCATCTACAAAATATCAAGAAATCCTTCAAATCATCAGCTTGTATTACTTATTTAGTTTGACTCGATCGGGAATGCATGACAATGTAAGCTTTACGATTAAGGAAAAAACTTGAAACTTTATAAAAATTAAAACAAAACACATTTTTTTTAACCTATTTACTAATATTCCAATAGTAAGTTGTAATCTTACCAAAGTGAAATGTAAATTCTAAGACTTGTAAACGCTATGTTGAATACATCTTGATCCATGATACGTTTTAAGCCGGATAGGACATTACCGATTATAGACGATAGAAATTACGGATATACAGGGTAATTACAATTTTTACCTGTTATGAACCGTTTCAGTTATACATGCCACATGTTAAAGATTAATGGTTCTGTAAGCTGTCAAGCTAGTGAACAGCAAACCCGTTTTTTCAACATTTCTATACGAGCGTGATTTTGATATTTGTAAGTACAAAAATAATTATCGGGAAAATATCATATTTTTCAGTGGTGATAAGATCTGCAAGTTTGTATAAAATGATTAATCATTAAAAGATAAAGGCTTCGAATGAAGCACTTTTTGCAAAGTAAATACAGTGGTGGTGCTTAAAAATCAGAAGGTCATATCGGTTAAAATAGAAACCAATCAAAGATACCTGGCTTATAATTTGATACACCAGACGTGCGTATTGTCTACATCAGACTAATCACTGGCGCTCGAATCATATCAGTTGGGAGGCCAAATCTACTACGAAGTTAAAGATCATTGAAAAAATTTCCAAAATTTTTTAAATTATGTCGGATTTGTACTGTAGTATACTGCAGTGCATGAGTATATGTCTACAACATACTTTTGCTGTAATATTAAAGGAATAATTATTAAAGCAGGCACTGTCACCATGATTTTTTGTAGTTTGAAGATATGCAAATCAAATTTGGGATTGCAATGAAACACTTATTTGAAGTCAACCTTCTTCTGAAAACTTTCCATGTAATCCATAAAATCAAACAATGGTATATGCTTAAGGAAGGTTTGTAGATATCTTTGCCTACTGCCAGTCTGGTAGAGTAAATTTGTTTACCATTACTTGAAAAAGCAATTTGCCTTCTTTGTATGTCCATTATCATTTTTCCTTTCCCATTTAGGATTGTCTGAATGGGATTTACAGAATAGAAAATAATGTGCAAAAATAGCAGTATAAAGGGCAAAAAATATAGAATAGAGAAAAATAGGCAAAAAAAAAAAAACAAACAGCAAATAATGGGGTGCTTAGATATAGATAATAGAAAATAATTGGCAAAGTAAATGAATAAAGAACAGAGAAAAATGTTCTAAAATTATTGAATAAAGAAATGAAGGACCCACATCCAGACCCTCATCTAGTGTTAACTGAATAAACTCAGTATAATGTTTCGCTTTTATTTAATAGAAATCTCAATAACAACTGTGTTTATATTATTTACCTGTATTCACTCCGGTCAAGTCAGGTCTGATTCCTGACCACGCCCCTGGACCAGTACCATAGATTAAGGATGTCAATGGTTTGTGGTCTTTTGCAAGTTCGAGTTTGCCCGCACTGTTTTTTATCAAACCTAGACAATAGATTATAATATTACAATAAATATAAACATAAATTACTGTTGTTTGTCTGTTTGTCTGTCTGTTTGTTTGTTTGTTTGTCTTTTTTTTAGCCATGGCGTTGTCAGTTTGTTTTTGACTTGTGAGTTTGAAAGTCCCTTTGGTATCTTTTGCCTCTATTTTATGTTCTATTTTCAATCTCTTAAATCAAGATCGCTCATTAAATGTGTTTAAAAAATTGAGAATGGAAACGGGGAATGTGTCAAAGAGACAACATTGCAGCTCTTACACAGTGGTGATCTCTAAGAATACCATCGCTTTAGAGTTATTTGTTCACTTACAAATAAGCGGGAACAGCTATCAACAAAATTCTTTGGACCCTACGGTCGATACACTGGTATGTTTAAAGCTATATTAAAAATCACATAAGAGATGAAATATGATTTGCTAGATCGCATCTTCTATTCTTTCAAATTTATTCTGATTTTTTTCCCTTTTAATTTTAAACAATTTAAGTTCATTAAAACTGGGAGAATCTTTTATTTGATCATAGTAATTCTTTTTCATTGGTTCAGTAAATATTTCTCCGAACCGAAATACATGCAGTTTGTTTAAATATCATGCTATGTTATATTTTCATAGTCACAAAAATGTTCCTCTTCGATTCATTAGCATAAATAACAAAAGGAATCACCACAAAGTGTCTAACCGCAGGTACAAATCGTCCTAGTATGAAACGACTTACACCCAATTCATTATAAATAAATGTCAATTATTAAGAAAACTCACCCAAAATATCATTTCCTCTGGCAGGATATCCTGCAAGTACCATAGTGTGTGAATGGTCAGCTGTGACTACGGCCAACGTGTCTCTATCGTTTGTCATACTATCCATTTTTGCAACAGCATCATTGAACGCCAGGGTTTCATGTAATGCCTTAACAGCATGATTGCCATGATGAGCTAGATCTATCTTACCACCTGTTGTGTATTATAATTAGTATTAATATTCTTATTTTATTAGCTTTTGTATGGGTTTTAAAAAATAATTTACAAGGCAGGCAAATAAACCATATAAATTACCATGAAGGATGTACTATGTACTGGGTCGTATACTCTTTCTTGAGGTTAGAGTTCACCCTCGATGATTTGTGTGGTTTAGTATTGCTTTCGGTCATGGTGTTGTCTGTCTCTCTTGAACTTGTATGTTTTGCACCTTTACTGTCGTTTTTTTTCTCTCACACGTACTTTTCAATTACCCTTTTTTATGGAAGATCCAATGTTGAATCGTTTTTAGCACTATGAGATGAGCTTTTTACGGAGGATACTTTGAGGATGCTTGAAGAAGCTTGTTTTCAAGAAAAATAACATGTTATGATTTTCTTATGACTGATTTATCATATACATATATCTAAGTATGTTTATATGGCATTGGATTTTTATTATTTTCTCAAGCATAAAAAGATGTAGTAATACCTTTATCTTGAAGACTTTCAACATACATACAATCATGAATAATAAATTTGGCGAGACATTTCAGCGAGTGCACTCTTGTTTCATTTGTTTTCACTAAAAATGAAAAAGTTAAAATAAAAAATAAATATATCCAAAATGTTTCCCTACCTTCAACCAATAAGAAGAACCCTTTAGGATTTTTCTGTAGAATGGTAATAGCTGCTTCGGTCATTTCTGCCAGGGACGGTTCACCAGCAACTTCATAATGTGTATCAAAACGATCTAGTTCATAAGCCATACTACTACTGTCAAAAAGACCTAAAGGAATAAAATAAGTGGCAATTTAGAAAGTGTTATTCAAAACAGTAGGACTGAAGAGAACGTGTCGTCTTTAGGAGAGTGTTCTTTGCAGTTAACGTTAAACACCCTGGCCCAAACGCTCTTTATGGGACACGTTAATGACCCGTTGTAAGACTAAAAATTTATGTCAGTTCCTGTCCAACTGTTTTCTGCCCATCTAAGTCAAATCACTGTGAGAACCTACCTATAAGGTGTATGATAGATTTGTTCTCTTCCTGAATATGAATGAACTATATACCAACTAACGTTTTCAATAAAATAAACATCTAAATATCGGTCGAGGTTTCGATGCACACCCACGATAATAATTTATATAATAGCTTCATACACACAAAATTGGTATTCAAAGCGAGTAAGCCCTGATACTGATAGGTAATTTCCCTCTACATTTATTTTGTCTATGATTGAGAGACATACCTCACATTATGTGTGAAAAAATATATTCGACGCACTCTCATAAAACAGTTAAATATTGAAATGTTTTATAAGCAAAAAATTAAGTAGGATTTTCAATACTCTTTCTTCAAAATCGAAGTTTAACTTTGCTTACATTGTCATAATTTCAAAATAATCTAACCAATTGAAGTTTTGTCTAAATTATACCGTTTCTGATCTTTCTTTCTTCTTTTGTATCTTGTTTTTCTTCCTTTCTTTTCAGTTTTAACTCAATATTTTCTTTCTTAAAACAATATCCGTCTATGATATAGTTGATTTACAATGGTCGGTCAGGTATCCTCTGTAGCGTGTGTACATACCAGACGTCCTTGCAAATAGCACACGACGCATCTTTTTGTGTACTTTCCTCCTTTCTTTCAGTTTGAACTCAATATTTTAAATACTTTTTTTCCTTGAAAACAATGTTTATCTATGATATAAATGGACAACTGCCAACTTCTCATTATAGGCATTGCTACCGAGCAGTTGAATATACTAACAGTCCTCAAATAAACTTATGGTGATTCTTTCCCAGGAAACATGAATAAAGGCATATTTTACCCACCTAAAAAGTAATCGAGTTGACTAAAGTTCGTCTGATGAAACTGTTTGGAATTCCATACGTATTTGTGAGACATGTTTCTTGCTGTTTTGTCATTTTCCCATTCCTACAATGTATATAATGTCATATATAAAATAATATTTCAACCGAATTCGCCGTTTTAGAATCCAAAGTACTATGGGTAATCTCTTTGTTCGTACACCAAAATGAAAATAACGTCACGTCATTAGTTGAGTTTTCATTGCCTACGTTGTTAACCAATCACAAAGTTTTGGTGTACTCCTTTGAAAATATTACCCAGAATGCATTAGATTCTGAAACACTACCACTGCTAATTATGTCCGAACTGATAGCCATTTTTATAATCTTTTTAACGCAGAACCTATAACTTTCTATCCAACCAAATGTATACATGCCATTAATTCAATGTATTTGATATACACATCGCTGTAAATCAAGACGGCATTTGCAACTTTATGTACGTTCACTTACAAAATTAAAAAAAAAAACATGTTTCTCTGTGCAATACTCTTGAAACGAACCAAGTCTAAGAAAAACTATATTTGCGTGTGTCAAACAGTTTTTGATGTTTTCCACCTCATTAAAGCCAAGATTTCAAATTCAGCATTAAATTTCAAAAGTCGTATTTATTATAAAACAAGTCGTTTTTTTTTCTTTAAATTTATCCATTAAGTCACTGTATATTTTATTCACGAACTTTTTACGTTAAAGTTCTATGACTATTTTTATTTTGTACAATATTTGTCGTAACCCAATGCTGTTGACCGTTTTGTAACTGGTATGTCATTGGTATCTCGCGTCCATTTTTTTTAATTTTGTTCCCGTATTTACTTACATCGTATCTTAGTTTTGAAGATATTCAACCATACCTTAATTAAATCTCGCCCATCTCTGCGTCCGTAATGTGTGTTAGAACCAGATTCTGGGTCTTGAGCAGTATATGGTAAGAAAAAACGACGTCCACCTCCCATCAAAACCTACAATATTATATAGGAAATATACTCGATCATTCTTTTATTTAAAAAAAAGATGTGGTATGATTGCCAATGAGAGAGACATATAACCATTAAGACGAAATATCATAGATTATTACTTTTTTAACTTCTATGTACGTGGGCTTTGTGCCTTGAATACTATTTTTTTCTATTCGTATGTTTGTTTATTTTTGTTTTTTTTTTTTTTTTTTTGTTGTTTTTTTTCGTTAAATATTTTTTTATATATCGCTTTTTTTTTTACCACTTAAATATCAAATGGAACATTTTCTCCCTGAAAAGCTTTAATTCTTTCCAATGATATTAGTCATAATCGTTAACGCAATGTTGGTGTAAACGAAGAACCAGTTTCGACAATTACCTGTATATTTGGATTATCTTCTACCAATTGAAGGGCTATATCTTTACATCCACCAACTACGTGCTGTGTGTAGTGATCTCCCTCCCATCCCCTATCAGCAACATGGGCGTAAGCAGACGAAGGGGTAGCATGTGTGATTCTTGCTGTGGTCACTATACCGACAGACTTTCCTGTAAATAGAAATGATCAAAGAATCATTTACTAAATCAATTAAAAACTTCTTAGAAAACCCGACGACAAAAACTTCTTGGAAAACGCGACGACAAAAACTTTTTAGAAAACCCGACGACAAAAACTTCTTAGAAAACGCGACGACAAAAACTTCTTAGAAAACCCGAAGACAAAAAGTTTCTGTTGCCCATTATTTTTTTCTGAAATTAAATATATAATATAAAATACTCTGTTTTTAATTTCAAAGAACTACTAGATGAATCTCGCGAAAGCAAAGACATCATTACCTGCTCAGAACATAACGTGTAAAAATGAATGCTGAAAAAAAAAATAAGTGGACTTTTTTCGTCAAATCAAAAAATATTTTTCTTTTTCGTGGACTCAATTTTGCAGTATTCTACCAATTTTATCTACATTGAAGAAAGTTATAGTGTGGTTTTGTTTGAAATTTTTTGTTGGTTAAAGGTTCAATCTTGTTTATTTAATAACACGTATGTGCGTGGTTGGATGTTGTGTAACATTTTTTATGTATTTCATGTGAAAACTTGTTACACTGTGGTGCATTGTTGTTTGAAACTTTTTATTTATTTTATGTCAAAAGTTATTTCATTAAGGTACATATAGTGGTACGTTATTGTTACCATCTAAATTGCTGACTTTAAAAATATTCGGTGGCCACGGAAAAACGGAAGTATTGACATGTATCGAAATCGGATTACAGAAAAATATGTCTTTTTCCCCAAATAAAATCAAATTAAATAATGTAAGTTTAGGTTAGCAAACTACACTGTGCATGATAGCTGCACGGGTAGGAAGATACTCATGCAGGGACATGACGTCTTTGCTTCATGACGTCCTCGATTTTGGAAAACATACCGTTTTCAGACAAACCAATATTTAGTCTTGCATTTGAATACGCATTTCTATCATTTGTTTTTTTAATTATAAGTTTCAAAATCAAATTCTTTTCTCATCATCAATACATTGTTACACATAAATTCATGATGATAGAACAGAAAGGATATTGTGTATCAATTCATTTTGTGCACATGAACAATTTAAAACTAAGAGTAAATCAAAAGAGCTTGCATTACTGTTTCTCATTCAAAGTCACAATGAAGCCTTCATCATAGATAAAAAAAAATCTCACTTCACTCCAATTTCACAACACCCCTAAGCACCGATTTATGCGAAATTCTTTGCTATATCTGCATTGAAGAACTGAGCTGATGGGTAGAATCAACTATTAATAGTATAAATTATATTTGGCAAAGAAATCCATTATAAGTCCAGATTAAGGAGAGAAATGACGATGTGTTTTGTTCAGTTTACATTTCATCTCTTCTCTTCTCTCTTCTATAATGAAAAATTATATAAAAAAGGGGCAAAATTCACAAGTGACGGTAGCCGGTCCTCATACCTATCAATTATCCCGCAAAAATCTCTACACTGGTAACCCGCTTTTTTATATGAGCATGTAGTGCTAAACCTACATTTTGGTAACCTTTTATGTGTTACATAGTTTTTTTTCCAAATGGAATTTTTGTTGAACAAAATTTAATAAATGCAATGGATTACTAATTGCAACTAGTACTAGACTATGTACAAATGAAGCTTAATTGATAAGACTACTTTTTGAAATCCTGTCCCATTCTAATTCTCTCAATTGGCCCATTTGATGACTTCAATACATTTACTTTGTGTATGTTATGGAGACCATCTGTTTTATGACAAAACCGGAATGTTATTTCAAAAGGGTGAACTAGTCCTACCTTCCGCCAATGACCAGTCCAGAATGGTGCTAAGTTCGTGTGCTGGTGAGGGATTACAGTGACCTCTATGTACACTAGCATCTACACCAATCACACCTTTGTTTGTCTTAACTCCTGACATGAAGGCTGTACCTGTTCCGGCAGAATCTGGTGTTGTGTAATCTTGGTTGTAGGTCTACAGATTTGAAACAACATACATGTCACTATATGTTTGTGCTCTTGCAAAGAAGTTGTTTGTTTAATTTATTTTATCAACCGAAAACAAGAATTATATAAATTTTGACTTTGAAAACTTTAATCTGGTTTACATTGTTCCAGAAACATGTGTCATAAGCAAAAGAATCATTATCATAAGTTATAAAAGAAGTACATGCACTTGATGAATGTATTCGCTTAATATTTTAAACTCTATGTTGCCTTGATAATAGAAACAAGAAAACCACTATTTACAAATCACTTATTTCTCTAGGTTTTTTGAACTCATTAAAACTCAACGAGCATTTAGTGAGATATACTTTTTTCTATCAAAAACCCGGAATTTTTATTTACATTTCCTTTCTACAACTAAGTATGTTGATTTTTTTAGAAGACTGTAGTTATATGATATGATAATGATAATTCTAAAAGTATCAACCAAACCTTAGACAACGCTAGATTTGGAAATGTTTCCCAGCTAAGTATAGTCTCCTCTCCAGTTTTACCATTTAGTTGACCTTTGAGGATTCGTGCTGAGGTAACAGTCGTCATGCTCATCCCATCTCCTAGCATGATTATGGTATTTTTTGCTTTCCCAATAATTGGTTGGTTCTTGATAGCATTGTCTAAGTCAGATTTTGCTCGATTCCTCCAATACAATGGAGCTAAAAAAATATTCTCAAAATGAGGATTTGTAACAGTTTGAAACCGTGGATATGCAGGCTGTTTGCATTTCATAAAACTGTACAGGTTATAAATACGGTATCTACTTAAAACTTTATATGCCTGTCTTTATCTAATGAATAACATGTTTAAAATTTAGAACAGCTTTTCCTCGGGAGTATTTTTATACTGCATATCCTAAAATTTACAAATACAAATAAAGTTAAAGGGGCATTAGCTACGAGATATATAAAAAAATATAAAATATGATTTTTTTGTTTGTTCAATCAGTAATGAAAGTGAAATCGTGAAATAATATATCGCTTTTAGCAGCCACTATGGTTCAATTTTGTCAAAATAAGCTAAGAAACATTGATTATGAATTATTCACTTGCAAGTGAATAATTCGACCTCATTTAACCCGTATCCATGTGAACTTCAATTTAACCCCTTAGCTAGAGATGGATAACACATGAATCGTGCGTGCTGAGTTATTCAAAGGAAAAGAATGTCAACATTGAAAGTGAAACAAAGGTAAATCATTTGAGTGACTGATTCGATCCACACAAAAAAATCATTCTTATACAGGTAAAAACGATGATTAATATATATTTTTAATCTATAATATGAAATTAAACAGACCTAGAAAAATCCAATTGCACGAGTCCGGTTTTTATTTATATCTATATTTATGTTTAAATGGCCATCGGAGGTATTTGGAGGTCAACTCGATAGTTAATTAGATGGCGTCTAGACTAAAATACACACGTAACGAAGCTACATATTATCGAGCCCATGCCCTGTAAATTGATTATTTACTTTTTATAATTTTGATAAATGTTTTACATTGTTATAAATCAAATATGAGAATTTGAGTCAAATCGGTGAACATGAATTTGACAGCTAGTGCCCCTTTAAAAAGATAGACATTCTAGTTGACTCAGATTGAATAAGAATTACAATTATAACAAATCACTTACTTTCGCCATTTCCCGTGTACTGACTGTTAAATAAATTACTTTGACTACTAGTTGGGGCGTTATCCAACAAGAATCCGTACGTTGACAAAACTAAAGACAGAACGAAAACTACCGTCACTGCCATTTTACTTTTAGTTGTGCCGGTCTTCGGACAAGCTATGCGGTCTGCAGATAAGACATATCACCAGGTCGTCTCGCATATGACATGCAGTAAAAGTCAATGCCAAAGTACGGTATTACCTCTACATGTAGTACTGAAGATAACCGTCATTGTGTGAATTGGTCAGTCACTTGTGGTCTGTGCGCATGTATAAATTCGACAAAAAGAAAAAAGTTAAAAATAAATATCGTTTCAAAGCAAAATTATTCAAGTGCTACACAAATCTTCAAAATTTTAATTGTGATAAATAATTGAGTTGGAAGTTCAGAACTTTTGGGATGTTTTGAGACTACCGATTAAGTCACAAAATTGCATGTAATGTTTAAGCTCCTGAAGATTTTCAAAATGATGTATGTTTCTTGCTGTGATATCACTTTCGGGAATCTTTCTGAAACGAGTGTCCATAATTGATGAAACAAACTACACAAATGTTTCTAATTTCCGATCGTAGTCCATGTAAATCCATCTCTTCGGCGCTCATCATTCAGTTTATTCTTACATTGCACTTACATTAGTCACTCTTTCTTTCCTACCTTGCTGACTATTATTCAACTTTTATTTCGCATTAAAACATATGAAGATAGATGTATGAACTCAAACTGAATTACTATACTTTTAAGAAAGATATATAGTATATTTCATGGTTTTTTGTTAGGGATACTTAGATTTTGATTTATGATAATTAATTGTCTCGTTGGTCATTTGAAAGCTGTTTGTGAAATTGATTTCTATTTTCTGTCTGGCGGTATTGTTATATAATATAATTCTGCTGATATTAAGTACTCAAGAGACGGTTTTGTCGAAAAAAAAGTGTTCTCTTTATACGTGATCTTCCCTTCGTTACAGAAGGTAAACGGAATTTAATATCGGGTATAAGATTTTACCATCTACAATCCATCTGTTTTTTTTTAGGATAAAATAAAAAGAACTGTATGTTCTGCATTCGATTTAATTTCCATCAGTGCCAAAAGTTTGGATAGACAAAGAGGAAGTAATCCACGGGGGGTTACGTTTAATTGGAAGAGGCTGGTTGTTCGTATTTTGTTTGTCGTCATTATAATTATTTCATTCATATTGACAACGACATAGACCGTTGCTAAATAAATTAATTTTAGGTACTACAAAATAGGTCGACTGGGATGACGGTCCGGAAATTAAGACTTACCACTAGAAGAATCTGTGGCAGTATTAATTGAATAAATTCACTTCTTGTCTGAATCTTGAGTTATTGAGTTTGATGACGACGAATACTTGCCGATAACAGATTTTTGTGTTGTAAAGCTGCAGTCTCATAGCTGTTGTCCAACATCTCTTATCCTTATAATGGTGGCGAGCTCTCCTCGAGTGATGACGTGCTAAGGTTTGATTGCCGACAGGTTTAAGCCACAAATTTTAATCTTATTCATATATTTATTATATTCATATCACATCAGCATGACTAGATCGACTGCTTTTCATTGAACATTCAAAAGACTACGTTTTAAAAGGGTAAGTTTTTTTATCAGCAAACCTCATTTTGCCTTTCAGCTGTTCCCTGTCGGTTGTTGGTTGAATGTTTGATATGCTCACAAAATCTCTTTATATTCATATGAATTGGACATTCTTTATTTTCATAAAAGAGAGGCGAAATATACCTAAGGGACATTCAAACTCATTAGTCGAAAATAAACTCACAACGGAAAAAAGAAAAAGACCAAACGACAAACAACAGTATACAAAACACACAAAGAAAACTAAAGACTGAGCAACACGAATCCCACCAAAAACTTGGGGTGGTCTCGGGTGCTCCAGAAGGGTAGGCAAGTCCTGCTCTACATGTGACAAGCCGTCGTAACATAATCCTTCGATTGATTAATTTACGTTCATGCCAAAACGATGGAAATGAGTAGGAATGATGTGTTGTATTGAATCTCTGATGTCATGCTGTGAGCTGATTTTTTCATTTCCAAATCTTATAATAACGTCCTTATTTAGATGTTGATTACAATTGTGGAGAAACATTGCTGAGACAGAAAAGTAATCTGTCGAGGAAAACCGACAATTGCCCTTATGTTTTATAGACTTTATTTGAAATACAAACCGTAAAACAACACAATTCTAATAAAAAATATAGATATTTTTTTTTTTATTTTCAAAATTAGACAAATCCTATTCTTTTAATACAAAGGAAGTGCTTTTCAAGATTATGATAATGTTGTGTTAGAATTCTTCATAAAGAAAGCCCATTTCTTTTGCTGCCATGGTTGCATTTTGTACCATCCAAATATAACACCAGTAGATGCAGTTGCAATCTTTTGTTTTACGATCATTCCTACAATATTTGAAATAAGAGTTAAGAAATAAGAAATAAACAGCATATTTTGCGTTAATCAGAATTTTTTATATTGAACGAACAAACTTCTTATATAAATATATATATCAACGGAACCAAGAATGAAATTAAGGTCATACAGCTTGAAACTAAGGAAAAAAATAATCTTAAAACTTTACCTATACTTTTTTAAATATGGGAAAACAAAACAAAGGAGTAAGTCCAGTAAGACCCCTTTTTGGCCCCAAATATAGCAGTTTTACAAAATTGTTAAAATGTAAACTTTTAGCTATTTATTGGAAAGAAAAATACTTCTGTTACATAAATATGGGCTGTTTTCGACAATACAATGCACATGTATCGGGTACTAGCATCATTAAGTCATGCTAAATTACTGAAATCTTCATAATTTTAGCATTTGAATTAATTTTTAGACGGTTTTTGTCTTAAATGGAAGTGGCCGCATTCGTGTTCATTCTAAATATTTAAATGTAAGTTGTATTTGATGATAATACATATCATTTATAAAGGTCGGGGATGAACACGAATGCGGCCACTTTCATTTTTGACAAAAACCATCTGAAAAGTGACATATTATGGCATAATTGATAGATTATTAATATTTAAGCCTGAATTTGAGCGTCTTTAGTGACTAAATCGGTCCAAATCTTTCAGATAAACTAATTGAATCTACTAAAGTAGACACTTGAGTGTTTAAAAAGTGTCCAAAATATTTCATCAGATGAACCTGAAATTTGAGGCCAAAATCGGCCCTTACTGGACCTACTCCTTTGCTGTACTTGGCAAGGATACTTATGATATTCTTTTCAGGAACTCTCAGAGTATAAATTTTGAAGAGCAAAAGAAGTATATTCCCTAATCTTTACTTATAAATCCGGTTTTGACCTCTTCGATTCTTGTTTTGTTTTATTGTGTTTCTGTTTCACTGATGTGTATTCCCTACATCGCTTTGAATTCTTACTCATCGGTAACGTTATTATAAAAAAGTTGCCTTGTTGTTTTAACCAGAAACTTTTCTTTTGCTTCAAAATTACTATAGTATACGAAGAAGGTTGTATGAACCTCCTTACATACAATCCTGTTATAAGAAGATGAAGTATGGCTACCTCTAAAACAATTACCCTATATAAAATAAAGTAATTGGAGAAATCAACATTTATTGATTTCATATAAATTTGTATTCCTCTTTTATGTATAATTTGTTTAGCATGGGAATAATAGTATTGGCTATACTTAATAAACTTGCTTCGTCCAGACTTGAAACTATGTGCCATGACGGAATATTTGCCTTGGACGTTTATATAAGCAACTACCAATAATTCATTATAGATGTGATTATTTTTTATTCTTTTCTGTTGTGGAATTATGGATTATGACAACAGATTGAATTTAATCAAAATCAGAAAAAAACTGGTATACTAGTTACCTTTTGGTACTGCACTAAAGCCTGAACATGTCTTAATGTTCAAGTCACGTGGATGGAGATATGTCTGGCGTGTGAAGATATAGGCAAATGTTGCTTCGTCACTGATTACTTCTGTTCATTTAAAAAAAAATTATAAGAACTATTAAGTGAATATTTCTCAAATTCGTGAACAAACGAATTAACAACATATAATACCACATTTTAAATATATATTTTTCTAAAGTATTTAAACGCCTAAAAAGTGTACAAAACAACACCAATAACAAAAAAAGAAAACTATAAATGTAATTATTTATAAATATTTCGGATAACAGATATCCTTCATCAGTATGATTATGATCATGGATGTCAAATGAATCATATCAATCTAAAGTTTTTTTTAAAGTATTTGTATATATAGATAAAGAAAAAAAGATTTTTATTTTTGCTTACATTTCTGTACAATTTGACAGAATGAACATGGAAAATATCAACTTATTTTCATGTAATAATAATAATATAAATAATAATAATTATAATAATAATAAAAGTTAACTTTACAAAAATAAAACATTCCGAAGTTTTGTAAACAATAAAAAGGCAACAAATCAATCAAAACAACTTCTAAACAAAAAGCAAGATGTTAATTAAAAAAAAAAAAAAAACAGACATATGATACTATGATTTCCCATTCCCATATCAATTAAAAACTCACTATCACTACTGATGCACTGGTGTTCGCCTTTCTCGGTTTTGGCTACTGTTTCCGACTTGATTTGCTTAAGGTTTTCTTGGTATTTAGTGATTTTACAGTCAGGAAGTTTTTCAGAAAATTCGTATTGAAGGTGAAATTCCTTTTAAAAAAAAATATAAGCAAACTACATTAATATAATTTTAGACATTAATATTCTATACAATATACATATCATGAGGGTCTGGAAGGAGTACAGCATAGAGAATAAAGGGTAAAAAGTGCAGTGTAGAGAAAAATAGGCTAAAAAATAAAGAAAAGAGAATAAATGGGTGTTGAAATATATCTCGCCGAGATTTTCTCCTGTTTTGTAGTAAGAACAAATGCATTTAACATTTTCTGACAATGCACGTATATTGGTTTTTTTTATCCTGCAATTTAACCCTTGCAATTTTACGCATAGCTTTTAATGCCAAATTTTGTTTGGTTCTTATAGAAATCAACATGAAGCAGAATAAAAAGGAGACTGCGTTGAAGGCCCATTTTTTTGGTCTTGGGCTGTTTTCTGCTCTTTGGTCGGGTTGTTGTCCCTTTGCCACATTCCCCGTTTCCATTCTCAATTCTATTCATTTGTTAAAGTACAAATAAAGCAAAAATTTATTTGCATTCCAATATTTTCAAAATAGTTGGCTGATTACAGGACTGGATAAAATACATTTTGTAATTGAAAAGGTCACTTTTCATAGTAACTATTTCTTCAAACGTCTTAATACATTTTATGTAAATCTAGATATCCATTTAAGTTACAACAAATCTTATCACACTAGATACTCCTCGATTAATAAGAATAGTTCAGTAGACTAGAACCTACAGCTAGCTCTAGTCTACTGAACTATTCTTATCAAAAGCTAGCTCTAGTCTACTGAACTGTTCTTATCAAATGAGGACTATACTTCCAGGAGGAGGAGCTTTCCATTTAGCTGTCAATCATGCATGCATGGCCATATCTGCTTATTGTCCCGTATTTCAGAGGCGTTTTACTTTAACTTCTTTCATAATTAAAAGAATCAAAAGCGCTTACGACTAAAAACTGGACTCATCGTAAAACATACGTACCTGTGGTAATACAAAACTGTATTTTGAACTAAGTGTATGGATGATGTTAGTAACAAAATTTTGGCTCTCAGTTTCTAGCTTTTGGATGTGCTGCATAATATCATGTGACCTGTGTAAACAAATATGCAAGTAATAATGGCGTGGCATGTACGGAAATTTAAACAAACTCTGTATTTTTTTTTTTAAACTGGATAGTGACTTTATTTACTTTTTGCACCAAAGCTACTGGTGATAAAATGATTAAAATGCGGGTTAAAACATTTAATAATTATTTTCCATAGGAAATAATTTTTTTCACACAATTATACAAGATGAGAAATATATCTTCTCAGTTTCTAGCTTTTGGATGTGCTGCATAATATCATGTGACCTGTGTAAACAAATATGCAAGTAATAGTTCAAAATGGCGTGGCATGTACGAAAATTTAAACAAACTTTGTATTTTTTTTTTAACTGGATAATGACTTTATTTACTTTTTGCACCAAAGGTACTGGTGATGAAATGATTAAAACGTGGGTTAAAACATTTTATAATTTTTTGCCATAGGAAATAATTTTTTTCACATAATTATACAAGATGAGAAATATATCATTCCTTTTTAATCATTCAGATATTTATATATATAATGTTTTAAATGCAAAACCAAAATGAAAAAAACTATGTCACTGAAATACAAATAATATATATCAGGCGGAAACCCAGTTCAAATTTGATTTTTATGGGGGGGGGGGGGGGGGGGGGGGGGGGGGGGGGAGGATGAAAAATTGTATCCTGCATTTTTTTTAGTTGTAATCTCGGTCCTGCCTTTTTATTTTTCACTTTATTCGGTCCTGCATTTTTTTATTAGTTTATCCTGACTTTATATACATAATTTGTCATCCTGCCTTTTTTTTTGCCAAGTTGCTCATCCTGCCTTTTTTTTTACTCAAAACTTCTGTCCTGCCTTTTTTTCAAATTTCATCCTAGCCCCCCCACCATAAAAATCAATTGGTAGCTCCCTTAAACAAAAGAAATGGAACTCTTTGTTAGAGAAGGTAAAACAGGTGAAGTTAGTAAATTTGAATTGTTTACATCTGTTTCTATGGGCTTTACAAAACAGTCGATTGTGGTAGGTGCAAATTCTCGTGGATCTTTTTTGTACATAAGCATAAATTCCGCCGAAAAAATTCAAAAGAAAGATAATTGATTCTTAAAGCATCAATTTGCATCTCTGCCCCCGGTGACAGTTTTTTTGGGAAAAAATTCCCATAATAGGCAATAATTTCATCGAAAAGAGAAAGTCGAGTACACCTTTTTAGGTTCAGGCATGTTTGAGATGACTATTCTGTCTTGAAAACGTATAAAAGAAAAATATTTGATACATCATCTCGCTTCACATTCTATTATTTTTATACATTTAGGCTGTAGATTGATACAAAAACATTAAAACTTTACAGTACTCAACGATGAAATATGGGTCAAGTGAAATACCTTTCTAATGAGTCATAACAACATAGTAGGCGTGTTCGAATAACATATTTTTTACTTAAAGTATATGACGACAAACTTTTCTGGTGGATCTTAAAAATGCATAACTTCAAAAAAAAACTTTTTTGTGTGTGTTAAATAGAGTAATTAGTCTTCAACCTCTGAAAATGTTTAGTCTGCCCTTCCACGAATATTAATTAGAATTTTTAAAAATATTTTTGAACTTTCGAAAATTCCCCCTGACAACCGATCAGACAACAGTTTTAAGTTGACCAAATGCATAAAAGTACATTATTAATAAAAGATGCTCAATAGCTAGTAAATACATTTGTCCTTTAAAATACAACCGTAATGATAATATGTGGATAAATTTATCGGTTTTCAAGAGCTAAATTGACAGCGCGTCATCACTACAATGGCTTCTATTTTTACGATTATAAAAATTAGGTGGCGTAATGGGGAGATAAGTTTGACGAAGTAGAATCCTGACTGATATTTTTTTTTAGATTATCAAAAAATAAAATGAAGCCTAACATTAAATAATTCCAACATATAACTTTGGCCATATTATTTATCGTATAATACCGATTTATAAAGAAACAATATCTATTGAAATGAAGTACCAGGTTAAAAGAAGACTGTTTTACCTTTCACTTGTGAAGGTTGACAAAACTCGCTTCAGAGAAGAAAGTCCACTCGATATCTTTTCTGTAAATCCGAATTTTAGACTATCTAAAATATGGCTTTCCAACTGTAAAGGAATTATTTATAACTTATTCGGATAATATATAATACTAATACAGTTTATTTTATCATAAAGTGTCATATATTGATTGAAATAATAAAATGTACAATACAGGCACCATCAGGTAAAACATTCAATCAACACCCAGCCTTAAAATTGACTTATAGGACATGAAAAAAATCTGCATTTAAACAATCACGTTATTTGAAGCATAAACATAAATAATTATAAAAAAAAAAGATTAAAGTTTAACCTTAGCATATTGATCACCTATTCAATAAAATACACTTGCAATTAATTTTGTTTTAAATCGCATTAACCTTAATGTCACGCCTCAAATGTCAAAAGTCTTCGACATAAAAAAATTTATTAAGAGACGTATATAGATGGGTTCCTAACTGTTCACGATTTTATCAAATTTTCCTATATATGTGTACCTGTCTAACTTTATCTTTGGCAACACTTTCGTCATGAAGCAAAGTCTGATATTTTCCAGCAGTCTCAGCAGCTTTCTCCATCTTACTCTCATATTTCTCTTGAAGAAAGTCAATGAAATCTCTTCGCAACCTTCCAGTTTGCAGCGAGAATGTGTCTGACTTTCTTACGAAGTAGATTCTTTGACCCATAAGTTTGTCTGCGGCTTCTGTCACTTTGTCGTTGATAATCCAACATTTCTGAAGAAAAAAAAAGAAAAAAACTATCCAATGATCAAATTTGTTGTCTTCAAAATTAAAACAATTGTGCATCACGTCTCTGCACTTCAATACCATTATGAATGCGAAGTTAGTTCGTCATCTGTTATTTGAAATCAATATCCAACAAGCTAGCATTCAAATTTTCCTAGTCAAAAGTAATAAAAAATTGAGATTTTGATAGGATTCAAAACTTTATATTAATAATCATATCTGAAATAGCATATGTAAATAAACAGATTAATCTTTTGTCTGACCACTACAGAATCGAGATTTTGTGTGACCACTACAGAATCGAGACTGATTCTATTCTATTGTTAAAGTGAAGACAAACTATAATTTAAAGAGGCAATTGTAATTTGTGTTAGGGTTAATATTCAAGAACAATGAGCATTTACCATAGTCTGTATGGGTCACAAAAATTTGTCAAAATACGACTAAAAATTTCGCTCATACATTATAGTCTTGGAAGATAATAGGGTAGATAGGGTGTCTTCCTCCATCTTGGATTTTGAAATACCAGAAAATAATCGGTCTAGACCTTTAATAAAATGTGCAAATTTTGAGAGAAGTGGGTAATTCATGTGTATGAATTTTCATATTAATATAGAAAATGACATGTTTTATTATATTTATGGTTGTATTTTACAAAAAACAGAATACTTTTGTTTGGTTCAATTTTTTCCAACTTTGCCACATAAGGGGAGGCAACTGAAATGCAAGGGCAGATAATTCAGATAAAATTACTTTTACAATAGAATGTGTTAGGAATTTATCTATTTTATTATGTAGCATGAAAACGGGCCCGGTGACCCCAATTTTGACATCCCTACTAAATATCAATATTGTTCTCGTTATTTTACCTTTTGTTGTTTCTGAAGTTCCTGATAAACTTCCTTGTGTTCCTCTATCAATTTCTTTAGATCTTGTACCTCTTTGTATTCTCTTACATGTTTATACCGCTCGTGGCATTTGTTCTCCGTTAAACTGAAATTCAACAGAACTGTATTGGAATACAAATAAGATGAAGTTCGATTGCTAAATCATACCCTAAATTACCAAAGAATTCACTTGAACACAGAGATTACTATCAGGTTCTGTTTATCAATGGGCCAAGTGAGCTTTTCTCATCACTTAATCAGAGCAAAATAAAACCAAACTTGGCGTAAATCATCCTTAGGGTATCTTGTTTAAAAAATGTATCCGATGACCATCAATCAAGATGGCCGCCATGGCTAAAAATAGAACATGGGGGTAAAATGCAGTTTTTGGCTTATAACTCTGAAACTATCTTTTTTAGCATTTATGAAATGACAGGAATGAAAATGTTCATCCGGTGAGGATCTGTCTGCCCTGAAATTTACAAACGCATCAGACAAACTGTTGTTGGGTTGCTGCCCCTGAATTGGTAATTTTAAGGAAATTTTTCAGTTTTTGGTTATTATCTGAATATTATAATAGATAGAGATAAACTGTAAACAGCAAAATTGTTCAACAAAGTAAGATCTACAATAAGTCAAACATGACCAAAATTGTTAATTGACCCCATAAGGAGTTATTGCCCTTTAAAGTCAATTTTTCACAATTTTTCGTAAATTTTTGTTATATTTTGCAAAAATCTTCTCCTTTGAAACTACTTGGCCAAATTAAACCAAGCATGACCTAAATCATTCTTAGGGTATGTAGTTTAAAAAAATGTATCCGATGACCCCGCCCATCAACCAAGATGGCCGCCATGGCTTAAAAAAGAACATGGGGGTAAAATTCAGTTTTGCTGATATCTCTGAAACTAAAGCATTTAGAGACAATCAGACATGGAGGTAAAAATGTTCATCCGGTCAAGATCTATCTGCCCTGAAACCTTCAGACGCATCAAACAACCCGTTGTTGGGCTGCTGCCCCTTAATTGGTAATTTTAAGGAAATTTTGCAGTTTTTGGTTATTATCTTGAATATTATAATAGATAGAGATAAACTGTAAATAGCTAAACACTCATTCTCAAGTTAAGGTGGCTAAGGCATATGCTTAAATCAATTATAATAAAGGTTACAAAATTACATTAAAACCTTTCATACATTATACCTAAATAAACCTGTTAATCAAAACTGCTATTCTTTTCTACTCACAAACATGGATAAAAAATTTACCAGCTCTTAGTTTTGGCGCCTTTAATGTCCAATTTTTGACAAAATATTTACGTGATCTGCAACTGACTGTTTTAAACATATTAAATAAAGCCAATGCTCATCAAAATACTTCAAAATATTGAGTTGTCTAAATAGAACAACAGTTTTGACTTTCAAATTCACTTCTGATTACCATGGTCCGAAATTCATATGACCGAATCAGCCAAATCAAAACTGGGTCCGTTTTTAAACTGTAGCTGTTCCTTTTACTCTATAAAATCACTTTCTTTGATTTATTTTTTTTCTCTGTTCAATGCATTGTAAGCAAACAATTTATGGCTGATACCTTTTTTTGAATAATTGCAATGAAATATGAAAAAGGTTTTCCCAAAGAAATGTTGGCATGGTAGATATTTTAAACTTTTCATAGACCTGTGTAAAGGTAACGTAAATATAAATAATCTAACTTATAAAATTTTAATCCGAAATTCTGACTTGAAACATTGAAAGTTTTTTTAATGAATGTACAACGAATTTATCAACTCAGACATTTGTCTACCATCAAATAAGAGACAAAAATTTCAAATTTTTAATTGGTAACGTAAATATCAAAATGCAAAGATTATGCATCAAACATGTTAAACAATTCAACAAATATGTTTTATTTATTTGTGTTCATTTCATGAGCTTCAAAGTTGTTCTCAATTCTAGTTCTGTCCTCTGGGCTTATTTTCCAAAAGCGTTTGCTCTTGCCGGAAGGCTCTAGATGATCAAGTTTATAGAAGACGTCTGATTTTTTGCACCATATCGTGTCAGGTGAAGTTGGCCACCTAAACATAGCTTTCGCTCTTTCGAGAAAGGTAACCTGTACATCTTCGTCGTCCATATCTAAAATTTTCCCGATGTACCACTGACCTTCATAAACACATACAATAAAGTCATCCACTGACACTTCTACTATTATTATTTCATGATAATCTTCATTTTGGATCTCATTACTTTCTTGCAATTCGTTTTGTGTGACTGTTTCTTCTGTGTGACTGTTATGATTTGTGTTACCTTCATATGTCTGTCTATTCCAGGATTCACAGAATTTCCCTTTCAAGCATGTGTCACAGTAGCATGAGGTTTCTCTGGTGCAAAGTTCGGCCGTCTGTAAGTCATAGGCTACAGCATGAAACTTCATTGTTCCTTTAATTGGCTTCAGCTTTAGTTTATTTAGTTGGTCGAGCTTCTTCTTGCAATCTTCTTTTTTTACAAACAAAAACTTCACTTCTTTCATGTTTGAAGTTATAGACCAATCAAGAAATTCTTTTGGATCTTGAATAACAACTGCTCCTCTCTTCACTGCTTCGTCAGCCATTCTTTTGATTGTTCCACCAAGACCGTCGCAAGGTCCCTTGCCATGCCCAGCCTCAAAATAATTCCAACGGGCCTGAATTCCATAAACTGATGAATGATTTGCAACGAGGTCAAAAATGGTTTTATTGCGGTATTGGTTTGATGGACTATCCGTCCAGTAGTGGACAAACTCGACATTTGGACAGATTTCCTTCAAGACTGGAACTAAAGAATCAAGAAATTTGCACACTGTACTGGTACAATGAGAAAGTTCATCAGAAATTATTGCGATGCTTTTGTGTTCTAATTTTGATTGGCCACGGAAATATACAACTACTGGGTGTATGGTGACTGGGGTTTGGTTCCAATAGGCACTCTGTACCTCTGCAAGAGACTTACACGAATAGTTCTCTGCAAAGTCCATTTGGACTAAAATTTCTTTCTCTTTAAGGCTATCTTTAAGTGTTTTGATTTCTCTATATTGACACCGTACTCTGTCAACGTGACTTGCAAACTGATTCATTTCAACTTTCATCATCTCTATAAATTCATTCTTCTCTACTGTATTTTCTATAATCTTCATTTTCTTTTTATCTTCAACAGCGACTTGTTTCCATACTCGATAAGCCACTCGATTTTCTAGCAGCTGGTCCATAGAACGCTCTATTTCAAGACTTTGACCTATTAAGTGTTCAGGATTTTCTCTTACGAAAATGTTGTATTTCTTAAGTGTCTGACACTTGAGGGCCATATTCTGATGTTTTATACATAGGCAGGATGTTCGGGATATGAACTTTGCTGTTAAGATATGGCGTGGACGTAAACGACAAAAGGTTGCCAACGAAATTTTCACTTGAGGGTTTTCTACAGAAAATTTCTTATGTAGATCAGCAAGATAATTTGTTAGAATAATTGTTTGCTTCTTTTCTCCCTTCGAAATCTTAATTGCATCCCCTTTTCCTGGTTGCATGCGACTATTATCTTCTCTGCTCATGAAATCTTCAACATCTAAAGCAAGCTGTTTGACTGCACAAATACGTCTGTCTGGTCTTACCCGCTTTGTGGACACTTTTGTCAAAGTCTTTCTACATATACCAGTTCCTTTACTTATAGCAAGATTGAGTCTGTATTTCTTTGACAACTTTCCAGACACTAGTCTAGCTATGGACTGTCTCTCATACATGGACGAAGTTGAAGCTCTTGCTTCTGAAATTTCGTGCAACACCACATTCTTCAACATTAACTTTCGCTTTACCCTCTCTCTTCTTCTGGGTGTCAAATTTAATTCTCTCAGTTCTAATTCAGTTTTGCTGTTAGGTGTACAAGGTTCAGATGGCCTTCTAGTTCCGGAATTAATCTTAGTGCTGAGCCTTTTCAGTTGTCTGGACTTTGCTTTTAATTTTTTCAGAAGCTTTTCCTTTTCTACTTTCAAAAGCTTCATTGCACCATGGGCTCTAGCTAAAGCTCTTGTATTTTTCTTTTTTCCTCCTTTCCTCCTTCCAACAAGTGGCAACTTTACCACCAATGGGCTACCTATACTTTCATAACCACTGCTTTCTGTAACAGATTCATTCAAAACCATTGCTGCTGCATTTCTTTTGCGTCTATGTGTTTGGTTGTGGACTTTTGCTCTTTCGTTTCTTTTTTTTCTTTCCTTAGTTGGCAATTCAGCTGCTGGAACATAGTATTTAATCACCCTGGCTGATTCTTTCTTTAAATAATTCTTTCCCTCTTTCAATTTCTTTCTCTCTCTGTACTCTTTTTGGATTTGACTTCGTGACTTAGCCATGTATACCTGCAAAAGGAGTACATTTTGCATCAAACTGAACTATAATGTTCCAGTTTTATGTTAATTTAGTGATATCAAAATATGAACTATATTAGCAAACACTTTGTTTTGAAAGAAGATAGGAATAATAAGAAGTCTAGTTAGGTAAACATAATGTATGTTATAATAATGTAATAAAAAATTTACCTTTAAGCAATATAATAAAATTTTGATATTTACGTTACAATTAGACCCAAAGGCAGATTAGTTGTAGTAATTGGTAAACTTGTATGTATTGTTTTTTGTTCATTTTGTTATCTTGATATAGCATAATATAAATGTTGAGATGCATTTTTAGCACGTTTTATTGATTTGATTGCTTAATTAATGGTGAAATTCCACGACAATTCTAGCATTACTACGCATCTTTTTAATGCAGCTACAGTAGAAAAACATTCATTTCTATGAATTTTAACCACTGAAACTAGCATCATATATCTATAAACCAACTTTAAAATCACAAAGACAACTTTTTTTTTATTGTATTCACTCTATAATTCAGTTATAGTTAGTAAAATATTTACGTTACCCAATCGTAACGTAAATACTTTCCCCATTCAATTAACTTGTGTAAATAATCAGTACAAAAAGTGTATTTGAAAATGACAAGAACTAAGCATGGAATACAATTAAACTTCTACTTCATCAGTTTATTTCAAAACGTAAGAAAAAATATATATCAAACATCGTCATAGTTACCTTGCTCTTCTATTTGCTTTTATCTCTCTACTGTAATGTATGGATATGTAACGCCATGAAATCTTGTAAACAACGTGTTAAACAATGACGTCATAGACGCTGTTTTTGAAAAGTGCTAAAATGATGATCAGTACCTGGGTCCGTTCCAAAGGTATATTTTGTATCGTAAATATCCGTAACGTAAATATTTTTGGCTAGATAGTAATTCGTTGTTAATACTAACTGTTTATGTAGAAGACAGTACAGATGTCAAAATTGTACATATACTTCCACCTCTCCAATAACTAAGAACTGTTGACATTTGAGTTATGTGTTATTGTTGTGTCGTGCAACACGTAAATATCCCTTGTTTTTATAACCATGATCCTTGGTATGGAAAAAAATGCAAAATCAATGTGAACAGAACAACTTTGCAATATTTGATATTTGTCAGCTAAAACAATGTGTCTAAGGAATAAAACAAATAGGTTTTGTTTACTATAACTACATTTAATGCAGTGCTAATGTCGTTTAAGAAACACATTAATTCAAATAGTTTGGACTTGGTGACACTGGAAATTTAGAGTTCGTTTCAATCTGATTTTTAATATGTGTATGCATTTTACAAGTATCAGTTGAAAAGTATGATAATTCTTCAAATAACTGCAGAATTTTTTGTGCACAAATAACTCAAATAACACGAGACTGAGATTTTAATAATTTGATACCTTGCCGTGGACAGTAACGTAAATACTGTTTTTGACGTTCATAAAGCTGGATTTTGTTTAAATTGTGAGAGTTACATGTGGAAAACAATTATTTCTATCTCCGCACCGGTATCCCCTATCCGACTATATATAAAAATGTACAAGTCTGTGGTTGAATATGTCTTTTACACTGCGGTACATAGAATTGCGACCCTAAATTGAGAATGAGTGTAAAATGTTCAGCAAAGTAAGCTCTACAAATAAGTCAAATGATCAAAATTGTCAATAGATCTAGACCCCTTCAGGAGTTTTTGCTCTTTAAAGTCAATTTTTCACAATTTTTCGTAAACTTTTGTAATCTTTTACAAAAATCTTCTCCTCTGAAACTTTTAAGTCAAATTAAATCAAACTTGGCCTTAATCATCCTGAGGGTATTAAGTTTTAAAAAAAGTATCCGTTGACCACACCCATCAACCAAGACGGCCGCCATGGCTAAAAAGAGAACATGGGGTAAAATGCAGTTTGGCTTATATCTCTGGAACTGAAGCATTTAGAGCAAATCTGAAATCAGGTAAAAATGTTCATCAGGTCAAGATCTGTCTGCCCTGAAATTTTCTGACGCATCAGACAACCCGTAGTTGGGTAGCTGCCCTTGAATTGGTAAATTTAAGGAAATTTTGCAGTTTTTGGTTATTATCTTGAATATTATAATAGATAGAGATAAACTGTAAACAGCAAAAATGTTCAGCAAAGTAAGCTCTACAAATAAGTGAAATGATCAAAATTGTCAATTGACCCCTTCAGGAGTTATTGCCCTTTAAAGTCATTTTTCACAATTTTTTCGTAAATTTTTGTTATCTTTTACAAAAATCTTCTCCACTAAATCTACTGGGCCAAATAGAATTAAACTTAGCCACAATTTTCAATAGGGTATCTTGATTAAGAAATGTATCCGATGACCCTGCCATCCAACCAACATGGCCGCCATGGTTAAAAATAGAACATAGGGGTTTACTATAGAAGTGTATGGGAAAATTGTAGAAAAAACAATTTCAAATGGTCACAACTTGAAAACTAAATTTAAATTATGATAAGGGGTCTTCAGTAACTATTGTAAGACTACAATGGTTTGACCTGCTTTTAATCTAACTACTTGGCAAAATTAATCTAAACTTCGTCTCAATCATTATTGGGGTATCTTATACTATTTATTATGATTTTAACCTTATTTTACATGATTTCCAAAACCACAGTAGATACAGGTGAGCGACACAGGCTCTTGAGAGCCTCTAGGTTTTTTTGTAGTACGTTATTCGAAATATAAATTATCTAAACTCACGTTTGATGTGGTAGAATTCTACCTCCCACTATCATTTTTTGAACTTTGTCACGAATTATCCGAGCAACTGATGGCTTAGTTGATTCAGAAAGTGACCAATTTTCCTGGGACTCGACAACACTGAAAACCGTCTCCGTCATCAAGTAAAATAACTCGTTCATCTGAGGAAACACTGCAAAGATATTAAATTGTACATTGATGAATTATTTTAGAAACACAAGTTTTTAGTCGTCTATAAAAGTTCACCTTGTCAGTTACAACGTATCTAATTGTTGGTTAATGACAGAACAATTTATATGACTTTAAATTCATCATAATAACACTGAATTGTATTTATCTCCGAAAATAAACCACCAATATTTTTAATGAAGGCAAATAATGAAATCGTGCTCGCAAATACAATGTATATACTAAATTAGGGAATTTATAATTAATTACCCACGAAAATAATTGTGTAAACAGGATTTCTCAGAAAAAAAATCGTAAATAGTTTTTCGATAATAAAACATCTCCTTTAATATATGTAAAATTCATTGGCAATCGAAAAGTTACCTTCATTTGGTTTATAATCTCTCAATCTTTTCATGATGCTTATCATCTTTTCCATACGCACTTCATCTATTATTGGATCAAGATGATCTTCTAGCTCTTCGCACAAAGTCGTAAAGTTATCAATTCTGCAATTGGAAACATTCTAAACTAACTTTGTACAGGAGAATTTTAAAATTGCACGCTAGTTGAGGATCTGGATGTGATTAGAGAATAATCATGTGCAGAGTAAATAAATGAAGGACCCCATCCAGACCATGTAGCTGCTTTTGATTAAAAATCAGCACATAGGGTCCACTTGTGTTTGTTTTGAGAGTTAACTAAATTGTTCATTAAAGTACAATAAATTACTTGCTGAAGATCTCTAATTTTGTATTTCTTACAAAGTACTTTTATCGTTTTTTTTTCATAGAAGATTTGCCTGCTTCTGTATGTTCACAAAAGCAGGAAATCGTATGACTACTATATAAGCTAGCTGATAGAAATCAGCATAATCTGTAATTTTACAAATTTTTGTTAACCAAAACTAATTCTTCGGTTATCAAATATTAGCGTTTTTTTCTTGTTTCAAGATTTTCAAGATTTATTGATAACGCTCAGACACATAAATGTGTAACATGAGGTCAAAGTATAATACATAAACAATTGAATGACGAATTGAGCATGCAGTACTATTTAAACACATAGAAATACATTTGTAAATATTTTAGAATAAACAAGCAATTTTCTTAATAAAAGATGATAGTCGTTTAATTGTAGACTTCCATATTACATATGGACAATAATCCTTCCATTTTAATTTATTGCGGATTAATAGTATAATATCTAGGTAAGTATTGGTTTCTATAATTAACAATAGAATCATGTTGACATACAAATAAAATATGAAATTCATCACCAACAAATTTATGACATAAAGTACATATTCTCTCTGGTCTAGGTATATTTTGCCAACGGCCTGTCTCGATTGGAATACGTAAGTTCGATGTCCTTAATCTAGTTACCCACCCTCTGTTCTGTTCAGATAGTCTGATCAGATATTTTTCTAATCCAAAGTCCTTTTTAAATGTCCCATAAAATTGTCCCCGAGATGAATTTTCTATATCGCCAAACCATGAGGTAATAAACTGATCACTCAATATTCGGTCGAGATAATTTTTATCACAAAAGCCAATTTGATTCATGAAAATGTATCCTAGACCAGTGTTGCTAAATATTGATTCTACAGAATCAATCCATTTGAAAGCATAATAACCATGATTCTTCAATGATAACATCAGCCTGTACAAAGCACTACTAAGTTTACTGCTATTGTTTACAACTTTACACCAATACGAAATCATTCTACATTTAACTCGAATTTGCAGAGGAAATCTTCCCAATTCTCCATACACCATAAAATTGGGTGTAGTATTTCGAACTTTTAAAATTCTTTTGCAATATTTCAAATGCATCTGTTCAATAATTTTCAAATTCTCAAAACCCCAAACTTCAGAACCATATAAAAGAATTGGTTCTATCATGGAATCAAATAATTTCAGTTGCAAATCTATAGGAATGTTTTCGTTTCTGACAATTCTATGTATAAAATGCATCGATTTTTGTGCTTGATCAATAACTTTCTTTTTGGTATCTAAAAAAGTACCGTTATATTTAAAGATACATATGTAACACCTAAATAAGAAAATTTTTCAACAATCTCAAGTTCTTTGTCTTGCAGTAAAAATTTAAATTTCTTTTTGCTTTTCCTCTTTCTAAAAATCATTAACCTTTGTTTTATTTAAATTTACTTCTAATTTCCACTTTTCACAATATAACTGAAAAATTTTTAGTGATCGCTGCATACCTTCTTCTGTTTCAGATAAAATTACAGTATCATCTGCATATTATATAACAAATAATTCAAAAAATATGTGCAATTCACTTTGAAACTTCTCTTTTACAGTTTCTAGTGGAATCCCATCTAGACTCTTAAAGTAGTCTTCTAAGTCATTAAGAAAAATTGAAAACAAAAAAGGCGATAAATTCTCCCCCTGTCTTACACCTGCTAAACAGGGGGAAAAATCTGACTGACATCCATTATATTTTACAGATGATTTGATTCCTTGGTACATATTAAAAATAACTTTGAAGCACTTCCCTTTGATATTACTCAATTGAAGTTTTCCCCATAAACCAGATCTTGATACCGTATCAAATGCTTTCCGAAAGTCTACAAAAGTACAAAAAAAGTTTTTTGCCAAATGAGAAATACAGCTCTATGAGTGCATGAAGTACAAACATATTGTCTACAGTTGAATACCCCTTTCTAAAACCAGCCTGATTTTCATGTATAAGTGAAATTTCATTTGCAAAAAAATTCAATCGAGTATTGATTATGGAAGTAAATAATTTCCCTACACAACTAATTAATGTTATAGCTCTATAATTATCTGGATCCTTTGGACAACCTTTATTTTTAAAAACTGGTATAATTATTCCTGCTGTCCAAGTTTCAGGTATAATACCTGTATCCAATATCACATTAAATAGTTTAGTGTAAATACATATAAAAAATGGTGGAGAGTTTTTCAAAAACTCATTCAGTATCCTGTAAGTACCAGAGGCTTTACCATGTTTCAAGTTCTTAATTGCATCCACAACCTCTTGTTCTGTAATGACGCCATTTAAAATTTCATTATAAATTGGGTCACTACACAACGCATTGATGTCAATGCCATCAAGATCTTCTTCGTCACTTGCATTCATGTTTTTAAAATATTCATGAAATGCTTCAATACTAATAGAGGGATTGTCTTTTTTGTAGCCAGAATATTTTTTAAGTGTCTTCCAAAATCCCTTAGAGTCATTTTTGATAGTGATCTCAGTTCATCCGAACATTTTTGTTTATACTGCTGATGGTTAATGTTAAGTGTCTTGCGGTATTCCTTGGCCTTACTATTCATTGCCAGTTTATTAACACCTGATTTCACTCTGTTATATAAGTTTCTAGCTTCTAGTTGTTTGGATCATCGATGTCAGTAAACAACACACTTACCTGTGGTATGGACCGGACATAAGCCGGTATATATCTGGTATTAAGACTGTATTCATTTCTTTATCTTCGTTAGAATCAATGAAAATATCCTGAAAATATTGTGTGACCAACTATGGCGTTGTGAAGGAACGTCGCTAAAGAGAATGACGATAACGTCATAGTTCTATTGTATGGCCATTGGTTAAACACGATGAAGAAGTCAATTGATGTTTTGTTTGTAAGCAAACGCGTTGACAGAGGTGCTTATTACTAAAATGCATTTTCAGTGATTATAAGTGGCGAAAACATTTGTTTATTTTCTGATAAATGTTGTAATCAAAAATTTTCACAGTAGGTTCTGTTATTGCGAAAAACAATGTGCATTAGACAGAAATGTTTTTGACTTTTTTGTGAGACAAGCTGAAACAGATATTTAAAAATTTGAAAATTACTGAAATAGCAAAATGTATTGTTATTATCATAAGTCTTAGCCAAAACTGTGAACAGGAATGAAATTAAATTTAATGAATTTCTTCAAAATATCGTCTTTGTTTGCTTCCATTCAGTATCGTTCCCAACAATGTTATACAATGCCGGTCATTATGAGGCGCGAATGAAAACGGAGAAATGTGTATATGTGGCTGAAACCTAAGCCCTGAGAGATATATGTATACGGACATTTTAATAATTCATTTTCTTTTAGTATATCGGCCATGCTAGTCGTTTACACACACACACACACAAACAAACAACACAATGTTGAAAACTACAATTATGATATTATATTTCTACAAAAAGACTTGGCCAAAATCTTGTTTCGGGTTGTAGTTTTCAAAACTGGTTTTTTTTGTAGACAACTAGCATGGCCGATATACTAAAAGAAAATGAATTATAAGAAATACTTGAGTAAGCCATGTAACTACAAATTTAACATTTCTTACTTGTTTCTGTCCCAATACTTGCTCTCGTCCTTTCCGATCTTCATGCCTAGTATATTAGGAATAACAGTGCAACACTTTTCTTTTACATGGTTCCAAAAGAGATTTGTTTTGTTTTTCATTTCTTATAACTGGTTGCAAACGATGTCCATCAAATATCCAACATAAACCCAATGACACAAAAGCAACACAAGACATCTAGAGATTAACATACGAACCGCACCAATATACATATGAATTTACTAGTAGGTCTCTGGGAGAACATCATTTATTTTTTATAGTGATAATTGGCTTTGAACTTGTTCTCAGTAACTGGAGGTTCTATTATTTTGGTGCTTTGTGTCTAGGTTTTTTTTTATCTTAGTTGTTTTACCTCGTACCGATCATTTGAGTTAATCCAATTGCATCTGGATTTTACAATTTGGTCTTATGTTGTGCTGTAACACCACTGCCCCAGGTAAGGGGGGTGATTGAGCGCTCACAAACCCCGCAACATTTTAATGTGCCTGTCCCAAGTCATGAGCCTGTGGTCATGTCTGTCATATTTGTTTTTTTCGTAAATTGTTTTGTTATAAATAAGGCCGTTAGTTTTTTCAGTTGAATTGTTTCACATTTTTCATGTCAGGGCCTTTTATAGCTGACTATACGGTATGGGTTTTCTCATTGTTGAAAGCCTTACGGTTGCCTATAATTGCTTAAATCCACTTCATTTGAACTTTGGTGGATAGTGTCTCATTGGCACTCACCCCACACCTCCTTATTTTTATACTGTTTCTGGCAGTTATATTGTTAACATGGAAACACCAATTGTATCAACACAAACACACCTCAAATCTTATTGTCGTAACTTAGACAAAGGTTTGTCGGGTCGGTCAGGTTTAACTCAATGCAATTTTTGGATTCGTGACAAATTGGTGGCTGATCCAATCATGAATGCCTATCTAGTCTTACCTTAAATTGTGCAACTGTTTACATGCATGCTCTTATTCATGTAAGCAAATTTAACCTTTCGTAAAATGAACGATGTACTGAGTTTTCACGAGTGTTAACATGTCCGTTGGGTGTGAACTGATGGATATTTTAGTCCGGAAAACATTAAGTATTAGTTGAAAAAGTCTTTGAATACTAGTTACTTTTCAGTAACTGCGAGTACTTTTAGATCGGTACTTTGTGTTTTTTATGTTTGTTAAGTTTTTGTTTTTGTTTCGTGTCGATCTGATGAGGTAGTCCTTTCTTATTGATGTATATATATATATATACAGTTTGTTATTATATGTCGTGCTGTTACAACCCTGTAAAATATTGTTTAGCTTGCTAAATTCTTTGCCTGTCCCCAGTAGGAAGTTTGTAAGTCAATGGTTGTCATTATTTGCTGTCTGTAATATTTGTTTCTCGTTTATTGTTTTTTTTTATCATGAATCAGACCGTTCATTTTCTCATTTTAATTCCATTGTATCACATTGTGTCTTTTATAGCTTACTATCGGTATAAGTTTGCTTGTTGTTGCAGGTCGTACTGTGACCTATGGTTGTTAACATCTTCGGCCTCGTGTTATTTTTGAAAGATGTGGGTTCTTCGTCGTCTTCTATACATCATTTTAGAGCTGAAAAGCCCCTTCTATTAGTTAATCAAGACTGCGATTTCTTTAACAGTAAAAAAAAAAGCATTCTTGGTGACCTAAGATCTGTTTATATAATGCAAATACGAATTGTTTTGTGTGCAATACACTTGAAAACACATCACAGAAAATACCAGTAAAACAATTCATAAACGGTAACCAATAGTTACTAACATCTACATCATTTGGTCTATGGTGGATAGTTGTCTCATTGGCAATCATACGACATCTCCTTATTTTATATCAAATGATGAAAAGGGTGAAAAAGGGTGTTTTTTTTATTAGAGGGGATAACTATGCTCTCCCGTCAGTTGGCTAGTCCAAAGAAGGAGAATGAAAAAGGGTGTCTCCCTCTTAGAGCTGGCGAGTTGGCAGATATGCTATTATCAAATACTTTGTATGCTGATAGGTGTATTCATATATATATATCGTATATGAACACAAAAAGTATTAGTAAATTGAAATATAGTTAAAACAGTTTCATTCATTTTATTTAAATAAAAAGATAAATATCTAACACAGAACAGAAACGTATAACATTGAAATGTGTAAGGCTGAAGTAACATGGCAATAAATATATATTATCACAGCAAAAAAATAGTTGTACAAAAATATAATCTGTAAAGAAAGACAAAATAGCTCTTCTGCTTATGGTCCTTGTTCACTACCAAGTTTACAATTCAGTTTCTCTTAGTGCCTACTTAGAAACTCTACGTAAGATGTTTCAGTTTGACCTTGTAAATGTAACAGATATGCATTCATATTTCAGATCCTTTTAAAGCTAATATTTCAGATCCTTTTAAAGCTAGTCATGTGATTATGTCATGTGCTTTGCTTTGTACTGGTGCTTTCAAAGCTCTGTATAATATCTTCAAGTTTGTCATGTGACACAACACTGTTCTGGTCTGCAGCTTTACATATTTCTGAGACAACAACATTAAATATATCAGATCTATCAGCATAAACGTGATGCCCTGCATCTGGGATTTTCTGAAATGAAATAAATTTGATAGCATGACTAAAATATTCGTCAGACTGAAAGAATCCACCATAGGTTCATGTCTGCCTTATTTGTTTTTTGCTCGTTGTTTTACTATCAATCATAGCATTGGTTCTTTTCTTTTGAACTCTTCACATTTTGTCTTTTGGAGACTTTTTTTAGCTTACTATACGGAATGAGTTTTGCTCATTACTGAAGGCCGTACAGTGTCCTAGGTGTTTATAACCTCGTCCACTAGCCTCAGGTGGATAGTGGTCTCATTGGCAATCATACTGTACCACACCTTCTTATTTTCATATTGAAGTTATATCTTATCTAATTAAAAGATTGCTTTTGGACTTCTAATGGAAAGGAATGATACATTTATGAATAAAAGGAGATATGTGATATACGTCAATGAGACTGCAACCGGAAACCAAAGACAAAAAACACTAAAAGACATCTATATATCCACATATATGGTCTTCAACAAAGGACAAGTTTCTATGTACTACATGAAGATATAAATTATGCGTACTATAGTTATGAATAGATTAAACAGAGACTATAAATTAGAACTGCCACAATAAAAAATTCCCTAAAGAAAAGGTAACCAACGTTATGGTGTAGTTATAGACATGCAACAACTGACGAAGTACCTAAGTAGGGACACAGAACTTGAGCATGTGATGGGTTACTTTTTTCAGCAAATCTTTCACTTTAAAATGATGTAGCGGAACAAGCAAAGGTAAATTTAGAAATGAAAGTACAATAAAGATTAGTTCAGAAAAAAAACACGCTTAAATCTGTAACCATGGTGTAATAGACAACAAAAACACAGATACAGGTAAAACAATACTGAATAATTACACCTTTAAAATGATTGAAACCTACACTATAATATCGGCGACTGCGTATCAGAGTAGATTACATCAGGGCACCGAAAGAGCTAACTGTTTGTTTGGCATAATATAACACATAAATAAAATATAAATAAGATAATAAAAAGAACGCCCCATCCAAAAAGTGATACGTAAATGGCTAGAAACAACAATTGTAACTCCAAAATAGATTTTTAAAGGGGGAAAACACTTGACGTTAAACTTTATGTTTACCTGTACAGTAACATAACTTGAATCCCTTTCAGTCTGTACTTGGTACCCTGCTGTTTTGTCCATCCAGGACTCAGATCCATACAATATAGACACTGGTAATTCCTTTGGTAAATTGACAGCCCTTGTAATCATAGGATTTTTTGCCCAAATGTATGGTCCAAGACTTATACTCTTGAACGCAATCTCGCCACTGAAACATGAAATGAGTGTTATGAACTTTCTAGCCATTAATATACTATTATTTAATTCAAAATCAATAATATCATGTGTGTATTTAATAATGCAAATCTTCAACGATAAAACATAATGTATATTTAATTAATGCTATTCTTATACATATTGTAGATGAATAATAAATTGCAAGTTTTAATTACTAATATTTCTATGTTCATTCAATTGCAACAATTTTCCACATTAATATAAAACATTCAATTTTTGCAAATTACAATATAGATTGATGCAAATTTGTTTATAGATTTGTAAGTGTCTTTTTGTTTTATTTAGTCTCTTAAAGACAAGGGAGAGAATGTAGGGAACAGTGTCAAAGATGTAATAACCTTGGCGTTCTGGCATTTCAGTGATAGGTGTATTTACCTTGGCGTTCTTGCATAACAGTGAAACATGTAATTACCTAGGCGTTCTGGCATTACCATTGATCGGTGTATTTACCTTGGCGTTCTTGCATTAAAGTGAAACATGTAATTACCTAGGCGTTCTGTCATTAGTGATAGGAATATTTACCTTGTCGTTCTTGCATTACAGTGAAACATATAATTGCATAGGCGTTCTTGCATTACAGTGATAGATGTAATTACCTTGGCGTTCTTGCATAACAGTGAAACATGTAATTACATAGGCATTCTGGCATTACATTGATAGATGTAATTACATTGGCGTTCTAGCATTACATTGATAGATGTAATTACCTTGGCGTTCTAGTATTACATTGATACATGTAATTACCTTGGCGTTCTGGCATTACAGTGATAGATATATAAACCTTGGCGTTCAGGCATTACAGTGGTATATGTAATTACCATGGCGATCTGGCATTACAGTGGCAGATTTAATTACCTTGGCGTTCTGGCATTACAGTGATAGATGTAATTACTGACTGTATCGTCAGTAAGGGCATCAGCAAACTTGTTCTGGATATCAGATCTAAATTTCTTCACCAATCCAGGACCTGAAAATTGACAACAGTTCTCTGTGTACAATTTTAAATATAGTCTCAATAATTATTAAGATATCAACACATGTTTTCCCTTATTTCCAAAATAATATTATATTCTTAAAGTGAAACAAGTGCTTAATAAGATATTTGCAACAGGCCTTTGAATGTGTTAATTACGATACTTTAAATAATCACATAGCTTAACAGTAGGCAAATTGCTGAGATGCCGAATTCATATTACATACCAAATGGTCCTGAAGCACATAGAAAAGACATCGGGTGAAATGTTATTCTTAAAGTGAAACACGTTCGAAGTTAGATATTTGCAAGAAGTCTTTGAATGTGTTAAATTACGATACTTCAAATAATCACTTATAGCTTAACAGTGGGCGAATTGCTGAGATGCCGAATTCATATTACAATACATACCAAATGGTCCTGAAGCCCGTAGAAAAGACATTGGGTAAAATAGACTACCGATCCCGAGTAAGATTTTGTATCGTGTCGGCATCTGTGTTTCTGGTGGCTTTTCGTGATATCCCCAGGGATCTGCTGGTATTAAATGCTGAATTCGCTCTGGATATTTCAAGGCGTATGCTGTACTTAGATATCCACCTAAACTATGCCCAAGCAAAATAAACCTCTCCAGTTTCATTTGCTTTCTCCATTCTTCAATAGAGTCTACAAACTGGTCCTCTGCCCTTTCTGTATTTGAACTTAGTGTTGGTCTAGAACTTTTACCAAAACCAATGAGATCAAATGCATATACCGGTCTATTTTTCGATAGTTCTGTGAGATTTTTTGCCCACAGACCAATTCCACCGCCCATACCGTGTACTAGAACTAAAGGTGTTCCACTATGGTTTTCGTTGATAGAAATTGTCCATAATTGATGTTTTGGATTTGAAAGTTGTACCATTCTCGTGGTGTATGGAATCTTTAAATACGCTAAAATAAATTAACAATGTTTTTTTTTAAATCAAGCTGAACATTTTATAGAAATATGTAATCATATAAACTTTTACATGTTTAAACCGGAATGAAATCATTTATTTAAAAAAAAAATATGAAGATGTTGACAGTATATACTAAATGAAAAAAGGAATTAATGTATTGAAATTCCAATTTCTGCATTTGTATTGCATCACTACATCAATTCACTACGCTTGAAGCAATTCGGAAGGATCGCGCCCAGACTAATCTCAAATCCTAGATCCGCGCCCGACAGATATTGATTATATTTTCCAGAAAGATTGAGTTATATATATATTTATGATCCTGATTTTAAAATTAGTGGAGCATATAAAACGCAAATCACAATTTTTGAATTGTGCACACGAGTTGATGTTATGTTGTCATACCTTTAAGTAGTTTGTCTTCCACTTCAGCTAACTTTGCCTTGGATGTTGGTCTCCATTTTGGCAACTTTCTACATCTTTGTTCTGGCTGTTGACAGTGGCTGTTGTAAATGAAACAGAGATACATTTTTATATTAAATCATTGGGAATTTCATTAGTTTTAAAGAAGCACATAAACGGAACGGAACGTGCGAATCGAGAAAATTTTTTTAATGTTCGATGTAAAGCGATAAAATGGTTTTAACGATAAAATATTTAATTTTGCGCATTATATATTGTGGGAGCAAATCACCATAATCAACAATTTTATCGGTTCACATACATCAATCAACCATTTATAAGTTCGCAATTTTCGTATACATATATAGTTCAATTCTCATCATATTTATTTCGGTCAGTCGTGTTTACTATAATTATATATTTGCAGTTGTTGATAGAATCAATAAGCACTAGATGTTAGATGTGCTTAAAATATGATACGTCACTTGCTTTTGATATCTCACAAAACTAACGAGCTTATAATATAATGTATTCAACTCTTATAGTTAACCTCAGTATTTACCATGATTACAGTAACTGTTAAATTAAATTATTATAGCATGGATTATAAAATATACAAAATAAAGAATCAATTATAACACAATTAGTCACAATGTATCGATAATTAAACGTGTATTGAAATGGTTACTTCTTTTCATATAACCCATAATGTATAAAATGAAGACCCACTGTAAATATAACGATTTTTTAAATATGATTTCCTTTTTGTACTGCCCCCTCCGCCTCCGTCCCTGTATTTACTGCAAGGGCAGAAGGGAGCTCTTAATTCTTAAAGTGTGCAATAAGATTCACGCCAAGATAATGTTTGTGACTTGTAAAGACTTTATAATAGAAAGAATACAGTCTCCACACATTTTACATTTTACCTACAAAAAAATAAGTTGTATACCAGCTATAAAGAGTTTCTCAATTTGCTTTTACAAACATATCCCGATTCCTTTAAGGTTTCAAACATCTCAGACATGTAAGCACATATGTCAAATAAACAAATGATCTTATTCATTTAAAAAATCTTGATTAACCTTGATTGAGAATGCACGGAAAGACTTGCAATGGTGCATTAGTAGATTGGAAGCTATAAAACCAAAACCTGAACTAAAACGATTTTTTTCTGCTTATCATTATTATCATCTTCGCTAGCCAAGGGTTACGATCCAGTCCCCTCCTCTTCACTGTGGGGAGGAGGGGACTGGATCGTTACCCTTGGCTAGCGAAGATGGATTATTATAAATTTGTACTAAATTGTTTATTAATTATTATTAACATGACATACTATTAGGCAGAATCTCTTTGTTCTTACTGAGCTATAATCTGACTAATTATTTTAACTGCAACAGATATACTGCACAATTTAAAAGCTCTCTTGCCTTACTATTATGGCATAGTTAAACACTTACCAAATTGTACAAACTTCACCGTTTCCAAATACGAAATAAAATAAACATGATAAAATGGTTGTAAACGCTTGTTGTGGATGGGAGAACGGATCCGACAAACAACTAGGAACTTTTTTTGATATTGTTTTACAATGCAGCATTTCTTCAAAATTGGTCGCAAGATACAGTTGAAAATGGAAAATAAGACGTATTCCATTCTAAATTGTCCAAAACATTTTGGCACCTCTCTCTCTTAAAAAGAAGGGAAAAGCACTTATCTGTACTCCATGTGCTCAGTAACCCTTTAATTTATAATTTGTAATGAACAGATTTTGAAGTACAACAAACGGAACTAAAACTGTATGAATAAAAGGAGATGTGGGGTAAACATCAGTGTGACAGCAACCCAACAACAAAAATACCATACAGTTTTCAACTGTAGTCAGGTGTCTATAAACATGATAAAATATTCAAGTTCTAAATTGTTTCTAAACTATATATAAAAACTTTAAATAAATTTAACAAAAGCCTTCAATTAAGGTCTGCCGTTGAAACAAAATTCTCCAAATGACGTGACCATTAAACGGTAAGTGCCGGAAAATCAGAAAAATAATAATCTAAAAAGTAACCAACCTTACATCACGTAGAGGCGTAGTTCCCTCTTTCTATATACAGGAGAAATTTTCCAGGATTCGTGGAATGACAATGTGACCCTCCTTTAAAATCTTATTTGCTTGAAAAATTTTTTATCTGTGAAGCCTATATGTACATTGAGGATGTCATGTGTTTAAACAGTTATTGACCAATTAAATCGCTATATATGTTAGTTATATACATAGGACTCTGAACCGCCATGGTACTCCGAACCACGATGGGCACGCTGAAGTGCGATAGTTGGACGCTGAAGTGCGTTTTTGATCACTTCAGCGTTCCCATCGCACCTCCGATTTCTATATACATATACAAATAGCTAGCTGACCCGTTGACCGAAAACTAACGCCCGACATCGTTCGTGTCAAGTAGGGTCACCTATGATGTACAGTATGACGAACATATACCGACTTTATTGTGTAAATAACTACTATATTTATTTCTTTTTCTTCTCAGAGATCAATACATATCGGTATGTGGATCTGTTAACATCCAACTGAAATCATAGGTACTTAGGGAAAGGACATTTTGTTTAGCCCTCTCCCCTTTTTTTTGCCAAAATCCGTTAATATTTTTTTTTTAGTTTCAACTATTTTCGCGTTTTTCTGTGATATATTAACATAAATTTTCGATAAAATTAAAATTAACATGCATTTACTATCAATTCCTAGTTTAATATCCACAGCGGACAAAAAAGAACTAGAGGCTCTAAAGAGCCTGTGTCGCTCACCTTGGTTTATGAGCATATTCAACAAAGGATACTCTCCCACATTGTAGACGAGAATAGAATTCATGACAAAAATCTCTGTTTTGTTGATCTTTTATTGCTGATCATTTAGTTTGTTTTGTTTCTGTCTATCTTCTTTAGCTTTTGTTAAAAATACAAAAGAGGGTATAAAAAATTCCTCATTTAAGGGCAATCACTCCTATAAAGAGTGACAGTCTACTAACTATATCGGCAAAATTTTACTTGTTAGAATAGTAGATCTTGCCTTGCTGATCGTTTTAATTATTTAAAGTATCTATTTATCTATTATAATTTTTATCATATGAGGTAAAACAAAAAAATAAAAAAAAATAGTAAAAATCGTCATTAAAGGGCAATATCTCTAATAAGGAGTCGACTGACGATTTCAACCACACAGACTTATTCGTAAAACTTGTCTTGCTGATCATTTTTGCATTTTAATGTTTCTCTCTGTCTAGTATAGTTTTCAAGATATGAGCAAAAGAATAAAAAAAAAGGAAAAATTTGTCATTTAAAGCCAATAGCTCCTATAAGAAGTCGTCTGACAGTTTTGACGTATATGGACAATTGGTAGAGCTAAACATTCTGAACATTTCTGCTCTTGTCTAATTTATTTATAACGGTTTTTAGAAAACTTGCACATTACCCCTAAGTTCTTTTTTGAGCCATGTTGGCCATCTTGGTTGACAGGCGGGGTCATCGGACAAATTTGTTAAACTAGATACCCCAATGATGATTGTGGTCAAGTTATGTTAAAGGAGTAGGTCCGGTAAGGGCCGAATTTGGCCTCAAAATTCAAGTTCATCTGATGAAAGATTTTGGACACTTTTTAAACACTTAAGTGTCTACTTCAGTCGATTCAATTAGTTTATGTGAAAGATTTGAACTGATTTAGTCATTAAAGACGCCCAATTTCAAGCTTAAATATGAAAAATCTATCAAATATGCCATAATATGTCACTTTTCAGATGGTTTTTGTCAAAAATGAAAGTGGCCGCATCCGTGTTCATTCTCAACCTTTATATATGTTATGTATTATCATCAAATACAACTTACATTTAAATATTAAGAATGAACACAAATGCGGCCACTTCCATTTCAGACGGAAACCGTCTAAAGATTAAATAAAATGCTAAAATTTCGCAGATTTCAGTAATTTAGCATGCCTTAATGATGCTAGTACCCGATACATGTGCATTGTATTGTCAAAAACAGCCCATATTTATGTAACAGAAGTATTCTTCTTTCCAATAAATCGCTAAAAATTTACCTTTTAACAATTTTGTAAAACTACTATATTTTGGGGCCAAAAAGGGGTCTTACTGGGCCTACTCCTTTGGCCTAGTAGTTTCAGAAGATGTTTGTAAAAGTTCACAGATGACGACGACGACGACGGACGACAGATGAAGGATGACGAACGACGGACGTCGGACGCCAAGTGATCAGAAAAGCTCACTTGGCCCTATTGGCCAGGTGAGCTAAATGTAACAGGTTTTGCACACAAAAAAGGTGGTAAATAATTGTCCTGTCCCCATGTACATATGACTGAAATATGCAATTAATTCTCAAGGATCTTTTTTAATTTTATGTCATGTATGTGCAATATTTTAAAGTGATAATATATTAGTAAATTAAACTTGTTCAAATTGTAGAATTTTGTTTTGTAAAACGTTGACGACAAAATGGAGTCAGTTTATATTTTAATTTTGCAATTTTTTTTATATGGACTTATTAGTTACATTCAAATATTTATTTCTTTAAGTGCAAGAACCGCCGGGTTTAATTCTTTAGACAAAATCCTACCCAATTATCTAAACAATTTTAAAAATATCCTAAAGCTTTCCATAAAAAATGTATGAACATATCGAATAATCAAAGGTATCCTGAAAGCCAATTCTAAAGAGAATAATAACAAATCAGTTGACTTGATTCCATAATCAGTGTAAATGTACATGTATGATGATGTCAGCTGTTTTACTTACTGTGGTTCGGCACTGTTAGTTGGAAGGTCTGTAACTTGAGTTTCCATGCTAAAAACTGACTATTATATTAGGTAGTTTGTTTTATTTATATCCATGAAAAATATTCAGAAGTGAATGAAATTGAGTCATCAATATTAGGTAGAACGATCAAAATACAGAACGTGGATTTCGACTCGCCGGTGACAATTATAAAAATATGCATTTAAAAAAGACCGCCTATGTTTGTCAGTACACAGGACTCGGTTCGAGGATATTAAATAGTATATTGTTTATATTATACTGTTCCCAGAGTATACGGATGTATACTTTACGCACCGATAGCAATATACATGTTATGATAAATTCAACTTAAGTATAAACATAGATGTATAAACCCATCTATGGTATAAACTATATGTATAACTGGTAGAAATCTACCCTTTTCGAACCGTGCGGGCTATATAGTAAGTTATGGTCCTGTGTTGAATTTTCTTGCATAATAATTCCAGGACTGTACACTTCGCCTGTTGTGTACAGAGTGTGCATGTTGAACAGGTAGTGGTACCTATTTTGCTAAATCGACTCTTGCAATTCCTTTATATTCCTTTTTTAAAAGCCAAATTTTTAAACAGGTGATGTTTTTTGAATTGTAATTTCCAAATATTTCATGACTTGCATCTTACCAAGTTGACTGATCTTGACTTTATTACCAGTACTAGGACGATGATACTGTTGGTGGGCAAGGGGTTTAACTGTTATGCTGTTTTGGGGCAATTTAATTCTTTGTTATCTGTTATTCTGAAAATATATTTGCTGTTAGCTGTTATTGTCTTATTCCTTGTTAGCTGTTATTGGAGTATTAGTTTTTTTGTTATCTGTTATTGTGAGAATGTATTTGCTGTTAACTGTTATTGAAAATTGGAATGTTAGCATTTTGACAGCCAAACTTCAGTAGAAATTGAATTGGGATCTTTCCACTAGTTACATGGTGGTCCCGTATTCGGAGAAGGATTCAATTAACATATAGACATTTGAATGGGTTTACAGTACACTAGTTATTTTTGGGGTCCTTTATGGCTTGCTGTTCGGTGTGAGCCAAGGCTCCGTGTTGAAGACCGTACTTTGACCTATATTAATGGTTTACTTTTACAAATTGTGACTTGGATGGAGAGTTGTCTCATTGGCACTCATACTACATCTTCTTATATTTAAACACAGATCATCACATAAACATTTTAATATTAGTTGGGTCCAGGACCATTACAGTATATATTATTATTATCCTTTGTAATAAATTCCTTTTTCTATGAACACGTATTTAGAATTATCTTGATTTTTACGTATAGGGATAACGATCCTTGTTTCCCTGTATGTGCATATTAAATTCGAACAATTCTTTTAAAATATTACATTCGTAATGGTTCCGAGGAACCCAGTACTAGTGTCTCGCCTACTTTTGATGTTAGTCGCAGGCACCAAAATGGGTAAAAAGTTATTAAATAAATGGGGAATGTGTCCATGGGACACAGATGATGCCCCCGCTTACATATGATATACAGTTATAAAGGGACATAACTGAAGAACAGTAAAAGTGACCCTACCCAAATTTGTACTTGATCTGAGTTTTGTGGTAATACGTATTGTGTATAAGTTTCATAAAATTTGGTTGATGCAAACTTAATTTACTCGGAGAACGGAAACGAAAAATTCAGCAATTTTTCCATTTGTAAAGGGGCATAACTCTACAAAATTTAGTGACAACCCCAAAATTCAAACTTGATCTGTATTTTGTGGTAATAAGCATTGTGTACAAGTTTCATAGCATTTGGTTGAGGCAAACTAAAGTTAGAGAACGGAAATAAAAAAATCAGCATTTTTTCTATTTGTGAAGGGGCATATGTTAACTCTATAACGGTTAAAGTGACGCCCCCAATATTCAAACTTGATCTGTATTTTGTGGTAATAAGCATTGTGTATAAGTTTCATAACATTTGGTTGAGGCAAACTGAAGTTAGAGAACGGAAACCAACTTTGGGACGTACGAACGGACACATGTACAGACGGACAAGGGTAAAATTAATGCCCCCTCTGCTACGGCGGGGGCATACAAATTTCCTCTAGATACTATCTTTTGATTGTAAGAAGCTTCTGTCCAAGTTTGGTAAAAATCCAGGATGGTTTATGAATCTAATGAATGTTTTAAAAACTTTAACTGCAGACTGTATGTAATGTTAACTGAAAGAAAAACTTATTAAAGTCCATTTATACAATCATTTTATAAGTAAAATATGGAAATACAAGAAATATTTTTTTACAAAATTTCCTTCTTGATACAAGCTTTTGATCATAAACAAGCTTTGGTCCAAGTTTGGTAAAAATCCAGGATAGTTTAAGAAAGTTATTAAAATTTTTAAAACTTTAACCACAGAGTGAATGTAATGTAAACTGGCAGAAAAACAAAGCCCATTTATAAGTAAAATACGGATAAATAGGATTATTTTTTTTTACAAAATTTACGTCTGGGTACTATTTTATGATCATAAACAAGCTTCTGTCCAAGTTTGGTAGAAATCCAGGATGTTTTAAGAAAGTTATTCAAATTTTAAAAACATTAACCACAGAGTGAATATTTGTGGATGCCTCTGACGACGACGCCGCCGACGGAATGTGTGATCACTATGTCTCGCTTTTGCGACAAAAGTCGCGAACTCGACAAAAAGGAAAACATATGGCCAGGGATACCTGATGAGGATGGCAATTAAGTCCTAGTTCCATACGAGATACGACCAGTTAACCTAAACACTTTTTATATAATAAGGAACACAGACTCAGCTCTGTGATTCTTTTCTAAGAATACACTCACTATTTAAATTACAAGCATGTGTGAGCTTCTTTAAAAGTACAAAAATAAATGCTGAAAAAAGTATTCCATTAAACAAAAAAATATTATCATACATTGAGTAAACCAATTCTAGATATATAACTCTAAAAACATTGTTCATAGAAAATGGAATTCATTACAAAGGATTATAATAAGATATATACTGGATTTGTCCTGGACCCGACTGATTTTAATTATTCATTTACTGTTATCTGTTTTTATCCCTTTTCAATTCCTTGTTATCAGTTATAAGCCAAATCAATTTGCTGTTTTGCTGTTATTGGAATCCCCCTTGTCCCCCCTCAAACTAGTCGGGGGCCCATGTGCTGGTTAATTTTAGTCTCTGTTGGTATCCGAAAGACACATGTCAATGTTTGAGAATTGAAATTCTAAGGTTCTCATCAAATACTGTTTGCAATTTTGACTACCACTAAGGTTAAGGCGGTTCCAGGTTTTGTGTTTGGGTAGATTGAATATAGGCGTGGGAGCAAAAGCAACCCACTTTCCCCCGAATCTCCTGACATATCAGAATTTACATGTTTTTAATTTTTTTTCATTCCCTTCTCTCGCTCTTCTTTTTAAAAGTGTTAATAAACCTACACTTGGAGAAGTTAATGGGGAACTACCACGAAGTCTGAATGTTGTAAATTATACAGTAAAATTTAACTTTAGACGACGTTCACGATTTTTAGCGCCGTTTCTGAATCTGATGCATTCTGGGTAATCGATTTTCAAAAGTGTACACCAAAACGTCGTGATTGGTTAGAAACGTCCTAAACAATGGAAATTCAACCAATGACGTGAAGTTATTTTCATTTTGGGGTACGAACAATTACATATATATATACATGTCAGTAACTGCTAGTAGTCCTTTGTTGATTTATGTATCATTGTCATTTTGTTTAGTTTCTTTCGTTACCTATTCTGACATCGGACTCGGGCTTCTTTTAAGCTGAGTTTTACTGTGCGTATTGCTGTGTGTTTGTTTTTTCTACATTGGTTAGAGGTATCAGTATGGGGAAGGGTTGAGATCTAAAAAAAAACATGTTTAACCCCGCCGAATTTTTTGCGCCTGTCCCAAGTCAGGAGCCTATGGCCTTTGTTAGTCTTGTTTGATTTTTAATCTTAGTTTCTTTTATATATTTCGGAGTTTAGTATGATGTCCATTATTACTGAACTAGTACATATTTTTGTTTAGGGGCCAGCTGAAGCAGCGCTCCGGGTGCGGGATGTTCTCGCTGTATTGAAGACCCATTGGTGGCCTTCGGCTAATTTCTGCTCTTTGGTCGGGTTGTTATCTCTTTGAAACATTCCCCATTTCCATTCTCAATTTTATATAGTCCTTTAGATTCTGAGACGGCCATATCTCAGTTTGGCAGTACAATCTGTAGATCTTACCGTTCGTGGTGATAGTTAACCCAGAAATGTGCATCCAACGCAGAAAAACCTAACTATGAAATAAATATCTATACCTTTAATCCCTTTTTCTGTTTTTAACCCATCTTCTTGAAATTTCACTCATGACAATATTTCCCTATATAAAGAGGTTATGAATTTGACAACACTACGCAACTGATTGGATTTAAAGTCTCTTGAGATATTCAAGTCTCAAGTGACCCACACCTCAAATTAATTCAACAATATTGCGGAACTTGCATGCCAGAATATTCTGAAGGGGATTTTTTTTCATGAATCTTTCCGGACTTGCAATTTCATAACAATATGGATTCACTGATGCCATATTGTATCTAACACACGCGGAAGAGGCCGGGGTCTATTATTATTTAAAAGCCGCTAGTATTGGTAACTTTTTTGGAATGTCAAATATATCAATTGGGTGCAATTTTACAGAGGTAATACTAGTATAACAATGGGTCGAAAATTGTATGCCAATGGATCATAAATGTACATCTTCTGTTAGGAAGCCAGTAAAAACTTTTTACCTCATAATATATGAATGATCCCATGTGGTTAACGAAGATGTCACGATAACTGGGAAATATATATAAATCGGTAGTTATCTTCTATTGAAATATGGATAAGGATTTACGCATGAATAAATACTTAACGGGTATGTTTTTTTCCGAGGTAACCCCAGCCGGACATCTGTATTCTAATATGAGTGTAGAGACCCCCCGTGATCTAACAATTACGCACTTTCAGCTAGAATTCTCAAATTTGTTACTATTCAATATCTTATAACACATGACATAGGCAAAATATCTTTGTTCTCCCTGAGCTATACTCTGCATAATGAACAACTAAGGCCAGTGTGCATGGATTCTCTCAGATATACTGCACAGTTGAAAAGTACTCTTACCTTTAGGGCGGATCGAGGATTTTTCAAAGGGGTGTAATTCCTTAAAATTGAAGAAATACCGCAGTGTAGCGAGACGAAAAATAATTTGACGATTTTATGCTAAAAATGATATATTTTTCAATCAAAGGGTGGATGCCCTCTTGCCAGCCCCCAGTAATGAGTATCCTCCATTGACCTTGTGAATACGATATAGTTGATCAATTAACAACTTTGTGCAAACTTCGTCGTTTCAAAATATGAAATAGAATGTGTTTCTCATTCCTTAAACTGGGAACATTTTATGATATTTTGTATACAATGTTGATCTTAAATCAGTTTTTTCATTTTTTGTAATTTCTGCCAAAAAATAAATGTATCCTGCTCATGAAATTTATTACAAATTTTTAAATATTCGATCATTCCTTTTTAGTCACTATTTTGGGATCGTATTAAATGAGGTTCATATTCAAGTATGTGCCAAAACCGGAAAATAATATAATTGAGTTGCAGACCAATCAGACTTCCTTTAGATGCTTGTTCAATAACAATAACATAATGTTAATATGTATGTTTTACTGACCATCTCCTGAAAAATAAACACTTTGAAATTGCACGTAGATCAAATGCGAAATCTTTAACGGTTAGCTAAAATATAGTAAGAATCCGTGACTATGCCCAAAAGATTAAGACGAAAAGAAAAAAACAGATTCTGAAAGAATTATACACAGAACATTGCATACTGAGCAACACGGTCCTCCCTAAAATAACCAGATCACGATCATGCAGAAAAGAAACACTGATGAATCTTTATTATCATAATATATTTATTATCAATGCATAGTATTTTCTCCTAAGACCCCAGAGATAGCTCGATAAATTTCCAATATCATGCGTGTAAACAGCTGCTTCTTGGAAACACTCCCAGCATTTTACGTTTTTTCTCTCTCGCCTTGTTTTGTGCTTTTGGATATTCCATCGTTTTTTGTTTTTGTCAAAGTTTTGTTTATGTTTTACTTTTTTCATTTATTTTAATTTGTTTTTGTATCTCTGTTGATTGGTTTATTTATGTTCCAATGCCATTTCCCAAAAAAAAAAAAAATTCTGCCTTTCACGATTTAACATATATATCCGGATATTTTTATCCGGGTGAAAAATAACTTTGTACCGTATAATTATGGAACCGTCTTTGTTCCGACTGTTATTGTCGTTATGGATCAGGAAGTGGTCACAGCAGACAGCTCTAAAAGGTATTTTCGTGAAAACATACTTTTTAGGCTTAAAAATGTGAAGTACAAATATCCAGTCATGTAGTTGATAAACAAATGAATTCGACAAATTTGACAAATGACATTTTTTTTATCCCCAATGCTCCACAAAAGACTTAAATCAACCGGTGAATACCTTATGCAACAATTTCTAAAAATAACTCATCAAAACAAATGTGACTTATATCCGGTTAACCGATATTGCTAGTACTTAACAAAGTCAGTGTAAATAAGTGGAACCAGATTAACGTCACTGTGACCCAGTGACCAGTGGGTCATAATATGTTTGTCCACTACTGAATAGAGAGAACAGTTTAATATGGTACAATGATACAGTTTTTGAGATCTTTATTTGATGCTGCATATCATGTCACAGGACTTTTGTAAGTTTGTTCTAATGAAGAAAATAAAAACTCTTCAGGTACATGTAGTTATGATTTGTCACACTGACCTAAAAATGTACTGATCAATTTCTTTACTTGGATACAAGATTATATTAGCCTGAACTTTAAAAAAATGCACCTTTCATTGATTTGTTGTGTGTATAAGTGTATTTAAGTTGAACTAGTTTTTGAGTTTATTGTAATCATCACATACATGTACATGTGAGCTGCACTTAGTACTACAGAAAAAATATCCATTTGTTGTAGCAATGTGTGTGATCTACATACAGGACATATGGTCACCATTTTACTATTAGAGATTTACAATAAATGTAGGACATAGACCGGAGTCCAATACGAGTCAGAGTCAGACAGTTTAAATGACGAGGGGGATCTCAAAATAATAAAATTATTGTAAACATTGTACTTTAATCATTATAGTATTAATTGAAACATTGATTTAGGGGATTGCCAAAACAATGACTATCCCAATCTTTAACTATGGCTTTACATGTGTGACAAGAAAGCCTCTAACGAGTTCCAATGACTTTATAACATTTCAATTTGCCAATAACATCTTCAACAGATACTCGGTATTTTGCAGTGAGTCCGTTGTGCCTCCTACATGTTCTCTTTTTTTGTGTTCAGGCTTTCTGGTTCTCTGGTGTATGTAGTGTACGGCTGATGAAATAATTCAAACTCTTTCTCCCGATGAGGATCTGGAGCTACCCATCACTGTATGAGCATTAGAGGAACCTGAATTCAAAAATTCAAAAATTGAATAATGGGCAATATACATATGCATTACCACAAAGCCCCTAAAGTGCCATGTAAATATAAATATTTTCGTTTGACGGCGATTTAATCTGGTGCGCACCAGTTTGAAAATCGTGCACACGACTTTAAAACTTGTGAGCTTGACTATGAATTTCAGCAAACTCATGCGTTCTACTTTAAAACTCGTGCACACAACTTAAAACTCATGAGCATAACTTCCAAACAAAGTTTGACTGACTCTATACGAACTTGCGCACGAGTTTGAAAGTCGTGCGCACCATTTTTTTATTTGGTGCGCACCAGATTAAATCTCCGGCGAACGAAAATATTTATATTTATATAGCACTTAAGGTGCACCATACTATTCTCTAAGACTTAACACAGATGAAACAACTAGCCCCAAAACAAAACAAAAATAATTAAAAAAAACCTGAACAATATTTATTATCCAATTACCGTTTAGATAATTTATCAGTTATGAATGGACCATTTTTTAAACTTAAAAGGGGGTTGTTTTTTAATGTTATCGGTAAAAATTATCATGTAACTGGTGCAATAAATATTTGTTGTTAATTTTTTTAAATTCAGAACATATCTGTAAGCGAGCTTACATAAAAAAGTGCACTTTCTATCCTTCAGTCAAAAAAAGTTAATTAATTTGATAAATGGTTTTGTCCTATCACCACACAAAGCTTGAACACAGTAAAATTAATTAGCTTACACATTATCCTATAGCTTACCTGTATAATTTGTAGTCGTACTCGTACTCGGACGCCGAGTCTGACAGTTATTGTAAATCTCTACTAGGCAGACTAGTAACTGCTCAAGACTGTCTGAAAGACCTTTGGTTGAAAATTTTCGTAATAATTTTCTTGGCGCACATGCATATATGCAAGTGAATAATTTTATATTTGGTGTACAGCTTGATAATGATGAGTTGAAGCAAGCATTTTTTAAATCTGCCGTGCAACCAATTCCAGTTTTATGATAGTTTGAAATCGTTCAACACTCATTGTATAAGGACAATTTTCGTCAAAGTTTTCTTGACTTGAATGGATGGGAATACATACATATTTACCTCTAAATTTAAACAACAGATGCTGGTCAGAGGTCATTGCCTTAAACATTTTATATTTGGTCTGCAGATTGGTAATGTTGAGTTGTAGCATGTAAGCAATTTTTTCATCTGCTGTGTTGCCACTTCCTGTTTGCCGATAGTTTGAAATTTTACAACACTCATTGTAGTTGTACAGGGAAACTTTTTGACTAAGATTTCTCAAATTTAATGAAAGGGAATGATCAGTTATGCTTCAGTATACATGCAGCTTCAATTGATTTCATGTACATTTGTAGCTAGTTCAGACCCAGTATTGGTCTCATTCATTTTGTTATTACTGATTAATTGTGAACAGATAATTTATTGTGTAGAAAATGGTATGCATGTGCACAATATCTGATCAGATTATATGATCTGAAAAGCATCAACCATGTCAACTGACTAAAATACATGTAGCTTTATTTTTATGTAATTGAAAATATATTGATTGATTGTTGGTTGCTTAACATCCAGTGGCAAATATTTCATGCATATTCAGGACGAGAACAAATTAACAATAAATACAATAGGTAGGTTCTGTAAGAGGGGCGTCCGGGATTAAGGTCGGAGAAATTTAGACTGCATGGGAAATGAGGGTATATTGGATAGGGACAGAAATTTAGCCTTGCAACAGGTCACCTACGGACCCCTCAAAGAGTTGTTGCAAGGGTTCTTAACGTGTACACAAGGCATCAGTTTAACGTCCCCATTCTGACCGGACATGGCTGCAAATATGTACATCCCGCACAGCCAAACGGATGCCCCACTTTAGCAAGGGTTTTACTGCCGGTCGGAGGAAGACCAATGGTGACCATACTTCTATTCCCCAGTCACCCTTGGGGGTAATTGAAAATATATCCCATTTGTCTGGTGTTAATATGATCTTTATGGAAGATCAGAATCAGACAAGAAAAACCATCAAAAAAAAAAAAATCAAATCTTGTGAGCGAGTTTAGTCCAAAAAATTGAAAAATCTGCAAACAAATGTCAAAAATCAGTAAACTAGTTGTCAGAGTGGTCTAGTGCATTGGACAAAGTGCAGGACTTTATGATTAAACAGCAAAGGTTGAATCCTTTTAAGGGAACTATATATACAATGTTTCATGTGTTTTTGCAAAATGCAGTTCTAATGTGTGACTGAATTTAAAACATAAAACATATATCATATACGTTTTATGTTTTAAATACTGTATATGTATATAGTCAAAACTCTTAATAGCAGTTGCCTGAGCTATACAACAGTGTGGAAAAGAGGAAAATATTTTGCTGGGATGTTACAACTTACACGTAAACTGGTCTAGATTAAATGATGTACAGGCAAACCCTGTTACTTCATTTAACATAAAACAAATCTATAATATATATATTTTATATATATCATGTATATTTATAAAAATTAAAATTTGATGTGGCGGCATGGTATAAATTAACATTATCATCCTTTACGACAGACAAAATAGCTGATCTGAAAGTTACACCATCTACTTGCCACTATACATCATGTACTGTGTTACAACCCTAGATAAAGCAGACAAGGAAAGGCATTACATCAACCACTGAAAGCTATATTTTTATGAAGCATAGGTGGTCGAGTGGTCTAGGGCCCTGGACACAGTGCAGGCATTGTTGCCACGATGTCACAGACACAAGGGTTGGAATCCTGCTGATGAGGGAAGAAAAAAAAATTGCTAATGCAAATTTGAAGATCTTACATTGTTGGGCCAAATTTGAGACGAATTTTATATATACTAGTATAATATATATATATATATATATAAAGTGCCTAGAAAATCAGCCTAACAATGTTAAGATCTGATTTTTTACTTCCTCCCCGAGCGGGGCTGGAACCTGTACTTCTCACTTCTAGGACAACACCGCCTAGCATTGCGCAGATGCCTTATCCCCTCCTCTAACATATCTAACTATACATGTAGCTGATAAAAGTCAGCTATCTTTTTGGGAGGTGTTACCTTCTCATAGAAATTAAACAAGGTCATCTAACACTAACACAATACACTAAAGTATTTTTAAGAGTACAGGAATAATCATCTTCTCTTCTCTTTAGTATAATTACAGGATACTATTCTATTTTTAGAAGCATACAATCACTTTAAATTTATATATATGTATGTCTGCCTAAGTGTAGGGCCAACTGCAAATTATACCTTGTCCATCGGATTTCTTATGATTAATAAGAAATACCATGCTTTAAAATATTTATAAACTGCCTAGAAAATCAGCCTAACAATGTTAGAGTAGATCTGATTCTTTACTTCCTCCCCGAACGGGGCTGGAACCTGTACTTCATTTCTCACTGCTAAGACAACAATGCCTTGCATTGCGCATATATATATGTCTAAATTGAAAACAATGTTCAAACCTATGATTGCGTTGGATAAAAAACGCAATTTTTATACTTGTGCATGTAAAACAAATATCTTGGTAGAGGGGTCTAAATACAGCACAAACAACATTTTCCAAAAGACCAAAAAAAGTGAAAAAGTATATTTTAACAAAACGTATATATATATATATATATATATATATACATGATATATATATAAACAAGTCTAAATTAAAGTATATATATATATATACATAAATGATTAAGATAATTTTTATGACTCTGCCGTAGCGGAGGGAGCATTAAGTTTTACCCTTGTTCGTCCGTCCGTTTGCCTCAACCAAATGTTATGAAATTTATACATAATGCTTATTACCACAAAACACAGATCAAGTTTGAATTTTGGTGGCGTCACTTTAACTGTCTAGAGTTATGCCCCTTTATAAATGGAAAAATTGTAAAATTTTTAGTTTCCATTCTCTAACTTAAGTTTGCCTCAACCAAATGTTATGAAACTTATACACAATGCTTATTACTACATATTAAGTACGAAATTTGGTGTCGACACTTTTGCCATTCTTGAGTTATGTCCCTTTATAAACATAAAAATTGCTGAATTTTTTAGTTTGTCTCAACCAAATGATATAAAACTTATACACAACCATTCTAGTTTTCAGTAGAAAAGCATTATTAATGAATATTTCATTTATCATTTCAGATTTAGCTGGATATCACCAAGTACTTGGATTACTTGGGTTCCGTCCTCAATGATGCATTTAGCACAAGCAGAAACTAAACTCCTCAACAGTATGTACAATATAAAAGAACAAGACAAATTAAATGTATAATTATACTAGACTAGTATAAAAATAAGGAGATGGTATATAGATATAAGAAGATGTGGTATGAGTGCCAATGAGACAACTCTCCATCCAAGTCAAAATTTATAAAAGTAAACCATTATAGGTCAAAGTACGGTCTTCAACCCGGAGCCTTGGCTCACACCGAACATGATTGTTAATAAGACAACTCTATGCCAGAGACTAAATGACATAGAAGTTGGTAACTATATACATGATATATATACATGATATACATGATATATATCACCGTCAGCCATCAACAACAAGTAAAACCCATACAGCATAGCAAGCTTTATAAAGGCCCTTAAATGACAAATGTAAGCCAATTCAAACAAGAAAACTAACAGCTTAACTTGCATACATTCACACATGTATGAATAAATGATTTACTGTAAATTTATCTGAGAGAGTATGTACTGGTATAACAAGTCAACCAAAAATGGTGGTTTCTCTACTCACAATAATTATGGGCAGTTGCCTCTATGTGCCAATGTATGCTATATAAATATGTTAAGACATTCCCGAAATTGAGTCTAGACTTGTAATTAATGTATCTTGTATGAGCTGTGTCGGATAGAAATCGACCTTATGCAAATGAATATTAACTTATTTTGAGTTGAAAAAATCTCTATGCACAGTCTGACTGAAAATTTACTAGATATAAGAACCCTACAAAACAGACCAAGATTCATCTTTTATTTCGTATTTGAATGTTCCAAATTCAATCAAAGTCATATACATGTACATGTAGACGTGCACTTGCATATTTTCATATTTATCCGGCGCAGCTCATATAGACTACTGAAATATCTCAAATAAAATCAAAACTCTCTCTGAAGGCTATAAAACATATGTATTAGGGATAACCATTGTCATAATTTCCTGCCACTTATGTATAATCTTGTATATATCTTATATCATGTATATACAACATGTATATTATTCATGTTATTGTACATATGGTTTGATGGTCATCATCAATGTTTTTAGTATTAACAGATGCTTATCAAAGCTTATGAGTTGCATTTTAATTAAAGTTGAGAGATTTGGTTGTGTAATTTGAGATAAGTGAAGTCTGAATATGCAAAAGAAAAACAGTTGATAAGATAACAGGTACAAACAGAATAAGCTCGTGGTAGTCTACATGTCTTGACTACTGGATCCTATGTATTTCTAACCTTGGCCACTGGCCAGATCAAACAGAAGACTTTCAAATTTGAATTTGCTGTTTCTCTGCAAACATGGCAAACTATGCTGCATTTGGAAGTAAAAGCAAAGACTGGTCAGCTTGGAGTAAAAATTACCGGTATATTTTAGGTAACATGTCTTTTTGTATTGGTGCTGACTGTTACCTTGTGAGTTAGCACTTTAAAAATCAAACACAGGATGCCTGTCTAGAACAAAACTGGTCATATTCATAATAAGTTCATATAAAATACTCATGCCATTACTGTCCTGAACATGTGTGTAAAATTTGCAACTGGACGTTTATATAATTTAAATTAGTATCCATCAGTCAATCATTTTAACTAAACAGTATATCAATAATCAATACGTACAGTATATGTAATATAGCTCATGAATATTCAACATCTGATATGCATATCTAAATAAGTTGCCTTCAGTTACTCAACAATGTTCAACTCCTGTAAAACTTTCCCCCTATGTTTTAATAACATGTTCTTTTACAGAATGTATTTTCAGTCTATACCTTCATCATTTTCATAAGTATGAAAAATATTATATTGTTTGTCGTAATGCTCATTACACATTTTATGTAGATTTTTCTACTTGAATTACACAATAATTTCTGAAATTTCTATATTTTTTGTTTATTCTATCCGATTTTTTATATTTCAGAATTCATAAAATTGGCATTTGATACAAAGTATGTATATCTTCCTTCAAAACAACATAGATTATGGACTATGACAGTAAATAAGGACCATAAAAATATGCCATTGGTCATGGTCCATGGCATGGGGGGAGGGATCGGCTTATGGTCCCGTAATATAGATGAACTTGCCAACAATAGACCTTTATATGCATTTGATTTACTTGGGTTCGGTCGGAGTTCTAGACCAACATTTAGTTACACACCAGAGCAGGCGGAAGATGAATTTGTAGAATCATTAGAAGAATGGAGAAAACAAATGAAACTTGATAAATTTGTGTTGCTTGGACATAGCCTTGGAGCTTATGTGTCTTCTTCTTATGCCCTGAAATATCCAGAAAGAGTGAAACATTTAGTGCTGGCAGATCCATGGGGATTCCCAGATAAACCACCAGACTCTGCAAATCGGATTCCTACATGGATAAGAGTTATTGGTGCTGTCATTTCTCCGTTTAATCCACTTGCAGTTCTTAGAGTTGCTGGGCCTTGGGGTTAGTATACATGTAATAAAGGAATTGAATATTTTGTTAAAAAGAAAAGTATTAAGAAAAATATTTAAAAATGTACATTGGCGACTGTTAAAACGTTTAAACCCCCTGCATTTGTATGCACCTGTCCTAAGTCAGGAGCTTGTTGTTCAGTGGTTGTCATTTGTTGGTGTAGTTCATAAGTGTTTCTCTTTTTTTATATAGATTAGACTGTTAGTTTTCCTGTTTGAAATGTTTTACACTAGTCATTTTGGGGCCCTTTATAGCTTGCTGTTTGGTGTGAGCTAAAGCTCCGTGTTGAAGGCCATACTTTGACCTATAATTGTTTACTTTTATACATTGTGACTTGGATGGAGAGTTGTCTCATTGGCACTCATACCACATCTTCTTATTTATATCTAAATTTATCTATCATTTTTGTCCATAAATAACTAGGAAAATGAAGGATGTGAATTCATATAGTGTTTTGGCAAAGGATAACAATGGTTTATACTTTTCTGATGTTTGAAAATACATTTATCTTAAACATAAGCATGGTAAGGGTATGATAGAATGTTGTTATGTGTCAGAATTCAACAATTTAAGTATGGTATACATTTGTATTTGTATGATTAAAAAGAGGTTTGAAGGCATTGGTGTAGCTTACGTTGAGGCGCCTCGGTAAAAAAAAAAAAAAATAAAAAAAAAAAAAAAACCTTTTAAATCTTGTAAACGATTTCCACTTAATGCAGCAGACTCGCTACTAAACGCTAATATACCGACTTGTACCGTCTGGTTGTGGTTATTGATTCATTGATTTATTGACTTATGCAAACATTTCCCTCCCATAGTTAATTCCCTTTGCGGTAGTTTTCTGTAATCTAAATTATGTTGGAGTAAAAAAAAAATTGACACAATTGAAGCTGACAAATTTATTTAATTTTAATCATACCCCATTGCAAACAAAATCAGTAAAATAGATGATGATCCAACTCACGATTCTTCCCCGATCGAATCACTTGACCATTGAATCAGGTAAATTATTTAATTTTGTGTGAGAATAATTTCCTAGTATATGAGGTTTATAGATAACAGAAAAATGCCCTGAAATTAATTTTAAAGAATAGATATATAAATTGGTGCTAAAATATAAAATAAAGGAAAATCAAATTAAGGGCAAAAAGAATTAAAAATAAATATTTCTAGAGTTAAACCCCCATTCAAACCCTCATATATAACTGGTAACGCCGGTCTAAAATTTAAACATTGTTGTGTGTTGATATTTCCCCCTACTTGTAGTACTTCAAATACACAAGAGTTTCATTGACTTTGGTACCGATCAAAATAAAATATCCATCAATCAACATGCACAGAAAAATTTTTATATGTTGCGGTTCTCAAGTTTTATGCTCGCTATTTTAAATTTATAGTTTTTCACTAGCAGGGAATTAAAATATTTAAAGGAGTCTCTAATTCCAGAGAAATATTTATTATATGTCAGTCAGTTCATACATAATGTCAGTTTATATATAAAGATGTCAACCAAAATGTTTTCATTTATCATGAAGACTTCAGAATATATGTATAGTTTTATCATGACAAGTTACAGATCAAGTTTGAATTTTGGTCTGGTCTAATGATTTTGTGCAGAGTTATGGTCCTTGGACTTAGAAAATTCACTCAAATAATCAATTTTCCACATTTTTTTTCGTCATGCTTGAAGATTTTGACTTGATATTTGTTATATAGTTTACACCATGACAAGTTATAGATCAAGTTAGCATTTTGTTCCAGTACAATGAATTTTTAACCGGTAGGGGACTATGTATTGTCAGGCAATACGCACAGAATGTTATATATGTAAATAGATATAAGAAGATGTGGTATGAGTGCCAATGAGACAAGTCTCCATCCAAGTCACAATTTGTAAAAGTAAATTAAAAGGAAAGTATACTTATCAATTCAATCAAAATTGCAACCATAAAAAAATGTTCTTTTCAATATATTTTGTTTGTAATTGTGAATTTATGGAATTATGGTGTTGATAAGATTGATTAAAACATGCTAACATTAAGTTACGAATTTCATATCACCGACAATTGTGTAATTATGTGACTCCTTTGGCCCGTCCTGTCAGTAAAAATAAAACACGCTAAAGAATTGGGCAACAGTGGTGACATGTGATTTTGAGATTTGGCAATAAATTCTTTAGTGTTACAATTCTTCAGCTTTTCAATTGAAATAATACTCAGAATTTTTTTATACATAATGTCTGGTTTATTTCTTTTCCTGCAATAGTATTTGGCAAATACAGTAATTTCCAAATTTTCAACTTTTAAATGATTTCCTTGAGTGTACATGTTCTTGCGTTAATTTTTTGGGGGATTTCTTTATAATAAAAATAGTTTTCTCGTATCTGTAACATTGACAAAAACAAGCCAATCGTGAATTGCATTTGTTTTTCTTTTATTATTCCAGTAGAAACACCAACAGATAAAGTATTTTTTGTCTTTATTGTCTGTAAAAAAGAAAAGTTTCATATACAAATGTGTAAAATTTCATTATGTATTTGAAATAAGAAAATTACAAATACTGCTGATGGGATCGCCTCTAATTTATAAACAAGAATCAATATATTAATAAATTCTAACGATCATGGATATTTTTACAATTTCGTTTGCCGTATTTTACTGATTTCTAAATGGATTCAGTTTTTTTTTCGCAGTTTACATGAAGAAAAGAATGTCAATAAGTTTGTCAAACCTTCATGGAATTTATGAAGCTTAGACAGAAGCTTTTTTATGTTCAATAGAGTATCCAGAGTGAAATATGTTTCTTTTTAAATTTCATTTGTCCTTATCCAAAATTTCAATGTTTTATACCAAATACAAAACACATAAAAATAGAAAAAAATAGAACATGCTGATATAACATATACCGTCTTTTGGGGTGTATAGTGCGCATTTGGGTATAGTACATGCTCAACCTGTATACACATGCGTAATAAACTGGTCCTGGTTGAATGAACATGAATTTCAATCGATTACACACAGGTGACAATCAGTTGATTGTGGCACATGTCGATAAAGCTTTAAGTAACTTCGTAATTATTAAAGATATAATTATAAAATTTTTATGCCCCACCTACGATAGAAGAAGGTGCATTATGTTTTCTGGTCCATTCGTCCGTCTGTCTGTCCCGCTTCAGGTTAAAGTTTTTGGTCAAGGTAGTTTTTGATGAAGTTGAAGTCCAATCAACTTGAAACTTAGTACACAATTCATGTTCCCTTTGATATGATCTTTCTAATTTTGATGCCAAATTAGAGTTTTGACCCCAATTTCACAGTCCATTGAACATAGAAAATGATAGTGCGAGTGGAGTGGGGCATCCGTGTTATATGGACACATTCTTGTTAATTATTTATTTTAACATAGTCTACTTCAACATTTTATTCCTTTGTGCTAATTATATCATCCCATCTGGTCCCTAATGCGGAATCCTGTTCTTAGTGCACTAAGGAGGTCCTTTGTGGTATTTCTACAGACCCATTGTTAATTCATTTAAGTATATTACATGTCTCCTACTATTCATATCAGTGAGAGAGAAATCCAATCGTATGTAACATCGAAAGGTAAGTTTAATTCATTATTTCAAGTAAAAATGTTAATCAATCGACTTCAAACATTTTTTTTGTCAAAAATATTATTAAAAAAAAACATTAAAATGTTTCAGGACCAGGCCTAGTAAAGAAATTTAGACCTGATTTACAAAGAAAGTTTGGTGAATCAGAAGAGGATGATACGATATTTGATTACATTTACCATTGTAATGCACAGACCCCAAGGTATACTAACTTGTATTAAAAACATATCAATATGGATTGTTTAGTTGTGGTCAGATTTGCTACTTATAACACTACAAGTGTTTGTTAAAAACAGCAATCAAGTAATGTACAATGTACAATAAACACACAAAATGCAAAATGAAATGTTAATTTGAAATTTTTATAACCTGATATAGAAAATCATTTATATCTACATTATATACAGTTAACTCTCTTGTTGTCTCAAACTCATTTGACCTGAAATTTCATATGAGTCAAAATTTTCCCCTGGTCTCATAAATAAATATGTATTTCGACTCCTGATGAGTCCAAATTTAATGAGTTAAAATTTGATTGTCTCAAACCAAATTTTAGGTCAAAAGGTTAACAAAAGCATTTAAATTGTGTAAGTTATCTCAAACAAATACATGTATATCAATATATGACCTCAGGGATTAAAAATAAATCACAGGTTTATCTGACAATACACCTGTAAATAAATTTCCTGTCACTGACCACTATATATTGATTTATGACAATCCTTATATCAATGAGTGTTTACCGAAGATAATCTTTGATCACCATAACAGATTAATAGCGATATATAAATTACGAAAAATTATTTTAAATGTTTTATAATTAATTTACTGTAGTCATATATTAATGAGCTTAAGGATTATTGTGGATCCATTTACTTTTTTGGGTACCATTTTCGTGGATTAAGGAAATATGGTATTTTTGTTGATATTTAATTTTTCTGGTTTTACAAAAATCTGCATACAAACCTACAGGAAATTTGTACTTCAATCATTGAATATTCAAATTGATGGTTCATCAGCACCCACAAAATCCACAAAAATTGGTATCCCATGAAAAATAATGAAATCACAGGAATTGAATTACTCAAAACTACTCAATAGGAGTCTTCAATCTTTTGTATTCTTTTGCCGAAAAATGAAAAAGATGGAAATAAAAGAAAATGAAGAGAAATCTAAATATACTCAAATCTGGGATATACCTGAATCATGCTTAGATTGTTTGGTTATTGAAAGCCAATAACCTATTTTCTTTCTCATTCAACAAGCACAGGATGAAAAAGTTACCAAATATGATTTTTTCATAATAATAAAATACCATTTCATACAGATACATTGATATCAGACTGAAAAGTCGATTCCCTACTCATATTCATCTGTATTTATTTTAGCCTTACCAAGCTAAGCAGGAGTTGTGTCTGTTGGTCTGTCAAATAACAGTATTTGTTTGAGTCGAACTATGGGTATCTCCAATTATTACTTTGATAAAAAAAACAGTCTACAAAATACTATGTAAAAAACTAATGACTGAGCAACACAAACCCCACCAGAAGGAAGGATTTACACAAGCAGTCAAACATGGTGACAAAATATAAAAATAAGAAGATGTGGTATGATTGCCAATGAGACAATTCTCCAACAGAGACCAAATGACATAGAAGTTAACAATTATAGGTCAAATTACAGCCTTCAACAATGAGCAAATTTCAATTACAAAAATACATACATAATACACAATAGATATAAGTTGAAATTATAATTTTAGAATAAACCCATATATTAATCTTGTATTACCAGTTGTGGTTTTCAGTTTTCAGGGTTTGTCAAAAAGAAAGGAGTTCAGGTAGAAAGGAGTTTGATCATGGGTTTCATAATTCATTGTTACCATCAAACATAAAAATTTAAAGGAAGCATATATATACCTTAGTAGGGTATAAATTTCAGTTTGGAGATATGATTGTACCAAGTGCAATTGAACATGTTGAATACCTAGCCATTGGCTTGATAACAATTTATCAGCCATCTTCTACACACAACTTTAGTGCAGTGAGTTGATCATTTGTTAGATCCTATTCATTCCTGTGTCAAGCAATTTATTAATAATTTGTGCTTATTATACCCCCGCTTTAAAAAAGTGGGGGTATACTGTTTTACCTCTGTCTGTCCTTCAGTCAGTCCATCCGTCAGTCCGTCCGTCCCATGAATATTTTCATCAATTTTCTAAGGAACTACTTGACAAGGATTTCTGAAATTTGGTTTCAGGGTTTATATAAGTAGGTTACACTGTGTGATGCGTTTTCAGATTCATCACTCAACAACTTCCTGTTTACCGAACACTTGTATTATTTTACACATGATAGCCAAGTTGAAAATTTTCGTCACATTTTTCTCAGGAACTACTTGACAAAGATTTCTAAAATTTGGTTTCAGGGTTTATATAAGTCACCTATACTGTGTGGTGCGTTTTCAGATTCATCACTCAACAACTTCCTGTTTACCGAAATATTTCGGCGGGGGTATCATCAGTGAGCAGTAGCTCACAGTTTTACCTGTTTTTGTAACTTTAATCATTCCTTTGCTTTTTGTGTGTTTTTTGCTTTGCATGTACTGATCTTGTATCATGGATTGATACCCCATATCCTTTGTTTTTCTAATAGATTTTCAATTTACAAAATCATGTGGCAAATGATGTGAACATTAAATGCTATTGTGTTAAAGGATTTTTTTTTAGGAAAGGGGGTTTACTTCCATACAGTATTTAATTCAATCCCTTCATGAAGAAAACATGGTTTATTTTTTTGCGCCTGTCCCAAATCAGGAGCCTCTGGCCTTTGATAGTCTTGTATGTTTTTTAATTTTAGTTCATTTATATGTTTTGGAGTTTAGTGTGACGTCCATTTTCACTGAACTAGTACACAATTTTATTTAGGGGCCAGCTGAGGACCACCTCCTGGTGTGGGATTTTCTCGCTGCGTTGAAGACCCATTGGTGGCCTTCGGCTGTTGTCTGCTCTTTTGTTGGGTTGTTGTCTCTTTGACATATTCCCCATTTCCATTCTCAATTTTATTAAATGATAATTGGATAAATTACACTCACAAACCCAATAAAAATGAAAAAAAATGAAATTATGATACCCCTCCCTCAAGAAAAATATAAAACAAGAACAACAACTGTCTAAATAACTTTGATGACTTTATATTCAGCACTGAGTTTTAAATATTCAAATTATTTATTTTTTTACAGTGGTGAGTCTGCATTCAAAACCATGAATACCTCATTTGGTTGGGCAAAGAGACCAATGATGCACAGAATAGCAGACATCAGAACTGATCTTCCAGTAACATTTATTTATGGTTCAAGATCATGGGTAGATAGTAATACTGGATTTCATGCTAAATATTTACGCCATGAGAGTTACGTAGATGTACAGGTAAATTGGATGTGGTTAACATTATAAAAGGTTTAGTGTTTTGAGTTTCTACTGACACCCCTTTATTAAACTTTGCATCAAGTGCATTCATAGAAATATATAATTGACTAATTTTATGTTACTCATATAAAAATAATAATGGACAGATGTTAGTATATATTGAAAAGAATTTGTTGGATGTAATCTTGTGGACTAGTAATTTTGTTTTATTTATTTGTCTAATTTTAAGGACTGCATTGTAGTGAAATTTGAATGAGTATTAGCAGACAAAAATTTTATAATTGTCCTTACAGCAATTACCCATTACTACATTCCTTTAGAGCTATTTTCATAATGCTTGTACCGGTAGTTTAAAGGTTTGGTTGGCTTGCTTGCTTTGTTTGTATAAACGTTTCATAATTTGTTACCCAATTTAAGTCAATACATATATCAGTCATTAGTTTTGCTATTTGATTGCAAGGTTCTTGTTATGGAGTGTACAAGCATCTTGAATGCTTGGTTTTCTGTTTTGGACAGTACTACTACATGTATTGGTATATAAGGACTTTGAGGGGTACAAAAAATTTGTTTTGTTTGTTTAATATGTTCTGTTAACTTATCCAATGTTAAAATCCCATTCTGACACTTTGATCAGCCTGACATTCCATTCATGGAAGACCCAGCAGGTCAAACCTAAAAAGGCTGTCAGAGGTCAACTACCCAATAAGTACCAAATAGAATTCCATTGCTCAGATCAGAACTATACAAAAAGATGTTCTACATGTATGTACTCTGTAGAATCAGATGGGACTCCCCACTATAAAAAGTGATGAATCCCTGGACTAGCCCTGAACACATCCTAATGCGGACCTTGAGTTCATACAAATCATTATATTTTCAAAAGCAATGAAACAGAAATAGTCTAATCCTTACTATTGTGAGAAAATAGAATGCTGCAATTGAATTTTTGTCTTTGAGCATTGCATCAGTTTCCTGAAATTTTCATATGAATTATTCTATTAAATATGTTGAGAGCACTTTTCAGATAAAATTCAACTGTAAATCCTTTATTTCAAAAATTCAGATTTTGGGGGGAAAATTTGAATAGAAAATATTCAAAAATCACTGTAGATTTTTGTCTCGCCTTGAAGGAGTCAAAAAGCGAGACACAGGTATGTTGTTATGGTGGCGGTGGCAGCGTCAACAATGTATTAGTTTGTGATTAGGTCAGTTTATGGAACTATTAGTGGTAGATCAATGATATTTGGCATGGAGTTGTATAAGCATTAGCACATTTCATTTCCATGAAGATTATTTGGCCCACCCCCATTGTCATGGTCTAATGACTTTGCAAATTTTGGTTAGTTTACATGTATTAGTTTGTGATTAGGTCAGTTTATGGGGAACCAATAGTGGTAGGTCAATGATATTTGGTATGCAGTTGTATTAGCATTGGCACATCTCATTTCCATGGAGATTGTTTGGCCCTGTAACTTCAGTCAAGGTTCATTGACTTTGAATATTTTGCATAACTTAAATGTTAAAGTATTGCTATTTTAATTTCAACATTTACATTTTACTATCAAAATAACAAAAAGGTGAGATATATCTCTGTGTTAACAGTTTATTAAATGAATATCAAATGCTAAGAATATAAGAAGAAAATCTCATTGCATCTGTTTGATTTCAGGTTGTAAGAGGTGCTGGACATCATGTATATGCTGACAGACCAGAACCTTTTAACTTTCTAGTCCAAAGAATCTGTGATGCTGCTGATAAAGACTCTGTCCCTCCGATTCGTACAAATCGTACTTCAAAAGACTTAACCAAAGAACAGTCCAGCCCAGACATTACATTAGATTCTGTCAACAGTCAGTTATGATGAAAAATTGTTTTAAATATTTAATTTATTTGGATTTAAACATGCACAATTAGAGTTATGGTTATTGATGTTTATGGTAATTATTATACTACTCTCAGGACTTTAAAAGTTGTTAGTATTTACTTTCATCTCATTTTTCACATTTCAAAGAATATTTTTTATATTGGCCTTACCAAAAAATGTTTTTTGCTTAATAAGTCTAAAAGTCTATGCTTTTCAAAGGAAGAAAGTGATATTTGTAGAGGATTGCATTAATACTCATCTAAGCTGATCAGAATGAAATCACTTCTGTCTGATACTTGAAATATTTCTGACATTTCAGTGTTTAAGAGATACCTTAAACTCTTATGTAAGGGAGAGATGTGTAAATACTTTTAGATTTTGAGTAGACATAGCTGTAATAAAGAGCTTAGTATAGTTAATATCCTTTTTAATAACTGATTAAACATCCATCCAAGTTCAATTTTGAAAAAGGAGCAGGGATGTGTATCTGATTGTAGATATTTGTTATTTTTGCCAATATAATGATAGTGTTCACCATTCAATACTGTATGTGATATCATTAACCTTTTCATCGTCGTCATCATCATCAGGACAGTTTATGTGTTTGTCCATTTCTGTCTCTAGATTTTCTCATGTTAATATAGGTGTGATTTGTAAAGTGGGTACAAATTTTTCTGAATGCTTTGGTTTGCTAAAACCATATTATTCAATAAGTTTTACATATTGCAGATTCTTTTAATTTTTGTGGGTACCAATTTTTTTGTGGATTGAGGAAAACATTTATTTTAATGGATACTAGCAATAGATTTCATGGTTTTAACAAATTCTCCATACAAGCCTGCAGAAAATTAGGATTTTCTTAAACACTTACATTAATGGTTAACCTTAACCCATGAAATCCACAAGATTTGTAACCCCACAAATAATTCTATAATGCACAAGATTTGTAACCCCACAAATAGTACTATAATCCGCAAGATTTGTAAACCCACAAACGATACTAAAATCCACAAATATCTAAATACTTTGAAAAAAAACTTTCACAACTGCTGTTTTTATACGACCGCAACAAATTTTTTGGGTTCGTATAATTCTATGATGTTGTCATCTGCGTCGACGTCGTCGTCGTCCGAATACACATTTGGTTTCCGGACAATAACTTTAGTTTAAATGAATGGATCTCTATGAAATTTTTCAAGAAGGTTCAATACCACAAAAGGAAGGTTGGGATTACTTTTGGGGTTATGGTACCAACAGTTTAGGAATTAGGGGCCAAAAACAAGCATTTTCGTAGTTTCCGGACAATAACTTGTATGTAAGTGTATGGATCTCACTGAAATTGTACCACAAGGTTCCATATCACAAAGGGTTGGCTGGGATTGAGTTTGGGGGTAATTGCTCCAAACATAAAGGAATTAGGGGCAAAAAAGGGGCCAAAAACAAGCATTTTTCTAGTTTCCAGACAATAACTTGTGTTTAAGTGTAAGGATCTCTCTAAAATTGTACTACAAGGTTACATACCTCAAAGGAAAGGCTGGGATTGAGTTTAGGGGTAATTACTCCAAGGGTGGTCAAAAAGATTGGGGGGGGGGGGACTTTTTTTCCCAATTTTTTTTCTTCAAAATTTTTGAAATTTCAAATATTTTGAAAAGTTTCAAGAAGAAATCTTCAATTGAAAGTATTGCGCAATAGATTTTTAAGATCTTTGACCACATTTATTTTGTGTCAGAAACCTATATTATGTCAAAAATTTGATCACAATCCAAATTCAGACAGTATCAAGCTTGAATATTGTGTCCAAACTTGCCCCAACTGTTCAGGGATCGACATCTGCAGTCGTATCAGGCTGCACTCAGCGAAGCATTTTATTTTTAATTGTAATGATATGCACAATGTCTACATTGTTATATTAAAGAGCATGTTGTTATTTTTATGTTATTTTATGGAGATATTCTTCAGGAAAGTACCTGTCATTAGGAAGATACTTTATCCTGTGTATCTTGCATAAAGAATAGAAAACTTAGGTACTGTCACATATTGAATATCTACTATTGAAACACGATAAGTGTTGCAGGACAATATTTTTTTAATCACAACCATCCACAGTTTGATATTTGATATAGAGTTCTTTTTGGGAAGTTAACCCATTACCCTAGACCCCATAGAAGAAGCTTTAGCAGAAAAAGTTGTTTTTAAGTTTTATTTTCATTTTGTTTATTGAATTAGAATTAAACCTATTCATTAGTAAAGTACAATAGACCTAAGACTGATAAGATTCATTCTGAACACAATTTGATTTAATAGTAATTTTCATATTTTCATGTACCTAATTGTTATACATTTCATAAACATGTTTACATTTTGTATTTTGTTATTATGTGCTTCTGTGATTCATTCATTAATATTCTCACCATGACAAAGATATTTTAGGATGAATAAAAATATTAAACATATGATCTCTCATTCATTATTTCAATAACTTTGCCATACATCCTTTCTTAAAGGCCCTAATATTGAAATGATCGACTTTCTGATAAGTATCAAATTGGTTGGAACTAAAGATTCGGTTTATGTAAACACACTACTGTAAACCAACATACTTTTGTGAGCAGATTATTGTCTTGCCTGCGACGAAAGTCGTGGAAATTGAGACATAGGGATCGTTTTTCCTGCTGCGACGGTGGCGTCAAAAATTGTTAAGTTTTCTGCTTAAGTTAGTTTGATAGGAACTATTTGTGATAGATCATTGATATTTAATATCAAGTTGCATTACTATCAGTACATATCAATTTGACGACTATTTCGAGGCCCTGCCCCCTAGGTCATGTTCCAGCAACTTTGAATTAATAATCAATTTTCAATGTTAAGTTTTCTGCTTAAGTTAGTTTGATAGGTTCTACTTGTGATAGATCAATGATATTTTGTATGAAGTCGCATTACTATCTGTACATCTCAGTTTGTCAACCATTTCTAGGCCCTGCCCACAAGATCGTGGTCCAGTGACTTAGAATTAATAAGTAATATTCAATGTTAAGTTTTCTGCTTGAGTTAGTTTGATAAGATCTACTTGCGATAGATCAATGATATTTTGTATGGTGTTGCATTACTATCAGTACATATCTGTTTGCTGGCTTTTTTGAGGCATTTCTAGACCTAGCCCACAAGATCATGGTCCAGCAACTTTGAATTTATAATCAATGTTGCTGTCCATCAGATTGTCTTTTTCTGAATTTTATGCGGACAGGCGAGACATATCTCTGTGTCAACAGTTTATTCATGTTATATAATGAGTAGAAAATACCTCAAATATAAGTTGTCCCATATATGTCAAACTTGGATCTCCTCTCGTAAGAATACTCAATGTTGGAAAGTAACGACAATAAAAAAAATAAATCAACACAAAGTTAACTGGAGAGAACTGAAAACCAAAAATCTGTTTGCAAAAATAAGGTAGTCTACAGTATTTGTAGTATATGTAATAAAAACTAATAACCCTCAATAACTCTCAATAACTCTCAAATCATCAGTTTCGACATGTTCTTCTATTGAAATATTATTATCTGAACTTAATTTATTAACTACCTTAATAAAGGATAAGCATATTACTAAAGGAACAAACATGTGCTAATTAAAAGTTGAATGAAGGTAATGTGGGTGGGAACATAACAGACATATCCGGATGAAGATCCATGACATCACAAAAAAAGCCTGCTTGAAGCTCATGATCTCCTTCTGTTCTTATTTCAATATGAGGTGAAATCATGCCAGCAAAAGATGTATACAGGATGCATGGTGAGAGCTTTTCTATTTTTCTCTCTCTCTTTTTGTCTTGTTTGTCCTATCTATAGCCATACTTTCGTGAGCACACAAGCTCATAAATGAATGGTTGAACTTTGCATTTGATATGGCTGACACTACCATTTCTTTTCAAACATTTAAAAAAAAAAACATATTGGTGTCTTCATTTCAAAGGATTGAAAATAAAACTATATATCAAATGAAAAATGAATAAAGTGAGATAAAAAGCTTCTTTTATTCTTCAAGATGAATTTCTTGTTTCCGTGTTTATTTCAGACGTTTCATACACAGATCATAGTTGTGTTAAACAAGAATCTATTTCTTTTAATTTTTTCCCGCATCAATAATTTCTTATCCGGAAAAAGACAGTAATATCTGCCGCTGGACATGTCGATGCTTAATCAAATTGATAATGTGCGAATGCCCTGAAGAATTAATACATTTCAATACCTCTTAACCGGAAAGTAATTAGAAATTCAGTGTATTCTTTACGGAATAAGAATGTATTTACGATATAAGATGAGAAGATGAAATTTGGTTGTTGCTAGGATGCATAAAATGGATGGGACGGGGCCTGTCTTTGTCAATCAATGAGATATGCAGATTTAGTTAAATTACGAGACATGTAAGACTTGTTAAAGGTTTGATAAAGTTTGATATTCACTATTCAGGTTTAAAACCTTACCATATAGGAAATTTCGTTTTCACTAGAAAAGGTCATTTTCTATGTCCAAGGATTGAAAAATGTTGCTCTTTAGATTTCTGTTCGTCGTCTTTCTTTTTTTCTTTTTTGCTTTGGCATTGTCAGTTTCCCTCGACATAAGTTTTGAATGTACCCCTGTATCTTCCGCCGCTTGTTTATGCATAGGATATTCTAGAGTTATTTCTCTTTCGCAAAGAAAGGCATGAAACTAAAATATAATGATTAATCAGACTAGACTTCGTGGACTTTGCCATTTCCCGTGTATTTAATTTTTATGCGACAATTCTTTACTTATAAAGATATTGTTCGCTCGTATTTACTGTAATATATTATTGATTATGTCAAAGTCATGTGATTCTCTACTGTGGAGTTGACCAGTTCGTCGAAAAAAAACGTCACTCAGTCATTTTGAAATTCAAATTACAGTAACACATTGCTTAGGCTGAGGATGACAAGCATGACGCCTTCAAAGCGACAAAGTATTGAGCAAGAACGTATTGACTTCTATTTCACAATCCAACCCAACAGAAAGTAATACTCTATTACACTCTAATGAAAAAAAAGTTCCACAGCAATATTATTTACCTACGAAAACATGTTTAACCCCACACGCCCCAGCCCATTAATAACATTGCTGAATAGTGACCCCAGTCAGTAAGCTCTAGATATAGATTTAAAGTCTAAGGTACGGACCATTTGATCTGAGGGGGCAGTCTGAGATATTTTAGAGAAAAAATTCTGACCCGGATTTTTGCCTTAAACAAAAATTCTGGCCGTATCTGGATTGAAAACAATAATCTTGTCCACTTTTTTGCTATTAGAAAAAAATATTTTCAACAGAATTATTTAGCATTAAATAAACATGATGAATAAAAAACGGGCGAAATTTTTTTGGGGGGGTTGCATGTGAATCCCATATCTGACCGGAATGTCTGTTTCGTCGAACTGATATACTGAATACTTTTTTCAAAGCCCGACTGCAACCTGCCTGCTGGGTGTGGCCTATATGTCTCCATGTGTCGACCGTCATTCACAACTTCATTGTCATTTCCGACTCATTCGTAGCCTTTAGTTCATTTGGAACCCCTCACTTCCCTTGTTAGGTGAAACATTTCAACCAAACATTTGGATGAAAATTGCTTGTTTGTCTTTCTTCGTGTCGGTCGTATTGAAAATTTCATTGAATAGCCGTATATCTTGTTTACAACAAGAAATCTGCATGTGAGGTTATGCTAACTAACCATACAACAAACGAGAATTTTCCATGTCCATTTTTTACTGACAAATCCCACATCAAATATATTAATTAGTACATAGCTTTGGATTCATCCAATCATTTCATAATAGACAATTGATGGAGAGAATACGGCACCAAAAATATCTAACCCCTACACTTTAACTATAAAATGCTTTTTACACTTATTTTATGTTTTTTAGCCAAAAAAAGGTCCAAAATTTTTTTCGCCTCGCTCCGCTCGGCAAACTTTAATACTACGCCCCCCCCCTTTCCAAAATCCTGGATCCGCCCCTGATTTTAATAATGGAAACATAGATCTGTAAGCAGCAGCAAAAAGGGTTGGGTTTTCAGCTTCGAACAGAATACATACATTCCCGTTGAATTGAATGTCGCATGTATTTAGTTGTCTTTTTGACATTGAAATTAAAGATAAGTTAAGCCTGAGATATAATACAATCTGGTTAAGCCTATATATACAGTTAAATCATTGTTTAGCTCCGGTTGTGAGGTTTGATCTTTCAGCTCAGTTGATTCATACTTCACTGCCCAACAGGGACCATTAACATATTGAAATTGTAGTACATGTATTCAACTCTACTGCTCAAGAGGAGTCAAAAAAATAATTGAAAGAACATCGTAGAGCCGTTATACTTCTCTTTAAGGAAGTTATCATATGAGGTTATTTCCTTGGTTTTAAGCAAATATGGTTGTGTATTTTTTCCGGCCTTGGAATATATTTGTATCATTATTCGATAGACACTTTGTTTTTAACTCACGCCAGCTAGGAACATATATATTTATACTGTTCCCAGCTCACGCTTAGAAAGTGACATAAAAAAATGCTAATTTTCTAATTCAATACCAGGTCATTATCATGACGCATATTACGTCAGGGACGGTAGGGGCCGCGGGCAAGATGGTTTTGACCCCATTCTTTAGCAAAAAGAAACGTGACCGTATGATTTTTATAACGGGACCCTTTGTTCAGATAATTAAAGAAGTAGGGTTTTGTCAGCATATGTTTCCCCTCTACTGATATCATGGATATTGGTGACTTTTGTACTTCAGGTTAAATTTCATATTTCATGCAGCAACACCATTAAGATTACAGGAATATATATTCTTGTGTAATGTCTCGAAAATACCTCAGCTACTCAGAAGACAATTAAAGTAAACATTTTCACAATAACTGAAGGAAGTTAACTGAATTGATGGATATATCACACCATTAACAAAAATCGCGGCAAAAATGATGAAAGGAGATACCAAGAATTATGACAAAACATTTGAATGAAAGGTACATATATTTAGAAGGGTGTAAAATTAATTGATTTGACACAAATAAATACAGTACTAAGAGGATATGAAGGGAGGGGTCCTTCATTTCTATATTCTTTAATTTCTTAGGGCATTTTCTTTATCTTTAAAAATAAAGCTTAGTCTGAAAAAATTTCATGACAGTGAATTACTATTATATTTATCTGTAATTATATGATTTCTTTATTTTGTACATCTACTGAAATCAGTATTGTTTTACCTGATTCGTTTATTTTTCACATTTATTCTTAATACTTTTACACCCCATTATTATCTATTCTTTTTTTTCTTCTTTTTTTCATCATGAATCTATATTCATTACATTTTGGCCATGTTTATCTCTTCTGAAAACCCTATCCAGACCTTCATATAAAAGTACATGGATTTTTTTTCCGGAGAATGTCCGTAGATACACTCTAATTTTACTTTACCATCGTAGTAAGGGAAACAACTCCACAGATACAATGGAAACTCAAAATGTATTGAAAATTTGTCCTCCAGAAGATTCAATGAAAGACTGCAAAACTGACATAAAATGTCCGATTGTTAATTGTGACAAAGTTGTTTTTTCTTCAGGAAGTCTTCGTATGCATTTAACACGAAGTCATGGGGTATCTGAGGTAATTCTTCTTCACCACACCCACCCACCAGCTCTAGACAGCTAGACTGAGTGATGGAGATGACAATTGTATATTATATATGTGTTATAGAAGTCTCAACACCAGATAAGGGCCAGACTAGTGTAAATAATTATGACTCCTTGACAGTTTAATTATATATTTTTTTTACTTTGACTCCTTCGTCAATGAAGAGTGTACATTATGCAGGTCAGGAATAACCACCAATTGGTAGATTATACCTCAATTGACGTATAATCCACCAATTGACATATAATGGTATAGACCAATTGAAGTATAATTCTTTGTATTTCAAAGCAAACTATACAACCAAAATGGAGCATTGTTTTCTTATAACCATATTATGGTATGAAAACATGTCAAACAGTCCTAGTTAAGTATAGTGACATAACATATTGCATTTAATCAATAATTGTATTTGCAGTTTCTTCTATTGTTATCTTGTCAATTCTTGATTGGTAAATTTTCCACTAATCACCTGTCAATGGACATCAATACTGTCTTCGGTCATGTGATTATGAGTACAACTCACCAGGTGAATGGATCTCTTTGTTAATACTTGACTTTCATTATTAAAAGTCAATCATGGTCAATAGTACAGATGTTTTAACAAAAGAATTGTTATACACATGCATTCTCAAGAGATGCAGCAGGCTTTGACAAAACTGAAACTTTAGGAGGATTCAATAATGGTTATAAAATAGGTTGCAAGATGCAAAATGATGCTCCTATCCCAGACTAGCGTTTTCTTACAAAAAACTTGCATTATACGTCAATTGGTCTATACCAATATATGTCAATTGGTGGATTATACGTCAATTGAGGTATAGTCCACCAATTGGTGGTTATTCCTGACCTGTTATGTCCATTATCACTGAACTAGTATACATATTTGTTTAGGGGCCAGCTGAAGGATGCCTCCGGGTGCGGGAGTTTCTCGCTGCATTGAAGACCCATTGGTGGCCTTCGGCTGTTGTCTGCTCTATGGTCGGGTTGTTGTCTCTTTGACACATTCCCCATTTCCATTCTCAATTTTATGTATAAGAATGAAAATCTAAAAATTCCTATACTCTACAACACAGACGTTATGAATATTTGCACTATCAGATGAGTCTGTCATATATGGGGCAGACATAACCTGTGAAAGATAAGAAAGTCTGTATTATTTTCATGATCCTTTTTGGTAATCAGATATACAAAATGTAGCTATAGCCTTTACAGTTATCACTTGGTGATGAGACTACTTGAAATATATGTTATAGTAGTCTCAGCTTGGTGGCATAAGAGAATAATTATATTTTGGAATTTTTTGTTACAAGTGACGGACAATTTCCAGATTGTCATGCTTTCTCAGCACTAGTTGACTGCTTGTTTTATTAAGTCTCCCAAACGAAGTTTGGGAAGACTTATTGGTTTTGCTCAGTTCTTATTATTATGTCACCCGATCGACAATGTCGGGTGACATATTGCTTTTCCTCCGTTTCTTTTTTTGATTATGTCACCCGATCGACAATGTTGGGTGACATATTGCTTTTCCTCTGTTTCTTTTTCCCTATTATTATTATTATTATTTTTCTTCCACCTAATTTTGTCCGCCCGCTTTCTCAGAGCCAAAGGTACCAATCTGAATGATGGTTCACTATAACAAGGAACCCTGACTTTCCAGTTGCAGTGCATCTTTGGAACTAAAAAATGGCTGCCATCACCATGGAAACTGAAAAATGGTGAAAAAATATAATTTTGGAGTTCGCTGAATTATTTGAGAATGCTTAAGCTTAAAATCTTTAGATTTTAATACAATGTACGTGCCCACTATATACTGGTTTGGGATGATTTTGGCAATCATTGGAACTGCTATGTTGCCATGGATACTACACCAAAAATTTCAAAAATATCGAAATGCTCCAAATTTAATAAAACTTCACAGGAACGATGAGCAACATTGGTAGATAAAGAATTTGGCGTTGGAATTTCGAAAATGTCTGCCGTTACCATGGAAACAATGCAAAAATGGTCAAAATGCTTCTAAAACCTTAAAGTAGCAATTACTTTCTTAAAATGGTATGTCAAATCTATTGAAACTTTGATGGTATGTACCCTCCCATGTACCAATGTGGTATCTGCCATTAAATTTTGGGAATGGTCTCTGTTACCATGGGAACCATCACAAATGTCAAAAATTTCAAAATGCTCCAAAACTGATGAAACTTTATAGGATTGTTGACTGGCAAGCCTTGATGAGAATTTTGACTTTAGAATTTCCAAAATGGTCACCGTTGCCATGGAAACTGCAAAAATGTCAAAAATTTTCAAAATGCTTTAAACTTAATGAAACTTTTAATTGGGAAGTAAAGATGAGACTTTTGACTTTTCAAAATGGCTGCCGTTGCCATGGAAACGGCAAAAATGTGAAATGTTTTAAAATGCTCTGAATGTGCTGAAAATTTACAGAAAGATGTATATCCATGCATATATATGCTTTCACTGTAAATTTTATTTTGAAATGGCTGACACTTAGTGGCAATGGGGGAAGGGTGACATCCGCTATTGCTTGCAATAGCAAATCTAGTTATGTCACCCGATCGACAATGTCGGGTGACATATTGCTTTTCCTCTGTTTCTTTTTCCCTATTATTATTATTTTTTTTCCACCTAATTTTGTCCGGCAGTTTTCTCAGAGGCAATGGAACCAATCTTCATGATTGTTGAGCATAATGAGGACCACCATCAGTGGAGTTGCAGTGAAACTTTGGAACTTTAAAATGGCCGCCGTTTCCATGGAAACAGCAAAAATGTGAAAAATATTTTTTTTGTTTTTGATGACTAATTTGAGAATGCCTAACCTAAAAATCATCAAATTTTTATACAACATAGGTATCCACTATATACAGGTTTTGGATGATTTTAAGAATCATCGGAACTACTGTATTGCCATGGAACTGTGGAAAGGTTTCCCATTATAACCCTATGGGAAAAACCTTAAAGTAGCATTTTCTCTCTTAAAATGGTAGGTCAAATCCATTGAAACTTTGATGGTTTGTTCCCTTCCATGTACCAATGTGGCATCTGTCATTTCAATTTTGGGAATGGTCTTTGTTACCATGGAAACCAGCAAAAATGTCAAAAATTTCAAAATGCACCAAACTTAGTAAAACTTTATATTAATGCTAACTGGCATGTATAGGTAAGACTTTTGACTTTGGAATTTCCAAAATGGTCACTGTTGCCATGGAAACAGCAAAAATGTGAAAATTTCAAAATGCTCCAAATGTTCTGAAAATTTACAGAAAGATGTATTGCCATGCATATATGTGCATTCACTGTTTAAAATTTTTGAAATGGCTGCCACTTAGTGGCAATGGGGGGAAGGGTGACATCCGCTATTGCTTGCAATGGCAAATCTAGTTATTATGTCACCCGATCGACAATGTCGGGTGACATATTGCTTTTCCTCCGTTTCTTTTTATTATTATTTTTCTTCCACCTATTTTGTCCGAAGCGTTTTTGGGAGTTTAGTTGACCAATCCTATTGAATGGTTAACATAATGAGGTCCACCATCTGAAGTTGTGCAGGACATCTTCGGAATTTTTAAAATGGCCACCGTTACCATGGAAACAGCACAAATGCAAAAAATTGGAAAGTGTTCCAAACTTAATGAAACTTTACAGAAATGTTAGTTGGCAGATGTATATGTGGCATTGACATTGGAATTTCCAAAATGGCCACCATTGCCATGGAAACCGGAGAAAAATTTTTAACATTAGACCCTATGGGAAAATTCTTTAAGTGGGATTTCCTCACTTAACATGGTAGGTCAAACACTGTGATTCTTTCATGGACTGTTGACTGTCATGTCCCAACAAGCACTGTTACCATGGAAACAGCACAAATTCAAAAATGTCTAAAAATTTCAAAATGCTCCAAATTTAATGAAACTTACTATAAATGTTAACAAGCAAGTATAAATGAGACTTTTGGCATTGGAATTTCCAAAATGGCCGCCATTGCCATGGAAACCCAAAAAAATGTGAAAAATTTCAAAATGTGAAAAATGTTCTGAATATTTACAGAAAGCTGTATTGCCATGCATATATTGGCATTCACTGCTTAAAATTTTTCAAATGGCTGCCACTTAGTGGCAATGGGGGCAAAGGTGACATCCGCTATTGCTTGCAATGGCAAATCTAGTTATTATTCTTGCTCTTCCGCCACTTTTTTTAATGAACTTGTCCGCACCATTTCTCCAAAACCGCTAGTCAGATTTACTTAAGGTTTCACAATATGTTAGATTAACATGTCTAGTGGTGCAATTAGGGTTTCGTTTGTGCATTGCGGTCTAAAAAGGGGTACTTTGAGGGGCCAAAAGAAGGGAGGGGTTTACTATAGAACCCTATGTTTTTTTTTTTGTTTTTTTTTCAAATGATTATAACTTGAAAATCGTTAGTGATAGACACAATCTTTATAATTGAAAATGTTCTACATGATAAAGCACATCTAATGAAATAAAGGGTTCGTCCCCAGGGGTCACCCCCACCCCTTGCCATTTGACAAAGTTGTAATATCTTGTAAGTGGTCAAGATCCCCACCCCTAAACCATATATATTCTGGTTTGTCATGATAAAGCACATCAAATGAAATAAAGGGTAAGTCCCCAGGGGTCACCCCCACCCCCTGCCATTTGAGAAAGTTCTAATATCTTGTAAGTTGTTGAGATCCCCACCCATAAACCATATATATTCTTGTTTGTCATGATACAGTCCATCAAATGAAAAAAAGGATTAGTCCCCAGGGGTCACCCCAACCCCCTGCCATTTGAGAAAGTTGTAATATCTTTTAAATGGTGGAGATCCCCACCCCTTAACCATATATATTCCGGTAAGTCATGATACTGCACATTAAATGAAATAAGTATTAGTTCCCAGGGGTAATCCCCACCCCCTGCCATTTGAGAAAGTTCCAATATCTTGTAAGTTGTCAAGATCCCCACCCCTAAACAATATATATGATTGTTTGTCATGATACAGTCCATCAAATGAAAAAAAGGATTAGTCACCAGGGGTCACCCCAACCCCCTGCCATTTGAGAAAGTTGTAATATCTTTTAAATGGTCGAGATCCCCACCCCTAAACCTTATATATTTCGGTTAGTCATGATACTGCACATTAAATGAAGTAAAGTATTAGTCCCCAGGGGTCACCCCCACCCCCTGCCATTTGAGAAAGTTCTAATATCTTGTAAATGGTTGAGATCCCCTCCCCTAAACCATATATATTCTGGTTTGTCATGATAAAGCACTTCAAATGAAATAAAGGGTAAATCCCCAGGGGTCACCCCCACCCCCTGCCATTTGAGAAAGTTCTAATATCTTGTAAATGGTTGAGATCCCCACCCCTAAACCATACATATTCTGGTTTGTCATGATAAAGCACTTCAAATGAAATAAAGGGTAAATCCCAAGGGGTCACCCCCACCCCCTGCCATTTGAGAAAGTTCTAATATCTTGTAAATGGTTGAGATCCCCTCCCCTAAACCATACATATTCCTGTTCGTCATGTCACAAAGATTCGAATGATATAAAGGGTAAGTCACCAGGGGTCACCCCCACCCCCTGCCATTTGAGAAAGTTCTAATATCTTGTAAATGGTTGAGATCCCCTCCCCTAAACCATATATATTTCTGTTCGTCATGTCACAAAGATTCGAATGATATATAGGGTCAGTCCCCAGGGGTCCCCCAACCCCAATGACCTAATATCTGGTAAATGGTCGAGATCCCCACCCCAAACCATATATATTCTTATTCATCATGCCAAGAAGATTTGAATGATATATAGGGTCAGTCCCTAGGGATCACCCCCACCCCCTGCCATTTGATAAAGTTCTAATATCTTGCAAATGGTTGAGATCCCCACCCCTAAACCATATATATTCCTGTTCGTCATGTCACACAGATTCGAAAGATATATAGTGTCAGTCCCCAGGGGTCCCCCCACCCCCAATGATCTAATATCTTGTAAATGGTCGAGATCCCCATCTGTAAACCATATATATTCTGGTTTGTCATGCCAAGATGATTTGAATGATATACAGGGTCAGACCCCAGGCATTACTAATGCATATAACTTAACTAGACTTTGCCCAATGTCAGGCGAACCTGGGAATGACGAATTATGGGAGCTTCGTTTGGGAGACTTCGTAACAGTATCCTGTTACAATCATTTCTTGTTTATAAATATCTTTGAATATGGACATATAATTGTGACAATAACTAATTATAAAATGAAAAATAATAATGTTAAAAGTCTTTGAAAATGTATTAATACACATCACCGAGTTTAGATTTGCCTTTAACATGTTTAACACATGTTTAAAATTCATCTTTCAAGTAGGCATGCATTTACCACAGACATTGAAAAAACTTTCTTGATTTTTTTGCATACACAGTAACTTACTTAAATATAGCTTAAATGTTTGAGAAAATGTTGTGAATACATGGGAATTTTCTTTAATTTTTGCTTTTGTGCATTCCCATGTTTTTTCAGGGAGTTTGTGCAAAATGTGTAGATATATTTTATATATATCATAAAGTGGATAGGGGAGTTATGTTTCAACAAAATTGAACTTATCTTTTTATCAGTGGGGCACGTTGTTGCAAGTTATTTTTAAAGTGGGCAGCTAGTTGGTATAATCTATCAAAGGTCTTTGATAAACACTTATTTTGTTTGCCTTAATAATGATAATATTTCATTTACTGGTAAATTCATTTATACTGAAATTAAGTAAAAAATGAACTACATATACAAGGATTACACTTTCTTTTATAACTAGCCATCTCATCTCAAAAGCTGATGTCATAGTACTCTGCTGTATTCTTAAATATCTATTAAAGTGATCTTCATGTCAGATTGCACATGTTTCTTTCTACATACAGGTACATTATTTGTAGCTTTCACAATCAACACATGCATTGACATGTAAACAATGGTAAACGAACAATATATTTTAGCAGTAGTGTTTCAATTTTTTCAATTTTTATAGGAAAAGCTCATCTTGGATATATTTGAAATATTGTCCAATATATATAAGTTAAGCAATCAAAATCACAGTTTAAATAATTTGGTCTCTGGTGAAGAGTTGTCTCATTAACAATCATACCACATCTTCTTTTTTAATCATGTTTATACATTAAAGAAATTATCAATTCCAATGAAATTATTTGAAGAGCAGATTTCAAAAATTATAAACTGTTGGTTTGTTCACTTTAACCATAGAGAATGAATTGTATCCCCCCCCCCATATATACACACTAGGAAGATAATAATAACAGCTAGTTTAGAATAAAACTGGGATCCTCCTATTATATCTTATGATCTTATACATTGTGTTATAGAATGAAAGTCATACATGTACAAAGAATACTTAGATTTGTTATTCTCATTAAAGCCATCAACTTGAGCACATGTAGTGAGTTACAGACTGATAATATCTTAACATCTTTTTGAGCCAGTTACTTTTACATGAAAATGTATTTTTCAAAAGACATGATATACCAGAAAACTAATATTAAGGAAACAATTGCCTGACTTTTAAGTTAGAAGCATTTCAGAATATACATGTATGTCAATACATGGAGAATGAAAGCAAAAAACAAATATATTTAAACGTGTAGTATTTATATTTCTCTTATATGCAATATAATCCTACATATGAAAAATTTCATCTGCTTGTCTGTCAAAAGCTATTAAAAAATGCAAGTCAAATTAAATTTTTTTATAGTAGAATTTTAAAGATCATGTTGTAGTTAATCTTATGATTTATTTTTCAGTCAGAAAGTGATGATGCATTGAAACGAAGAATTAAAGTTGATCCTAAAGTTTACAAAGAATATCATTGTCCACGGAATGATTGCCTTTATAACATAAGTTCAGAGAGACATTTTACAAATATGGCTGGATTAAAGCAGGTATTTAATCAAATTCAAATTACATTTAATCTGCTATAAACACTCAATAGGGCAATGTCTATTAAATGTACTAGTTGTACTAAAATTAAGTACAAAATGTAATACTGTTGATTCATTATTAATCATGGGATACCAATTGTTTTAGTTATTGCCCTTGGGCAGGTAAAATATGTGTGTAACACATGGGACATCAGAACTCTTGTACTTTTATTAGCTTACCTTGTATAATGGGAAATATTGTCATGCTTTGTAAAGGAAAAATTATATGCAAAAAATTTCTGAATTAAAATAATGAAAATTATTCTCATTGAAGATTTTTAGATGACTATATGTCATATATATGTCTGCTATGTATAAATGATTTTGTTGATAAAATACATTATTTTCTGATTAGAGTTGATACTAATAAAAAGAGTTGTGTAGTAGGTGCATACAATATATCTTCGAACAAGGAATTGACTATGGTTAGGTACTCACATAACCAGTTTGATACTGCAATATGGTATTGCTTCTGTTCCATGTCAACAACCTAGTCAGTGAATGTGATTGTTTCTCAAATGTTTTTCATGTTCTTTGTTCATTATTTGATGCTTTTACATTGTATTAGATCTTTTGAAGTCTGTTGTAACTCATTCACAACTTTTGAACCTTATCTCTGATTTATTCATAGCTTAGTATTTGATGTGAACTCTTGTCCATCATTTGGGGTCATGTGTAGATGTCTATTTTTCTTTGTTTTTGGTGATAGGTTGCTGTTTTTTTTTTACTTTTATTCATACATTTACTCACTCTTTATTTTCAATTACAGCATTTTCTGAAAGTTCATGCAGAGAAAAAGTTTAAATGCAGTAAATGTGACTATGGCTTTGGTATGGAGAAAGACAAGAGAAGACATGAAAGCCATTGTGGAATGAAATTTACATGTACTTCATGTCAGTGTACATATGTATCTGTTGAGGCACTCCGTACACATTGCAATAGAACTCAACATCCAATACCTGAAATGTATACTAAAAGGTAATAATTTTGTATTCAACTTTTTTGTACCTTTTGTTGTTGTTCCACTAATCAAGATTAAGAGGTGAGGCAGCGGCGGTTTCACTTCTTCACTTTCTACACTTATCTGATTAAGCCTCCCCTTTTATCATATTTAAGGTAAGACAACCTTCACAAAAAGTGTATTTGGTCATAGTCATTTGAAATAAGAGCAATACATACCATGACAAAGTGAGTGTCCCATGAAATTTCTGTTATATTTGTCTCAGTAGTGCAAATCTAAATTTTCCTGGAATTCAATGTCAGGCTGTATGTGAGCATGTTTTACTGTGTGATGCGTTTTCAGATTTATCACTCATCAACTTCCTGTTTATGGAATACTTATATATTCAAACACATAATTACCATGTACTGCTGAATATTTAATGTGAAATTTAACAATTATAGCTCAAATGTACAACTATGGTGGCCTTGGGCTGTTTTCTGCTCTTTGGTCGGGTTGTTGTCTCTTTGACACATTCCCCATTTCCATTCTCAATTTTAACTGTTCTGAAAAAGGGAAAATTTTATTCATAGAGATGCAAAAAATTTGTTTGATATACATGCATCATGTTACATAATAAGTATATATAGCAAAATAAGTATAAAGTTAAGTGGACAAACTGGTCTGAACCTTGTGAATTTGTTCAATGAAGGAAATTTTACAAAATGATATCAATATGTCATATTTGAAAGATAGAGCTGAATGTGGGAGAGTTAACCACTAAAAACAGAATTGACTGTATGTGGTTCATAGTACTTAACATTTCAACATTGATTTGAAGGAGGAATTTGGCTTATACTAATTTTCAGCCATCTTTATTTTATAGGGAAAAAGTGGACAAGAAGAAAACTAAAGATAAGAACAATAATAAAACAACGTCTACCAACTGTTTAAAAGATGGAATCTCACATCAAAATAACATGAGAATACCTGTGATATTGTTGCCAGTACCAGTTACTATGATGAACCAGATAAATAATCAAAATATTTCAACACCAACACAGGCAAATATCCAAGAAAATATCAGTACGAATAAAGCTCAAGTATCGGCAGTGCATTTATTAGACCATGATTACCTTCCAAACTCCAGCTCAGACTCAAACAATCAAAATCAAACTCATGCCAAGAAAGATACTGAAAGTTGGAACTTTATAAACAATGTTGGCAAATATAATTTAGTTCCTTTGTTAAGCTCTGAAATGCAAACGATTTCAGTACCACGAAAAGAGCTACCAATAAAAAGTAAGGATACAACAACGAATATAGCACAAACACAGACATTGGGTAATTGTATTTTGACCCAAGCAATGACAAGTGCAAATATTCCTGTAAAAAGCTCATCTGTTGGTACACAAATAACACCAAAAGAGAAATGTGCAGAAACACAAACCGGAAAGACTCCAAGATGTAAAAGAGGTAACACTTCTCATAAAAGCTCTTCCCCAAAGGAACGGATAAATAGTCGGAAGAAATTATACTGTAAATCAGCTGATGACTTGTCAACACAAAGGACTTCTAAGGGAAAACAATCAATAAAAGAGTATTTTGTAAATCCAACTAATAGGGGCAACGTTTCAGACAATATCCATTTTTCAAATACTGGACTTTCATCTGGTGAATATATTTCATATAATTCAAATACCGGTAATACAGTCTGTTCATCAGTTCAGACATTAAACCAGATTGAGATGGTATCAACTGGTTCACAGTTTTCTGATGTTCAAGGTAACCAGGTTGTAGATTCCTATTCTTCCACAACTGAAAATAGAATTTCAATGTCTACATCAATAAGTGATTTTGATTTTATGCAGACAATTGGTGTTCAGACATATTCTAGTGATTTCCAAGACTTTTTATTGGCCCAAAATGATTCTGCTCCTAATATAGATACAGGAACAAGCTCTATTGGTATCAATACTGAAAAGTCACATGTAAATAAATGTGTAGGTAATGACCCCTCTTTTTCCATTGATTCACATGTACAAACAGTAGATTTTGACTTCTTAGCAAATTCACCAGATCCTCAACCATCCACAGAAGCTATACATACTCAAACACAGACCATTGACCTTGATATTGAATCAATCGAATCTCTCGTTTCAAGTATACAAACACAAACTTTTGATTCAGATGAATCTTTAACTGATGTGCAGACTCAGACTAAGAAAAGTTTATCTGTTGATACCCAAACATTATCTGAAACGTTAGACAGTAATACATTTGTTTCATCCAGTATGGAAACTCAGACGTATGATGAATTTATTGAACTTTTATCATCAGGTACACAAACACTTGATTATGGATTCTTTCAAGATGCACCTTTATCTCTTATTGACATTGAAACTCAAACAGGAATAGACAAAAACCCTCCATTAAGTTTTGGGACACAAACTTCAGTCGTTGAAAAAGAAACCAAATCAAAAGGTACACATATGGCATTTGATTTTGAAATAGATAAAGGTTCTCGTTTCTGTCATGATAATTCAACAAGCATGGAAGGTGATGGAAACACCGATAATGGAAATAATAATTATCAAAGCGAACAGATGGAATTTTTAGTTTCTGAGGTTCTTGAGATGATACCTGTAGCTTCAGGAAGATCGCAGATAGACTCGAGATCTTCAGCAATCCAAGTAGATAACGTAGATATTTTTACTCAAAACAAGTCTGGAATAAATCTTGAAAATATGGACAACCATACTCAAACAAATTTATATTTTAACAGTAACACTGATAGTCATACCCAGACAGCATTAGGACTCGATACTAGTAATATTGAAACCCAAACACAAAGTTTACAGGAGTTGACAAGTTCTGAAACTCAAACTGTTCTTCAAAGGGGAGGCATGAACATCGATTTAACAGATTCACATACTCAAACAACTTGGAGAGAACTGAATGAATTACTAGCAGAACTAGATCGTTGAATACATTTAGAAACACAATTGTGGGGTATTTCTATGGGGTAATGCAACTGCATAAGTTGAAAATTATTTTTTTTTGTGGTTGGGGGATAGGCTGCTTTTAAGCTTATATATTAATATATATGTCTGCATTCATATTCTTAGATGACCAGGAATCAATTTTAGATAAACAGATAATGCTTGAATTTTTCAATTATTACTGTGTTTGGGTGCAACTGTCAATATTAATACTGCTGAAGTCAAATATATCTATAATATTGAATGCTTAAGTTAGAGGTGATATTTTCAGTTAATAAAAATTCACAATGATAATTGTTTTCATTTTTTAACTTAAAATACTCAGTAGCGATTATCAGTTTGAATATAAAACTTGATATACCATGACAGGACCAAAAAGATCACCATACAGTGACACATCTACAATGAATATACATAATTAGAATGACCTACCATCAACATAAAAAGATTAACTCAGAATCTCAGATGTTGTCATGTGACTTGAGAACAGAATTAATTAAAACAAGAATGTAACTGTATTCCAAGACTAGTCATATATCTGACCATCAACAATGAATGATCTTTTGAATTTGAGAAAAAACATGATATTACTAGTCATACAAAAAAAATAAAGTTTGGTCTTGATTTCATTTTTTTTTAAGTAAAAAAAAAGGATATGTAGCATGGTTGTCTACAAGACATTAGCTCTAACCAATATCTACAATAGACAAAAATGAAAAAAAAAAACCTTCTTAATGTCACTGCTGGTTCTCAATAAGAAATATTTAAGTACATTAAAGAATAAGAGATAAGAGAGATGCATTATTGAAGGCCTCACAGTGCTTTTTTATACTGTACCGCAAAAAATTTGCGTTCGTATAATTTTCATGTGTTGAAACCAAAGTGCAGAAAACAGCCCAAAGCCACCAAGGCATGGGTCTTCAACGCTGCGAGAAAATCGCGTACCCGGAGGAGGGCTTCAGCAGGCCCCTAAATAATAATGTTCAGCAAAAGGGACGCCAAACTTAACTCGGAAACATAAATGAACCAAAATTAAAAAACACACAAGACTAACAAAGGCTAGATGTTTCTGACTTGGGACAGGCGCATAAATGCAGCGGGATTAAACATGTTTTGTGAGATCTCAACCCTCCCCCTATACCTCTAGCCAATGTGGAATTAACACCGCAATACGCACAGTTAGAATGGGTAACTGAAGAAACTAAGCAAAATGACAATTATCAGCAGTTTCCAACATGCCAGCTCCAGGCCTCAATTAAACTGATCGAAATATTATGTCTTTATCATATGAAAATCAAGCCGGCACAATCCCTCCCGTAAGGGATTTAATATGATCATGCTATTATAAGTTATAAGAGAAGAACATAACCCGTATCATGCCTACGTAAATCAACTTTTCATTTTCACCAAAATTGTCATTGTCCTAAATGATGATTTTTGCATAATGTCTCAAAATGATAATAGATATGTAGAAACTAAGAACAGCTAAAATGATTGACAATACATGATGTACAAAAATCCCAAGATGACCAAAACCATCGGATGACTCCTTACAGGAGTTATTGCTCTTAAATGACAATTTTTTCAACTAATATACGAGTTTTGGTCTATTACTTTGAAAATTATAATAGATAGTTGAAACTGTAAACACCATTAAAGATCAACAATACAAGATCTGCAAAAATGCTTTAATACCGAAGCCATTGGATGACTCCGGAGTCTTTAAAGCTAATGGATAGGTTGAAACCGTTAACAGTGAAAGTCATCAGCAATACAAAATATAGTATTGACAGTGGCCCCGCTCTTATGGAGCTATATATACATTTGTACATGAATGGTTCATGCATAGACTTTTTACATGTTCCACACCTAACGTTGAATAGTTTGCCCCTAACCCCTTTTTTAGCTCACCTGGCCCGAAGGGCCAAGTGAACTTTTCTCATCACTTGGCGTCCGTCGTCCGGCGTCGTCGTCCGGCGTCGGCGTTAACTTTTTACATTTTGAACTTCTTCAAGAGAACCACTGAATGGAATGAAACCAAACATGGCATAAATGTTCCTTATGAGGTGCTGACCAAGTGTTGTTACTTTGTAGTGGATCCATCATCCAAGATGGCCGCCAGCGGGGGACTTAGTTTAACATAGGACCCTATGGGAAATACATACAAATGTCTTCTTTTAGAGAACCACTGAATGGAATGAAACCAAACATGGTATGAATGTTTCTTATGAGGTGCTGACCGAGTGTTGTTACTTTGAAGCCGATCCATAATCCAAGATGGCCGCCAGCGGGGGACTTAGTTTAACATGGGACCCTATGGGAAATACATACAAATGTCTTCTTTTAGAGAACCACTAAATGGAATGAAACCAAACATGGTATGAATGTTCCTTATGAGGTGTTGACCGAGTGTTGTTACTTTGAAGCTGATCCATAATCCAAGATGGCCGCCAGCGGGGGACTTAGTTTAACATGGGACCCTATGGGAAATACATACAAATGTCTTCTTTTAGAGAACCACTGAATGGAATGAAACCAAACATGGCATGAATGTTCCTTATGAGGTGCTGACCAAGTGTTGTTACTATGAAGCTGATCCATAATCCAAGATGGCCGCCAGCAGGGGACTTAGTTTAACATTAGACCCTATGGGAAATACATACAAATGTCTTCTTTTAGAGAACCACTGAATGGAATGAAACCAAACATGGCATGAATGTTTCTTATGAGGTGCTGACCGAGTGTTGTTACTTTGAAGCCGATCCATAATCCAAGATGGCCGCCTGCAGGGGACTTAGTTTAACATGGGACCCTATGAGAAATACATACAAATGTCTTCTTTTAGAGAACCACTGAATGGAATGAAACCAAACATGGCATGAATGTTCCTTATGAGGTGCTGACCGAGTGTTGTTACTTTGAAGCCGATCCATAATCCAAGATGGCCGCCAGCGGGGGACTTAGTTTAACATGGGACCCTATGGGAAATACATACAAACGTCTTCTTTTAGAGAACCACTGAATGGAATGAAACCAAACATGGCAAGAATGTTCCTTATGAGGTGCTGACCAAGTGTTGTTACTTTGAAGCTGATCCATCATCCAAGATGGCAGCCAGCGGGGGACTTAGTTTAACATAGGACCCTATGGGAAATACATAGAAATGTCTTCTTTTAGAGAACCACTGAATGCAATGAAACCAAACATGGCATGAATGTTCCTTATGAGGTGCTGACCAAGTGTTGTTACCATGAAGCCGATCCATAATCTAAGATTGCCTCCAGCGGAGGACTTAGTTTAACATAGGACCCTATGAGAAATACGTACAACTGTTTTCTTTTAGAGAACCATTGAATGGAATGAAACCAAACATGGCATGCATGTTCCTTTTGGGGTGCTGACCAAGTGTTGTTACTTTGAAGCTGATCCTTCATCCATGATGGCTGCCAGATGGGGACAATGTTTGACAAAGGACCCTATGGACAATACAAACAAATGTATTCTTTTAGAGAACCACATACTGAATGGATTGAAACCAAACATGGCATGAATGTTCCTTATGAGGTGCTGACTAAGTTTTGTTACTTTGAAGCTGATCCTTCATCCATGATGGCCGCCAATGGGGGGGGACTTCCTTTAACATAAGACCCTATGGGAAATACATACAAATGCTTCTTCTAGAGGTGCACTGAATGGAATGAAACCAAAACATGGCATAAATGTTTCTTATGAGGTGCTGATTAAGTGTTGCTTCTTTGTTGCCGATTTACTGTTCAAGATGGCCACCAGGATTTGTTTATTAAATTACAGGACCAATATTAAACCAAATTTGGCCTCACTCATTATTAGGGTATCTGTTATGATTTTAATCTATTTTTACATGATTTACAAAACCAAAGTAGAATCAGGTGAGCGACACAGGCTCTTGAGAGCCTCTAGTTAAAAATCCTGGGTCTGCATCTGTTAACCTTTTACTTGCTCGTACCAATTCCTTTTTTGGTTATACAACTTACAAAAATACACTCATTAGATATGCAAAAGAATGACTGAAGCCACTGGTGTTTTGCTTGATAATATTTATCTTTTTTTGGAGATAAAGTATATCTTCAAGTGTTTTGATTTCCCATTGGGACAAACTGTGCCCCTCATATTTGGATTTGTTCTTTTGTGAAAGAATCACGTTGTATTATCAAACATCATAAAGACTCAATGGAAAAACACTTGGTCACAGGGACTTGGTTAGCGGATATATGTTTTTGTAATCATTCACGGTTAGTAATTTAGATTTTTTTTATTTGGCACCAAGATTTGTATGTTCACTAGCAATGTGCACTTTACTATCCATGCCCCTATATTGAATTTCAGTATGAATTTGATGGACATATAAATTCGTGCTAGAGAATTCCACTAGTAGCAGTATTTTTCCAGAAGAATTAAAAAAAAACTTTCTTTTCCTATTATTAATTTTCCTTTTCTTGATGGTGATGTTTCGTTAGCTCTATCTATTTTTATTGATACATGAATAGTTTAAAATAGTATGTCACTGTAGTCCAGTAAAGAAAGAAGACAAAAACGTGAACACAGGATTTGTATTTCAATCAAATTGAATATTCCAAAAGTTGATGTCACCATAGAGCAATTGAAAAAAAAAGAATTCAAAGAATTTGGAAAAATTTTAAGCTTTCGTCAAACAAATTATTACTATGCAGGGAATTAAAATTTCCCATATGAATTAATCTACTTTCCCTTTTAATTTATGTATATCCATGGCAGCTGATCACAGATTATAAATGGCTCTCTGTGAAAAAAACTACCCCCCCCCAAAAAAAAAAAAACAGAAGGAAGTATGATATGAGCCATTATTTTCACTCTTTTCACAATAGTGATAAAACCCTTTCATCTTTTCAAAACTATATATGCTAATTTAGTATTTTTATTGATGCATGGATAAGATACTATAGTGTGTCACCATAATTTGTGTAATCATTTTTCCATTAATAACTAGATATTCACAGCCGAGTATGTATATAAAAACATTTTTTAGGGGTCCAAAATGTTGTATACCAAGGATTTATATATCATTGTTTATACTAAGATATTTATTTGAATCGGATATCTTTCGGTAAAGACTGGTGTTCATATTTTAGTCTACAATAATTATTTGTAAAATAGCCATCTATATGCCAAATTACCTTTTATTCACATTTTTCGTCAAAGTTTATCAATATAACAGTGACTTTAACATATCTTCTCCTTTATAAATTTGTATCAAAGTACACCTCGGCGTTGTTTTTTTGACAATACTGAAGAACATTTTCTTTTTAGTATATATTTCTTTTAAGATTCTTATGTAGACTCCTTGAAATCGAAATTCCTTTACATATGGTTCATTTACATATGGTTCAAATAACTTTCCGATCTTGAACGTATTCATGAATGAAACAATTACAGCGGTAAATATTGAATATACTTCTTATGACAAAATGTAGTACAATAAACATGACTTTTACAAGAATAAATACCGACCTATAGAGATAACACAGCCAAAGGTGTTCCAGTAGTAAGAATAGTGTAGGCGAATGTATAGTTCAAAATTTTAATGAAATAGACTTCTATTGATAAACTTACCTATAATTCAATCCTGAACTGGCCGAATTTATCATTATCAAATACTACTAGTAACTTGAATATAGCGCTGCATAAATAACAATATATATTTATACATTCCGCTGCAAAATAATTCGTTTGCGTGTCGTAAATGTTATGACCGGGTCCTTACTTTGAAATCGTCGCTTCTATATAACACACATAATCTTGGAAATGATCTAGAAGACACAACCATAGTCTTAACTATGACTTTGGCACAAGGTCAGATTTGAATATCAAGGTCTTTAACTCTTACAACTGATACACATACTACAGAGAAACCTTGTCCTGGATGCTGGTATCTTTGCCTGGTTGCAAATTATAGTTCACACACAATTAGATAAGTCTGACCAAATGAAAAGGTCAGGTAAAAAACTATAACATGTCTTGAAATGCATGGTGTTCTGGTCATATCTTTTGAATGCCTTTCGGTTCAAAGCCGTATACGTACCTTACACACTTGCATGTGGCATATGATTTAAGAGCGTGACCTTGATTTAAAGCTATGTCTCGAAAATGCTGATATATCTGCTTAAATATTGTCCAGGTTATATCTTACTACTGTCTGTCCAGGAAAAGTAATACTTGACAAATTTGTCTCTTATCACCGTGATGTATCATCACAGGGTGCTTATTACCGTGACCCAATATCATTACAATAAGGTCAAGATCACAGTTGTTTATGACATAGGTATATTTCCTGACCTTAATGAAAGGTCATATCTGCACGGTTAAGGTCATATTCAGGGGCGTAGCTGGACTAAAATAAAGTGCAATCATAACTATTGCATTTTTTTGGACCATTTTTTGCAGAAAATGATAACTTTTTCGGGCATTTTCCCGGTATGCCATGCTTATGAAATTCACATCACATTCACGCCCAAACTCCTATTTTGTGAATACTTGTGGACTTTATAGTGATTCGGCAAGGGAGGAGGCTATGTACCGCTCAAAGTCCCCAGCTGGTCCAGGATAGCACCTTAGTCGGGGATTCAGGGCAGCACCGTAGACGGTGGTCCAGGGAAGCGAATCCCCATGAAGCTCCGGGCATATGAGTATAATTACAGTGACTGCTTTGAACATGAAAAATACTCTATCTGTTTCTTACTATACCATATTTTCATGAAACGATAGTAAAAGTCTAGTGAGTTCCGTAATTTGCTGCTTATATTATTAACATGGTTATTTTCAAATATAAAAAAAAAAATTATAAAACGGGAAGATCAGGAAGAGTCGACAACCGAAGCGTTAATCAATGGACAATTGACAAACCTGGGAACAGATAAGACACAAAAGGAGAAACAAAAACATTCAACATTGAAAACTAAATACAGATGAAAAACACGGACCCAGAAAACAATGTGGCGACCTCCGGTGCTCCGGCCAAAAGGGTAAGCAGTTCCTGCTTCTTGCAAGACACACGTTGTGTGTCTCACGAAGGTCATTCTCAAATCAGAGGAGAGGTTTCTACGACAACGGTAGAAGGTCATTTGGGACACAGATACCCCAGGTGAATCAATAGTCTTTTGGACGAACGGACAATGGGAATACGAAATCTAACGGCCACTTTTAAGTCTTGACTTATAAGTAAGGGATATAAATCTAAGATGTTTTCTAGGTGATTGTATTGAGCCTGTATTATTAAATGTTAATACTGCATGTAAGACTTAAAGTATAGTTAATATCGAAAGTCCATATATCTATTTTTTGCCAAGGCAAATGATCGCAGAACTCTCTCGGTGTTAATATCCATTTCTTTGTGAACATGTATGAGCGCCAACGAAGATAGTCTGTCCTGTACCATGGTTGAACGGAGATAAGTTTTCGGTCGCCTTAATCAGAGACATATATACACAGTGTATATATGTCTCTGCCTTAATGCACTAAATGACCGTTCAGTAGTTGATGTAGTTACTGGCATTGTAATTAGAATTGAGAAGATTGCGAATATTGAAGGATATATAGTTCCTTATTAGTCACTGCTACAGACGACATCAAAGATTTGGGCTTTAAACACCGCCCGACACGATAATCTGTAAAGACTAAAGACTATCCGTAATTCAATTTCAGATTATTTTTTTTTTTGGTGAAAAAAATGTGCAAGCAAATGATTTTTTGCGTAAAGGCAGCTTAGCGCCTGATATTTTATACAAGTACTATATATGTATACCATATTTTTAACACTGGTATTTTTAAAAATCAGCATTGAAAGAATAGTGTAGAGAACAGCGTTTGTAAAGTTGGATAAAACGAGTTTTTGTTGGCAAATGGTTTACTAATTTGGATTTCAGAAGGAACACTTGTTCGAGTTATTGTAGTCCTATCGTCTGTCGACTTCTATTCCACGAGCCAAGAACAACTGTTCGGGTTATTGTTGACAAATGGGCTGTCGAGTTTTATTTCACGAGGAACACTTGTTCGAGTTATTTTTGACATATTGTCTGTCGAGTCAGTGTTATTTCACGATGAACACTTGTTCGAGTTATTTTTTACATATGGTCTGTCGAGTTTTATTCCACGAGGAACACCTGTGGTGACCCTATGTTTTTTTTTAATATCAATGAAACAGAAATTCATGTATCAACAACATATCAATTTTTAAAGAAATATCTATGCATTTTCAATTAGAGTTTTGATTATTTAATTAAATTTAGAAACGACTATCACCGATTGTATGTGCTTTCTCTACAAATGTTCACCTATTTTGAAATAATTCATTCAGTAATATTTCAGAAAATAAAATGCATTATTTTTTTTAATTTTCAGCCAGTTCAAGTTTAACACACCGCAGTTGTATGCAATATTTGACAAATTCTGTTACATATGACCCATTTACTTAAACTTGACCTTAATGTAAATTTAGAAGAAAACAAAAATCATTTTGATGAAGAAAGAATAAAAAAAATCATAATATGATTAAATTAAAAAAAAAAGTTTTGTAAAACAGCAGAGGAAATAAAAAATGTTTTGACAAGTTAACAAAAATAGAGATTAATAAATAAATAAATGACAAATTCACAACACATAAAGCCAAAGAATAACGGCATTGAAAACAAACGTGCCACCAAAAGCTAGAACAGGAGAAAAGACACTGAACGGTAACGAAGAACAGCAGCGACGATTTTGCAGCACACCATGCAGCAGCCATGTAAAAAGTGGAGAATTTTGTTATGCCAAAAGTGGCAAATGAACATAGATGCCAAAGGTTAAGGCTTATAGCTGCAGCCAGCCAGCCCCCCCCCCCCCCCCGCCCCCAAATAAAACTTATTGAAAATAATTAGCCAAATTCGATTCCGAATTTAGTAAATAAGATGCATTAACCAAATAATATAAAAATAAGAAGATGTGGTATGATTGCCAATGAGACAACTCTCCACAAGAGACAACTATAGGTCACCGTACGGCCTTTAACAATGAATAAAACCCATACCACATAGTCAGCTATAAAAGGCCCCAAAATGACAAATGTAAAACAATTCAAACGAGAAAACTAACGGCCAGGAGTCGGTTTCACCAAAAAACTTACGACTAAGATTGCCGATCGTAAGTTATGAACAATTCCGTATACTTACGATCAATCTTAGTCGTAAGTTTTTTGTGAAACCGACTCCTGATTTATGTACAAAATAATGAACGAAAAACAAATATGATATACAGCAACAAACGACAACCACTGAATTACAGGCTCCTTGACATGGGACATGGGACAGGGGTGTAACAGTACAACATAATAAGAACAAACTATAAAAATCCGTAAAAGGGCTTAATTCATCAGATTGATACACAGCAGAATTACATCTAACAAAAAAACAGAGTGGACGTGGCAGGGTACTCACACATCCCCACAACAAAAGCACACTCAGTACAGATCTGAGAGTACTCGCAGGTACTGACAGCTAGTTCAAAACCAATAACAACTAATAAAAATAACCATGCATCTAAGACTAAAATATCACACTCAAAAGCCTGAAAATGCACGGTGTTTGCAAATTTAGTGAAAAAAGGATTTGTTGCACTAAAGTTGTTACTTGTATATAAAATAGATAAAAATAAATAAATTTTCGAAGACTGGTTCAGATTGATAGATATGTTTTTGAGTAATTCCGTGATTGTTCAATAATACTTATTATTGCTAAAAAAAACTGAAAACTTAATTAGTTCATTTATTTATATAAGCTTTGCATACATGTAAGCAGGTTTTAGACCCATAACTACAGTGTTCATCTTAGCGTGAAATACAGGATCATACAGGTGGATTCTTTTTTTTATTAGTTTCGTTTCATATTTTTCTGGAACATTCCTATAATTATATCAACTTTTTCCGTCATGCGCAGTTAACATGATAATTTCGAAAGTCGGCTTCCATTAAAGAACATGAATTTCAGGTCATAGTCAAATGTCAATCATTCAACAAGACGTCATTACTTTTGTTTGACAAGAAACTTTTAATGGATCCAAGAATTGCTTGGTATCAACCAGAACATTTAGGAATAGCACATGATATATGGACGTACATTATAGAAGCACAATTAGGCGTGACAAATATGTCGCTGAATAACAACGTGAACTCGAACATGGACCAGAAGCAGAAAGAGTTTATCCCTCTGAATTACACAAATGACTTTGAAAAGAAGCATGCACCAACTAATAGACAATTAAGTGTACAGAATGCGGAAAATAGTTTTAAAAGAAAAAGAGACAATCGTGCAAGCACTTACGGATTAAATCATTCCTCTTATAAGCATAAAATGCTTGATGGAATGACTCCGTGGAAGCCTAAAGATAAAATGTATTCCCCTGATGTTATTGGGTAAGTAATATAAAATCTGAGATGTAAATTTTATTTATAATTGTTATATCAGTTAATTTGAGGATGAAAAGTCCTGTGTAGGCGAATAAATAATTGTGAAATATGAGAAACATTAATTGTGACATGTGGTTGTGTAAGACTCTTTCTGATGTAGAGGCCCTAGAAGGGGAAATACTATTATTTTTAAATATTTCAAGGTAATTTGTGTACTTAAATCATTCTGTTGTTCACTTTTATAGCTGTATAAAATTATCACTTCAGTTAAAATTAAAAGGGACAACTGTTTTCTCTATGTGTAAGTCGTTTGTTTGAATATCAAAATCGTTGTGGCCTCCATGACACTTTTTGTGTATTGAATACACAATTTATACTGACAGGTCATGTAAATGGTATTTGATAGCAAATCAATTTTAGTTTTTTGAAAATATATATAGTTTCACTTTCAATTTGTACATATTCATTTTAAAAATCAATTTCTTTGTATATTTAGAGAAAATGAGACTTCAGAATACATTTGCATGAATATTACATAAAAATCAAATGTAGCAATATGTTTGTTACTTAAGATTTTCAAGGCCAAAAAAATCACCTTGCTTAAAGTGACAGATGGCTGTTAATATTGCTCATTCAATTAAGTGTTTTTAATTTTTATACATATGTAATTTGTATACTTATTACTGCACCTTTTGTAATTGATTTAATTAATTAATTAGTCATTTTTGACCTTTAATAGTTACTGAAAACTTTCAGTTTGATTTATTATTGGTGTATTGTTACATGACGTCAGTGTAAGAAATTCAGTTATCAGTGTCAAAAAAAAATTGCTCATCTGTTAAAAGTTAAGAAAGTGTCACTGTTGGAAGTTTTCAGTAATTGAAGAGAATGTTCAAGCATGCAAAGGTTCCCAAAAAAAAGTATAGATACATGTATCAGTGAGTAGTCCTCTTTTTAAGGTTCAGCATACATGTAGGTATTTACACATATGGCCAAGTTTACACAACCAAATTTATTCTGAGAATAGACAAACATGTCCACATTGAAAAGTTTAAGACCTTTGCCGGACATATATACATGTAGATGAATAAAACTTATATGCATTGTTAATTTATGTATGAGAAAAATTGAAAAGTTTCATCGATTTTGATGTACAAACATGTACTGTATATTTTTTTCCATTCCTATAGGAAGTGCCAAAAACTACAGAGTTGGGGGGAGGGAATGTGTAATAATTGTAGTGAATTGTATAAATTGAGATGGACAGTAGAAGGACAAAAGCTGATTTACATTTGTAAACTGTAACTGAGTGGACTGAATCAAACAAAATTCAGGAGTTAGTTTATTTTACCATCTCTTGTGAGTTTGAAAAAAAGAATCTCAAAATTACAAAAAAGTTTGATTTGCAACTTTGTCTGAAACAAAATATGTTTATAACTTTGATATATCTAGGTCCTACCATACCTTAAAACTTGTCCAGGGGCACATGTTTGTCTGTACACAGAGTGAATTGTGTAAATTTTACAAGACCAGATTTGTCTTTACCTTTTGATGGAAATTAAACATGCTTACTGTTGTTCAGTTTGATGACCACCAGAATGATTTAAAAATATGATTTTTATATCTTTTGGAAGGTTAGATACTTTGAACTTAGGAATGAATCAATTACCGGGTACTGAGAAATCATCATACTACATGTATGTAGTCAACAGTCATATAAAAAAAATTGAGTTTGATTTTGAAATTTTAGTTTGTTCATATTGCGGGAATTTTATGCCCCCGCCATAGGCAACAGGGACATTAAGTGTTACTCATGACCCCCTTCTGTCAATCTGTCTGTCTTTCCCATTTTCATTTCTTCACTCTAAAGTTTTCCTTCTCCAAATTTTATGAAACTCATACACAATGCTAAGAACCAAGACTACATGTAGCAGACAGAGTTTGAAATTGGGCAGTAAGTCACTGATGGAAATTAAACATGCTTTAACTGTCCCTATTTTTTTTCAGCATGTAAGTGGAAATACAGGTGTATTTTTTTTCAGTTCACATTAAAGTTTATGCATAGTCATTGGTAAGTAAGAACATTCTTGGGAGAAAACACTGCAAATTCAAAATACATATATATACATTGTACATTTGTACATATGCACATGTTCTTTAACCCAATTATAAATACAAATTATGTTTGCAGATTACATGAAGAAATCAAAAATTTTTATGACTATATGTCACCCACATTAGAAGAGGCCAACATGAGAAATGAAGTGGTAGGAAGAATCAAAGAAGTTATTCAGGAGTTATGGCCTGAAGCAAAGGTGAGTAAAGACAAATACTTTATATCATGTTATTTACCTGTATACTAATGTCATATTCCCTGTTCCAGTTGTTGGACATGTCATTTATTAAACATAGATCTTATTACAATGTAAGTGCAAAAAAGTGAATGTGATTCATTGATTAAACAGGATTCTCACTAAGATATTTTGAGTGTCTGTGGGTCCTGGGACTTGTCACTTTTTGAAATGGTGAGTCCCAGCTGATTCTGATGAGTCCATAGGGTAGTAACTCAAATACAAATGTAGTTCAAATCTGACTGTCATGACTGTCTTTTTGGCTAAGATGATTTCCTTGAATGGAAGGATCTTTTATAAGTTAGCACAGGATAAGTCAGGTTAATAGTATACATTGTATATTTATATGTATGTTTTCAAAACTACTAAATCTTTGAATTTCTTCCATTCCAAACACATACAGAAAAAGTTTTTCTCATTGTTGAAGGCCATACTATGACCTTTATATGTAGTTCCTTAGGGGTAACCATGTTTACATGGAAAACAGTTCATACCATACATCTCCATATAATAAAATATATAATGTTAACAAATGTGCTTCAGTGCAATTGTTAAAAAAAGTCTTTTTACTATTATATTATTATATTAAATTCCATAGTTACATGTATATCACAATGATAAATACTGAAAATGCAAACAATGGGAATGTACAGGAGTTTTGTATGAATTAAACATATTGCAATTTGTTTTCAAATTCACATTCTATTTCAATTTTCACCTTGTTTTTATACGCCTGTTTACTGGACGTATTATAGTATATCGTTGTCCGTCCGTCTGTCCCTCGTCAACATGTCGGACATTAACTCAAAAACGCTTTATCCAATTTGAATGAAACTTTGGTGAATTGTTTATATCTAATGACATGAGCTCCCTTTCTATTTTATAAATTTTTTATTTTATGTTTCCGAGTTTTTGGGTTTTATTCATTACAAAAAGGGGGATTTTCCAGTTTTTCGGACAATAACTCAAAAATGCTTTGAACAGTTTTCCTGAAACTTTGGTGAATTGTTTACATCTATTGACATAAGCTTCCTTTCAATTTTTATAAATTTCAGATTTTACGTTTACTAGTTATGGGGTTTTATTCATTAAAAAGGGGTGATTTTCCTGTTTTCAGTCAATAACTCGAAAATGCTTACCATTTTTTGGTAAATTGTTTATATATATTGTTGTAAGCTCCCATTTGATTTTTATGAATTTAAGATTTTACGTTTCTGAGTTATGGGATTTTATTCATAAAAAAGGGGTGATTTTCAATTTTTCTGATGATATCCTTAAAGTGCTTTGAGCAGTTTTCATTAAACTTTGGTGACTGATTTATATCTATTAAGATAACCTCCCATTAGTTTTTATACAACCGTCAATTTTTGACAGGACTTATTATGTTATACAAATGTCCGGTGTCCGTCCGTCTGTCTGTCCGGCATAAACATGTCGCACCGTAACTTGAGAATGACTTATCCAAATTTCATGAAACTTAACATAGTTGTTTCTTATGATGGTCAAACGATCTGTATACTTTTTGGTGAAAATAAGATTAAAACTTTTTGAGTTACGGGACTTAGTAACTAAAACAGGTGTGTGTTTTTTTTCACATGTCGCGCCGTATCTCAAAAACAATTTATGATTATTGCTTAAAACTTTACACACTTCTTAGTTATATTAACCTTAAGATCTGTATACTTTTTGGTGATGATTCAAAATTTTATTTTAGAGATATTGAGTATTTTGTTAAAAAAGGGGGAGGGGTTTTTCACATGTTGCGCCGTATCTCAAAAACAGTTTATGATTATTGCTTAAAACTTTACACACTTCTTAGTTATATTAACCTTAAGATCTGTGTACTTTTTAATGATGATTCAAAATTTTATTTTTGAGTTATTGAGTATTTTGTAAAAAAAAGGGCGAGGGGTTTTTCACATGTCGCGCCGTATCTCAAAAACGATTTATGATTATTGCTTAAAATTTTACACACTTCTTAGTTATATTAATCTAAAGATCTGTATACTTTTTGGTTTTGATTCAAAATTTTATTTTAGAAGAGAGATTGAGTTTTTTGTAAAAAAAAAAGGGGGGTTTTTGCATGTCACGTCGTATGTCAGAAACTATTTATGCTTATTGCATAAAAATTCACACACAAGACGACGGGCGTATCATGCGCTCATGGCGCAGCTGTTTATTTATAAATTTCTGGTATAACATTGAGAAGTTATTGAACTTTATTCTTTGAAAACACGATGGGCATATCATGCACTCATGGCGCAGCTGTTTATTCATCATTTCTCTGCTACCAATTGCATCAAATTAGAACCAATCATGTTATTAACATACAACTGTTTACATTATTTCCATTGTGTTATGTAAAGTCATTATCATTTTAAATTCATTGGTTTGAAAACTATATATATAATTAATTGGCTTTGACAAATTTTATTGCTGTAACGTGTGCTTTAAAGGTAAACTTTTCGATTTCATCCGGTTCTGGTTTTTCTTTTGCATTGGCCTATGCAAATCATATGATCTCATTACTACAAGCAATGCACAGAATAGAAATTCACTTTCCTGTAAAAATGTTGACAAGAAGCACGTTTTTGGGTTGTTTTTACAACTGAAGGATAGTATTAATTATAATAGGACTCAGGCTACCTGTAACCAGGACGTGTCCTGGTTTCTGATATGGCTTGTCCAGGACGCATGTACACGTCTTATCAAGAACTCGGGATTAAATACAGTACAAAGTATTTATATAAGCGAATGGGAACCTTTTTAAGTTGTATTACAGGTCTTTAGAAGTTTAGCTTTATAAATTATAGATCTAGACCTGATTACACTCACTGGTAGCACTATATCTACTAATACACTAATGAGAGCTGCATTTATTTAATGCATGTTACAATGTACGAATGTGCATATTAAAGTTATACCTTAAAGCAATGCATCAACCTGAATCTAATGTGGGTTTTTTTCTATTACAGATGGAGATTTTTGGTAGTTTTAGAACTGGATTGTATCTACCTACAAGGTATGGAAGACTTATTTCAAGTATCCGTAGCGAAGGGGGCATTAAGTTTTACCCTTGTCCGTACGTACATACACACTTCCGTACGTCCCAAAGTTGGTTTCCGTTCTCTAACTTTAGTTTGCCTCAACCAAATGTTATGTAACTTATACAAAATGCTTATTACCACAAAACACAGATCAAGTTTGAATTTTGGTGGCATCAATTAAACCTTTCTAGAGTTATGCCCCTTAACAGATGGAAAAATTGCTGAATTTTTTCGTTTCCGTTCTCTAACTTTAGTTTGCCTCAACCAAATGTTATGAAACTTATACACGATGCTTATTACCACAAAACACAGATCAAGTTCGAATTTTGGTGGCGTCGCTTTAACCGTTCTAGAGTTATGCACCTTTATAGTGTTTCCTGCAGCTTTTGAAAAGGGCAGGGTAATTTTTTTCTCAGAGGGCACTCTTAGCACGATTGGCTACACTTTAAGGCCACCTTTTAGGCCACCTTTTAGGCGGTGGACTACACTTTTAGGGCACTCTCTACATAGATATAAAGGCACTGTAATAGATAGGGATTTAATGGAATATACCTTTGTTTCATATTTATTGGTAAGAAATAAAGATATGTATATTAGCCTAGGTTGTTTATTCCTTTTTATACGACCGCAAAAAAATTTTTGTGGTCGTATATTGGTATGACGTTGGCGTCGTCGTCGTCGTCGTCGTCGTCGTCGTCGTCCGGCGTCGTCGTCGTCCAGCGTCGTCGTCCGAATACACATTAGTTTTCGCACTCTAAATTTAGTTTAAGTGAATGAATCTCAATGAAATTTTACCATAAGGTTCAATACCACAAAAGGAAGGTGGGGATTGATTTTGGGGGTTATGGTACCCACAGTTAAGGAAAAAGGGGCCAAAAATAAGCATTTTTGTAACTTCCAGACATAACTTGTGTGTAAGTGTATGGATCTCTCTGACATTGTACCACAAGGTTCCATATCACAAAGGGAATGCTGGGATTGATTTTGGGGGTAATTGCCTCCAAATTTTAGGAATAAGGGGCCAAAAAGGGGCAAAAAACAAGCATTTTTCTAGTTTCAAGACAATAACTTGTGTGTAAGTGTATGGATCTCTCTGACATTGTATCACAAGGTTCCATATCACAAAGGGAATGCTGGGATTGATTTTGGGGGTAATTGCCTCCATATTTTAGGAATTAGGGGCCAAAAAGGGGCGAAAAACAAGCATTTTTCTAGTTTCATGACAATCACTTGTGTGTAAGTGTATGGATCTTTATGAAATTGTACTACAAGGTTCCATATCACAAAGGGAAAGCTGGAATTGAGTTTGGGGGTAATTGCCCAAAAAGTTTAGGAATAAGGGGCCAAAAAGGGGCCAAAAATAAGCATTTTTCTAGTTTCCAGACAATAACTTGTGTTCAAATGTATGGATCTCTCTGAAATTGTACTGCAAGGTACCATACCTCAAAGGGAAGGCTGGGATTGATTTTTGGGGGTAATTCCCTCAAAATTTTAGTAATTAGGGGCCATAAAAGGGCAAAAAACAAGCATTTTTCTAGTTTCAGGACAATAACTTGTGTGTAAGTGTATGGATCTTTATGAAATTGTACTGCAAGGTTCCATATCACAAAGGGAAAGCTGGGTTTGAGTTTGGGGGTAATTGCCCTAAACGTTTAGGAATTTGGGGCCAAAAAACAAGCATTTTTCTAGTTTCAAGACAATAACTTGTGTTCAAGTGTATGGATCTCTCTGAAATTGTACTGCAAGGTACCATACCACAAAGGGAAAGCTGGGATTGAGTTTGGGCCAATAGGGTGATGAATCATAAGGGGGTTCAAAAAAATTTGGGGGATTTTTTTTTCTTTTTTTCATACATGTAAACCTCCCGACGGTAGTACAATAATCCCGTTTTCAGGGGTCTCCTCCCGACCTCGCGTTGAAGAGAAAAAAATCCTGTGTATGAAATCTGCCCAACATATCATCTCAGACATCTGGTGTAACTGACATCACCTGAAGTTATATTTTACCTGTAAATCAATTAACATGCATAATTATATGGCTTCACTTGTCAGCTTGGGTGTCAAACATTCTGGTAATCAACGATTTTTACCTCAGGCTAACTGCCGTTGTGTAATAAAAGCTTTGTGTATTTATTGGGTTACTTCCCCTGATTTATCCTGTTTTAAGTTACTTTCCTTTTAATAATGTAAATTTTTAAAAGAATATAAATAAAATATAAATTGAACAAATAATCATAAAAGGATGGTAATTAAATGATTTTAAATGTCTTAGGACAAATCAAAAAATAATAATTTGAAAATTATTTGAGGGTTCTATACTTTCTTTCAAGGCTTAAATTGAATTCATATAATAACTATGACCCATGTTCTAAATTTAAATGAGTTTCTGATTATTCAAATAAAATCTAACTGCAAATGCAGATCGGTAAACAAATGATCTGATTGCAATGTTTGTCCTATAGAATAATGATATAAAAGATATGAATTGTAAAATTTAAAGAACATACTAAAAAAAAAGAATATTAGATTGAACATGTAGAATATTAAGATAAAGAAACTTTATAAGTACAAGGGTACTATAAACATAATACATAATACATTCGGATTGAAAGTTGAAGAAAACACACTTTAAAAGACAATTTTTACAGCACACGGTTACATTTACGACAAACTTTATGTCGATTAAAAACCTCCTGATCTGAGTCCTAATCTCCTGACCAAAATTTTCCAATCTCCTGATCTGAGTTTCACAGTCCATCACATGTATGTTTTTTTCTTTAAAATTTTCCATTTTAAATTGGTTATTTCTGATGTATATATAAAAGCAAATAACAACGATATGGTTTGAATAGGTAAATTAAAAAATTTTAAGTTCTTAGACCACTTTCATTCTGTGTGAGAAACCTATGCTGTGTCAAATATTTAATTACAATCCAAATTCAGTGCTGTATCAAGCTTGAATGTTGTGTCCATACTTGCCCCAACTGTTCAGGGTTCGACCTCTGCGGTCGTATCAAGCTGCGCCCCAGCGGAGCATTTTATTAGAAAATGACGCAGTCAATTTTCTTTTACCATTGACCAGACTTCCAACCCGCATTCGGAACTCGGTTCCGTATTTTACATACTTAAAGTAAATGTTAGTATGCTCATACATTGGTAAAAGAAAGACAACTCCAGCGTTGCAAATGTACATTTTAAAATAACAGACGGTGTTGTCTCCCTTCAATATGACTTATGGCGGTCAATAACCTTCGTGACCGTCGGACAATTTTCAATCATATTGTTGGAAATACAACTGGAACAGAATTAAATTTGTAATTTTCATTCTTTAATTTCTTAACCTGTCTTCCTGCCAACTTGCACGATTCAGGCGTGAAATACTCGATTTTGACCCCTTGTCACGATTGCACGATTGTGATCGTGTAAAAACCTCTAAACCACGATTTTGTTAAATTCTACTGTTCCCAATATTTCGAACTTTTCTCAAACTTTTCCCAAGGGAGACAACTGTTATCAGCCAATCAAAATCGTTGTTTCTCCTGATCTTTGGGTATTGTAAACTGCAAATGTGCTAAATTTTGAACTTGTTAGGAACTCAGAATATTGTAGAAATCGTGATCATGGCTGACCAATTTCAATTACAAGAAGGTTCTTACACAGCTTAAGAAGTAAATCATGACTGATTGACAAAGTTCAAAGATACAGTTCAACCATAAACATAATAAACAGTATATAATGGACAAATTTTACACTTATGGTAACAGATCATACATGTTGTCATTCTTGAAATTAAATTACCAAATCAATTAAAGTACAATGTTCTATCTTTTAATTTTCACAAGGAATCAGATATATTTCCTTCTTTGTGCATATTTTTATATTTGAAAAGTCAACAATCACTTTAATATTCCTGCGACCAATAATCTGATAATCCACCTTTAAGGTTCATCTAATATACACCAACACAAATGGCTGTGAAATTTTCTCTGAATGCAGACAAAACTGTGTAATTCTAATAGTTTTAAATCCTGGCAGCACCTGGCCACAACTCCTCTTTTTCCTGTGGTACCTGAAAACAATAAACCGGTTTGGTACATTGTTGAGGTCTGAAAGTGACTTATAACTGCCAACAGCCACATTATTTGGACTCTGGTAGATAGTACATCAGACTGTTATCTCATCGGCAATCACACCCCATCTCCTTATTTTATTACGGGTCAATTATTTGAAATAAATGACTACGGTACTCAACATTAAATCATTTGAAAAAAAATAATTTTACAATAATTTATGTCGTCATTTTAAGATTTCAGTGTAAGCTTGCTTACTACAGCCTCTTCACAATGAAATTAAGTTGTATAGATGGTGTCACTTTGTTTATAATTGTGAAACTAGTATAACAATACTATTGTCTAAATCTACAGAAATTGATCATGTTTAGGTAACTGAAATAACAATGTGATGTTGTCACTAGGTCACCTGTAACTTATCTCTTGAATAAGGACTATGTTGGGTATAAGAGCTTTCTTACTACAGGCTCTTCATAATCATTTTGTTAAATAATTCTACAAATAACGGAAACACATTCACATATTACTTTGAATATTGTAGATTGTTCAGGTAGTCTTGAGCTATTTCTTTGTACAGCAGAACAACTAGTAGTTATTTTCACTTCACACACATATATATATATATATATATATCTTGACAAACAAATAAAAACGCTATAGATTGTGGAAACAATTCATATCTATTCTATCAGTCACCCTACCTACCATAAATTGAAACGTCGCCTAAGATTCAGTAGGTAAATTAAGTAAAAATCAAGACTTGTATCAAAAATATCCCAATATGAGAGACAATGGCGTCATTTTTACTTAGAGCTTTCAGCTCTTTGATTATAATAAAATTATCACTTCTAGACTCAGCTAATAGAATTTTGATCATGTTCATTGTCCAACTGCCTCATTTCAATC